AATACTATTTAGTTAGGCTATATAGGGGGTATAACTTTAAAAGTTATACTATATTTTACCCCCTAGTTAATAAAATTTTTAAACTTAGTCCTACTATCTATTTACTAGATCCTAGGGTATTAGCCTAAAAGGAGCTTAATCTTCTTATAAAAGGAGGTTAATTTAATAAAAGCCTCTCCTTTATTAGTAAGTATAATTCCTTTAATATATTAAGTTATATTATCGACTATTAGTAACTAGTATCTCTCCCTATTTAGACCTATAGGCTTTATTAGTTAAGTATTAATATAGAACTTCTATATAGTATCCTATACTTATTACTAGATATCTTAGGAGATCTTTTACTTTAACTTACCTAGGAAATAGGCCTTATAGTTAAAATACTTATTTCTATATCTTTTATTATCGCTAAGTTCCTCTATATAGCTTAAAGTTAATAAGATTTTTACCTTTCTAGTATAACTAAACTATCTATATATCTCTAGAGTAGTTACTTAGTTAATAATACTAAAATTATATAGTTAATCTTATTTATTATCTCTTTCTTTATTATAACTAGTAGGTAAAACTAGGTATAGAACTCTAGATATTATTTTAGTATAACTAATAGTATTTCTATTACTATTAGTAAGTAGTTTCGATCTTATATTATAAGATATATCTTAATCCTAAAGAAGTTTCTATATTCTAAGAAGTTTCCTATAATCTCTAGGGCTAAAATAACCCTAGGTTAAGAAAGAATAGGTTATTCTATTTTATAGGAGTATTTTAACTAGGATTTCTCTATATCCCTAAGTAATAACTCTCTTACTAAAGTAGTCTTTATATATATAGGTAGTGGTTAGATTATCTTAATAATAGGTATAGAAATTATTAAAATTATAGATTAGGGTTTTATTAGATCCTATATCTAATAGCTAATTATTAAGCCTAAAATTAGGGCTAGCTACTATAATAGCTATATTACTTCTATCTTCTACTTTTATAGTAATACTATAAGTCTAAACCTACTTACTACCTATCTATAAAGCTAGAGATACTTCTAAGATATAGATATATTATTTTATAGGATAAGGACTATACTTATAGTAGAAGTATATACTATTCTTATCTTTCTATATATCCTTATACTTCTTATAAGTATATTTATAAATATCCTTTCTAGCTAGAGGTTAATTATAAAGGCCTTTCTTCTTTTTAGAATCTTTATTCTTATCTTTAGGTATAGAGATATTATTACTTCCTCTATAGCCTCTATAGTTACCTCCTTAGCTACTATATTTTAATTTTTATCTATATCTAGCCTAGTAATTAGTATTAGATATACTATTAAGATTAGTAGCTACTTAGATTTCCTAAAGATATTAATTAAGTTTTATATTATTAATAGTACTAGGTTTAACCTTACTAATTTCCTTAAGAATAAAGCTAATCTTTAGGACTTTATTATATAGTTATCTAAGTATATTAGATAATATTTAGAAAGAATAGGGACTAACTTTAAACCTTAAAATTATATAGTCTTAGTTTTATATTTAAAGGATAAACTTATAAGTAGTATTAAAGCTTAATTATTTAATTTTAAAGTATTTCTACCACTTATTATATATATTATCTACTTTATCTCTACCTTAAACTATACTTATTATCTAGTTAAATATAGTATTAGCTTCTTCTAGGATATAAGCTAGATTCTTAATCTACCTTTATAGGTTCTAATTAACCTATAAGAATAGCTAAGTACTAATAGTACTTAGTCTAGTTAAGGGATTTTACTTTTAATTAAGTTACTAAATCCTATTAGTTTAAGTATTATTCTAACTCTTAATTCCTAGCTCCTTAGACTTATTATATTATATTTAAGGATATCGATCTTATTAATATTAATCTTCGCTCTATCTAGGAGATCGGTTCCTTAATAGTGGGGAACCTTAGGTTCTACTAGTAGATTAGCTAGCGTACCTAAAATACTAGGTATATAGGTACTCTATAAGCTTTCTATAGTAATTATTTTGTATAAATTAGTGTGCTCTCTCTAATATTAAGAGATATATCTTAAATTAAGAGAATAATACCTTACTTTCGGTTCACTTTACCTATTAATAAGGTATAAACTAAGTAAGATATAGATCTCTTTTAATAAGAAATCCTAATAAATCTCCTAGATAAGGAGATATAGTTCCTTAATAAGAAACTAGTAGATAAACTAGTATAGAAGAGTGCTAGGAGTCTTTAAACTAGTATAAAAAGGCGCTTATAACCTGATAACAGAGAAGATAATAATATTCTCTATCTAGAAGTAAGACTAAGAGAGAGAGAAGAAGAGAAAGCAAGTATAAATAGGATACTAAGATCCTATTTATACTACTAAACATAATGGCATATCAAACATGTTTGATCTATATGCCTGGATGCCTATGGCATCCGACAGAAGTTGTAGTATTGCTTTAGTTCTATTAGGCGAAGTAATTTATCTTGTTCCTCTCTCCAGTCATTTTATCTCACCTGCTTGATAGGCTTTACACCTGAAACCTGTATACACTACTCTCACACTAAGGTTGTAGTTCTAGCTATCCTAACAATTGTGATTGATCTTATCTTAAGGAAAAAGGCTATAACCGTCTTAGTTATTAAATCATTGCCTCGCCCATAGTGTACTATTTTATTATATGAAACTAGTCGTGAACCATTGTCGGATGCCATAGGCATCCAGGCATATAGATCAAACATGTTTGATATGCCATCATGTTTGGCAGTATAAATAGGATCTCAGTATCCTATTCATACTTGCTTTCTCTTCTTCTTTCTCTCTCTCTCAGTCTTGCTTCTAGATAGAGAATATCATCATCATCTATTATCCCACTGGAGTCAAACCAATCAATACAGAGAAGGCTATGGTTATGATTCAGGTAAAGTCTACTAAGGCTGATTGCGAACCAATTTCAGCAAAGTAGTATCAATAGAGGACAACACTAGATACCAATTATCAACGTAAGCTAACGCAAACTGTTGAGATCGGCCGACGTCTCATTCTGCCTTGCTTGGCCCACTAGGCAAACCGTACCCTGGGGCTAGATCGTTTGTCGAGAACTCTGCCATGTGTTAAAACGATCCTGGGAGTAATGGGTCTCTGCAGCAGGTAAGTCCAGGCTACTCATATGGTAATAAAAAGCAATCAAGTGATGGCAGGGAGAGTGGAGTGTAGATCCGATGAAATGAACAATCTGCTCAGTAGATGTTTGAAGCACAGAGTTATTTGTATGTAGTTACTCGTTTTGCACACCATCACAATCTCTAGGATCTCATGGTGATCAAATGATGACAGAGAAGATGATGATGATATTCTCTATCTAGAAGCAAGACTGAGAGAGAGAGAAGAAGAAGAGAAAGCAAGTATGAATAGGATACTGAGATCCTATTTATACTGCCAAACATGATGGCATATCAAACATGTTTGATCTATATGCCTGGATGCCTATGGCATCCGACATCAAATCAACCTCTGAGGCCAGGCCGGTTGAATAACTATAAAAAATAACTGTCGGCCAAAAAATTAGATTGACCAGGTTGAACTCCGTCGAATTGCCCCCTCAGTCGCCCATGTAATCCGGCTCATGAACCCATTGAATTGCTAGCCCCCAGCAATTTCTGTCAGCAAATCTCAGTTTTCCCCCAACGATAATAAAATGCTACTCTTGACCATGATAGTCATTCCCAGTGCTTATTTGCTTAGGCTATGGTATGTTCGCGTTCCCGTTTGTCAAAGATATGTAATCTATACACAGACTGGTGCGGTAAGCGGCGACTCCCTGGTCACCGCTGTTCCCCGCTACCCAGTTAGCCCTATAGTGGCGCCCGAGATCGCCTTCCTGGGGTCATTGAGATAGGCTCTCCCAATCCCTAGTCTCATGATATCTCAAAATGCATCGTTTGTATGGACAGGTAATAGAATATTTGGGGTTTTATCGTCTAATATGTGCATTTTTCATGTTATTGATTATTCTGAGACGGGAGGGGTAATAGCCTCGATTCGGACAGTGGACCGACAGTGTATGTGAGGCTGACTGCGTGAACGCTAACAGACCGATCGGCAGGGCTAATTTTACATCCGAAGGGCTACCGGGACGAATTAGAATTAGTGATGAAACAAAAAACCTATGCTAATGATGATCATCAACTGCAATTCTCTATTGAATGCTACTGGCCGAATGATCTCGATGAGGAAATAATTGTATGCATTCCGTATGAAAGTGGATGGAAATGGGGAGGAAAAAAGGGAGGCACAGAATAATCTATCTGAATTGTAGATCTTAGCCCCATGTACCCCATGGGGGGCCTGAAGACCGACAAATTCCTAAGTAGTCCATATCCAATCATACCTCGCTTGACTCAACTACTCCAGTATCTCAAATTGATGTCTCCAATTCTCTCCAACTTGAGCTACTGGCATACGAATTAGTGACATCACAGTGGTAACACTTCAACTACCCCCGACGAACAAAAGAAACAATACGCCAAGCGGTGCATATTCTGAGATCAGCCCTGCCCGTCCAGCCTACTAGTAGCATAAAATATGCACATGTCAGAGCACCAGAGTGCCATGCACTACTTGATTATCGCCTGGGGCATCTTGTTACACTTCTATCCAGGCCTAATGTAATGAAGAGACCGGTCTCGGACGAAATACACTCACCCCAATTGTTCTTCCCGGACCATTCATTCTTGAGGTATCGGAGAAGTTACTTGTTTACTTATCAATCATAGGGCTAATAAGGTATGGAGTCAACATTTGAATAATTTCTGTAAACCATAATGATCTACCCATTAGCGGTGGATAAGATGGATGTTGGTTCAAAATTTGATATTTTCAGACTGAATTCTAGAAACTGGCAAATTGTTTGATGTTGAATCCTTTCCAAGTTGCCTGCCTAGTAGTTCCGGTGGAACATAGGCCACGATATCACCCTAATCCCGATGTCAGCTCGAGTGCTGGTGACAACCTAGCACAAGGCTCCGCCCTCTTTGCCACCGCGGCACGGGCTGTTGCCACAGTCCCGAACCTCTGTCCACTTTCCACCTTTGCACTGGACCTTTTCATAGAAAGAAATATCAGCAAACATGATCCAAGGTTCAAAGCCGGATATATCAACTTACAATACCGCTCCTGTCGCAACCACAGTATTGCTTGTTTCCGTTGGAGGATTGGCATGGGCTGTTTGTGCGTCGCTGGTCGGGATCATAGGCGCTTCCACAGCCATCGCGGGTCTCTAAGACCGAAGCACTAACGGCAGTAGCAGCCATGAGAGTGAAGATCATAGCGGTGAACTTCATCGTGAAGATGGGGTTGGATATTGTAGTTTGTTTGAGGGTTGTAATTGTTTCGGGAGGCTTGTTGTTAGGAAGGTTGGCTTTCTAGAGGATAGTTCGAGGTACTTATACTTCTTCGGAAAAAGGCCAAGGCTGCCTGACTATGATACATTGCAATATCTTGGAATAGAATGCCTATCAAGGAATCATTCTGCGCCGCTAGGATTCATTGGACCTTTGGTTACATTGTAGGAATCTGCCCACGTAACACAGCCCCCAAGCTGAAAAGGAAATGGCTGATAGTTCTCTATTCCTTGACTCGAATAGTAGACTATCTACGTTGATCAACCTTGGCGGTTTAGAATACGGATGAGACATCGCGGGGATTATGCATATTAACCCACACGAGATGAAAGGGCCGAAATGGTCATGTTAGTGGGATATTTCATATTTTCTAGTGACTTGGTTAGTTATATGGAAGGAATTGAAGGGTTGAAGATCCTTTTTTGATACAATAGAACTCAAAAGCCAACATTGTGGGCGTCCTCAATCGTATAATTTAGTATCTGGATCTTGGTCACTTAGCTCATCGCCTTTCCCTATACTAAATCGATTTTGCCATTGAGGTCATAAACCAGTGCCAAGAAATTCTCCAATTGAATGCCCAGGAACTAGAGCCTGCCCTTCCAAGGATAACAGAAAATGCAACATTTTCAGTCAAAATGGGTCTCATGTCTGATATTGACCGATCGAGGCATTTTGCTCAACTTCCAATCTTCCAAAGTCGTCCTGAATATGATAGGTATTGATATTCATATCTATTCATACACCGGGGCTGCACAAACTCCATGTTATGTATTCATGACATCTGCAGGTGAAGTCTTGGCAGGACTACTATACATGCACTGACCCCGCCTAATGGCCCAGGGTCTCAAAAGGATCAGGGGCAGAGCCAATCGGGTAGAACGAGGTAAGAAAGTACCGTTGTAGGTGGGTCCATGATGTTGGACCCTCCCAGCTCACGGGTGACCCTACGCGAGCCGCCTTACCGCAGATATCTGTCCTCAGTACAATACCGTATATACCAAATCACACCTCCAAAACACACAAACATATCGATCAAGGGGCAGCCAAACGTTCAATCTGTTGAATCTACAGCTTCCAAGACCTCTCAAATCAGTATATGATAGCGATTCCGAGACGAGGCGTAGCGTATCAAGTTCAGCAAATTCAGCATGCCGTGATGGGCTGAGAAGCCCTCGTATGAGACCCTCATACCGACAATGTGAGTGTTATTTACCCTTGACCAAAAGGGACAGTGAGGGGAATTTCGAAATATTTTCAGCCTCCGGTACAACATTGTTACATGCGATTGGACTGTTCAGTCACCTGAAAATTTGAAACCCATGACTTCCGAAATGTCCCTAGAATTTGCCCCCTTTGAAAGGCTTCAGCGTGTGGCGGTAATTGGTGATCGCCGGTTACTGCATTGATAGCATCTATAGGAAGCTGGTCTTCGTCGGTATGGACTGGCTGTCCAATGTGCAAGCAACTGATCTCACACAAGAGCTCACGGATGATATTTCGATGGTATTAAGTTCCTATCTCGTATGCTTCGGATTCACGAGCGATGCGTTGTGGATATGGGTTGGATTCCTCACCAACACTCGGCAGCTGTGCTAAGCGCTTGGCACGATTAGTTCGCACTCCCAACTCAACAACTACACGGTTTTGCTCAATATGTTTCTCTTCACCTTTATGCACAGCACATACGACCATAGGGTGTGGAAAACAGGGCTTCCCGTCCGCTCAGCCGTACTTAAGCCACACGCCGGTGAGTTAGTAGTTGGGTGGGTGACCACCAGCGAATCCTCACTGTTGTATGTTTTTGTCATTTCCGCTTCTTTTTTTTTCTCCCTAATAGAAAAATCATCGTCGGCTAGTACTAGACCTGTGTCTCCTGTCCTCCTGTCCCTCCTTTATTTGGTTCTACAACTCACATGATGCAATATTGTGACTTCATGATCTTGCCCTGATGAAGCACTGGTGGTGGAATCCCATCTTCCAACTACTAGTCCCCTCTCACATCATTCCGGGTCGGATCTCCTCCCCGGTGTTCGAGCGCGGCTCCAACATAGGCCATAGGAGATATCATTGCGAGATGATTGATTCACAGGGGTCTTAGCAGGCATCAATTCGGTAACCTGCTTCAGGGAATACTCTCAGTAGAAGTCCTCCCAGTTCAGAACCGACGATTGAAGGCTGCAAGGAAGGGGCCATAGAGCTCGAGAAGATGCCGCATACAGCTACGCATGCCGGCACTCTGAGCGCTAATCCAGTCACCTCCCGTTTTAACACAGTAAAATGGTGTGGCGGTCCCTTCTTCCGGGGCGTGATAGCAGAGGGTGACGCTCGCGACACTCGGAGGGAGGAGGGTTTTGAAAAGCTACAATTCATTTCGAGAGTGTCAGGAATACGATTCTACACAAAGTCGAAGTAATATTGCCCGCTGAGGGCTTCGATACCTTTTCCAGCAAGTTTGAATGTGATATTAATTTTTTTACGAAAATTGGCACGGAAGGGGGAAAGACAAGTCTGCCGGTTGATATATGCCTTATACTCTCTCGGCTCTCGATATATTGTTTGGCGGCACTGTTGGAAGATTTATCGCGAACTACCTCGATAAGATTCTCTAGGTACTCTCAGAACGACATTCCTAGGTTTAATTCTGTGTCGGAAAGATGGTGGTGACAAAGATATTCACGACTTGAAAAAGAAACAAAGAAGAAAGAGATAGGAGGTTAAGGATGCAAGGGGAGGGGGGGAAGCCAAGAATATCAGACATTGCACCTTCGACATCACATTGGCATCACGTTACTGTCATATATCAGCTCCCATACACCAGCTTCACCGTGGTGTTTGAACAATGACCTGCTGTGGTAAAATGTCACGAGTTCAGACTAGGAGATACTAAATCAAGTGAGAAACGTGGGGGATTTGTCTTGGTATCGCCAGAACAGGTGCAGGGTGAAAGCGAGTTTGCTATAGATATGGTGGACATCTAGATACTCACCTCGAGGGTGCGATGTCAGGCTATACTAACTAGTACCCAGAGCCCAGTAGCAACACTAGAATACTTGAAATCTCCAAAAAAACCTCTCATTCCCATCTGCTTTGTTTGCTCCATATGTTCCGGGGTTAGAGAATCCTAAGCATATCACGTACGATAATTGGTCTATATTATGGTCGTCCCTTTCTATTATTGAGTCTGTCAAAAATAGAGTTGAAAGAAGTCTAACACTCGCCCTCTTCTTTATCTCTATATTGGATGCTAAGGAATGATAATGCCTTTATGTCCATTTTGAAAGAAAGGCCTGATCTATATTAGTATTCAATGAAGAGCTTGTCAAGTAGTTTATTGTCCGCACGTTTCTTTTTATCAACATTGATACGAGTTTCAAAGAGATCGTCAAGTATTTAACTGTCAACAAATTCCATCTCATTCCTCGATATACATTCACAACCATTCAAACAATCAACAGTAAGACACAATCCAATCCAACAATCCAGCAATCCAAAGAAAACACTCTCAATACAGGTCATTCTTATCAAAATCTCTCAGCATGCCTCGAACCACTATGAGATTGGAAAGTAAGACGAGGGCATGCGCAATAAATGAGAGGAGAATCTGGGAACCACTCCATCTTGACAACCTCAACGACCCACAGGCTGCATCCGACCGTCGGTCTGTCCTTAATCTTATTCGAAGTGTCTACGACCCTATACTTGCCAATTGGATTGCTGGTGGGGTTAATTCCTGGCAACAAATGCTCAGAAGAAGAAAAATCCATATTGATATTTTCCGACAGCTTAGCGCTAGAACAGGGGAGCTGCCACAAAGCGTTCAGTCTATAGAGAGTCAACGCGTCCTTGTTGAAATATTAATCGACATCCTTAAGTATTACCGATTTACTGATCCCGTCTGGAGGGTACCTGCCCCTGGTGTCGCTGCCCCTCTTCCTCCGCCACCACCTCCTCCCGCTGCTCCCGCTGCTGTCGCTACACCTTCCCCTGGGAGCGAAGATGAGAGTCTTGATGATGCTGCAAGCCCTGTTAGTCCACTAGATGTACTTGCAGATGGTGCAGTGCAAGCGCTTGAATCTGGCGCTACTACTACTGCTACTGCTACTGCTACTGCTACTGCTACTGCTACTGCTACTGCTACTGCTAATGCTCTTAGTCCACTAGAAGTCCTTGCAGAAGCTGCAAGCTTAGCCCAGCCTATCCCTGTGCCTCCCACTACGTCTTCTCTTGACATACTTGCAGCAGTTGCCAGCACAAGGCCGTATGTTCGTTTCCCTGTCCCCACCCCGACTCCATCTCCTTGTCCCACCCCAGCTGATTCTCCTGCTCCTGGAACTAAGCGAGCCAGGAACGACAAGTCCGAGGATGAATCTGAGCAACCTGCCAAGAAGAAGCAAGCGGTGAGTCCGAAGTGATCCCCACTGTAATATCATTTTCGTTAGTGTCTACTACTTGCACGTGTATCTTGTCTTGTCTTTTTTATATATGATCATAAGCGCATTGCATCAATATATATCTTTTTTCGGGATTCACATTAAAGTGATCGGGCCTGAAATTGGTGGTTGGTATGATGGAGAATAGAATTGAAATTTTTATCCTTGTGCAAATTTTGGGCATTAAGACTAGACAAAGACAGACCTTAGTTAAGGGACTGGCTGTCTATCCAATATGTCACTGTAGAAATTTCCGACGAAATAAGCAGCTTACCTCGAATGAAATCAAAATTCGCTTAAATAGTCTGGGGTTACTCTAGAGCGTCAAGCTCTAGCCTGGAGATCCTGTGGGAACCTCTGGCTCTAGATGATTGAGGCGCACATTGCTTTGTTTTGTAGAAATTTTGAGGCCTTTTTAATATTACAAACACTCTTCTACCGCCAATACTTTATCATGTATCGCATAAAGCAGTTGATATTTGCATAGTTTCTCCAGCTTTTACTTTTCTAGCACTGATAACGCGGTTTCACAATCTACCATACAGTGTAGACTTTAAAGTGGGAATTTTCATCTACATCTACTAACAGAATTTCAATATATTGGCAGTACCAACAGGATTGTAATATGAAAAACAACAAACCAGGTCCTTGATATCTCATACATTTTCAATGTAGATTGGATCACATGACCATGGGACAAGGCGCTAAGTCCCAAATGGGCTAGTGGCGATTGAACTCTTGGCACTCACCCGTGAGTTTTGCGTGTCGCGACCAACCTCCCCAAGTGCCCCCCAGTAACCCGTCCAATCATCACTCTGGGCCTCTTCTTCCATCTCCCGTGGCCTTGATTTACGCCATTGCTGGCTTTTCACTGTTCTAATCTATACTACTATTGCACTTTACACAGACAAATTGATACTTCGGAAGGGATTTAGCATTCTGCCGACCGCGACAGCTGTTTGCTTTGATCCATCATGGATGAGACTCCCATCAACCCAGCTACAGCCCACGAGAATCTCCAGCCTATGGCTGGTCTAGATGGCGCATCTGATGCAGCTCGCGAAGCATCCGGTATGCCTTCTTTCAAATGCCTTTGGTGTTGCATCGAGTGCTAAATTAGTGGACAGGAGTGCAATCGCGCCAGGATTCGCCCGTGAAGAAGGTTGAGAACACACCTGGGTCCGACAATCCTATGGATGCTCCCGCATCCCCCAAGCCCCGTAACGGCGGAGCTGAACAGGAAGACGAAGAGATGGGCGGTACTGAGACCGATGGCAAGCCTGACACTGAGGGCTTGGAGGATGCTTTAGGCGAGTCGCATCCGCAAGGGGAGGGAACAGATGGACTTGAGGACGCTGTGGGTGAAGACCAACCAGCACCATCTAAGTCTTCTCTGGAAGCCGCCGCGCGCGAACAACTCGTCACCCAAACACACGCCATCATCCTCCCCAGCTATGCGACATGGTTTGATATGAATACCATCAACCCAATTGAGAAGAAAGCTCTTGCCGAGTTCTTCAATGGCCGAAACCGTAGCAAGACGCCTGCTACATACAAAGATTACCGAGACTTCATGATCAATACCTATCGATTGAACCCCATCGAGTATTTGACCGTCACTGCTTGCCGTCGTAACCTTGCGGGTGACGTCTGTGCTATTATGCGTGTCCATTCATTCCTTGAGCAGTGGGGCTTGATCAACTATCAGGTGAGCGGCCTTCTAACCCCCATTCGAACATTCCAGCTAACACATCTACAGGTTGATCCTCAGACACGCCCGTCTAATATTGGACCGCCATTCACCGGTCACTTCCGAGTTGTCGCAGATACTCCACGGGGTCTGCAGCCATTCCAGCCTGGGCCAAATCACAGCGTCACGTCGGGCAAGACTTATCCAGCCACACAACGTGCCGCCTCTTCCATTCCCGCCTCTAAAGACGATCTCAACCTCGAACTACGCCGTACCATTTATGATGAAAAAGGCAAGGATGTCACCTCCGCCGAAGATAAAGAGAAGCAGACCAACGGCGAAGCAACAAATGGCTTGGACATTACTCAGGAATCTAAGAAGAAGGCACACTGCTTCTCTTGCGGCATTGACTGCACCAAACTTCGATTCCACTACGCCAAATCGGCTTCGACGTCAGCCAACGCCACTACGCCCGACAACAAGTATGATCTGTGCCCCAACTGCTTCCTTCAAGGGCGAATGCCCTCTAGCCACAATGCCTCGGACTTTGTTAAGCTTGAGGACAAGAGCCACTCTCACTTGCCCGACAAAGATACTCCGTGGTCGGACTCGGAAGTGATTTTGTTGCTGGAAGGTCTGGAGAACTTCGATGAAAATTGGGAACAAATTGCGAGCCACGTTGGCACACGGTCTAGGGAGGAGTGTGTCATGAAGTTCTTACAGCTGGAAATTGAGGACAAGTACGTTGAAGATATCCCCGAGCTGCAGTCTGGCGGCGGACGTGACCCCATCAGCCAGTCCGAAAACCCCGTTCTTTCTGTTGTCGCATTCCTGGCCCAGATGGCGGAGCCCTCAGTGGCTGCCGCCGCCGCCGGTCGATCTGTTGACGAGATCCGCAAGGAGCTCCGGAGACAGCTGGAGAAGGGACAAGACAAGGGCAAAGATGCAGTCAAGTCCGAAGACTCTATGGACGTGGACCCCACACGTGAGGCCGAGCAGCAAGTTTCCGCGAAGCCTAAGGAGACCCTTGGCACAATCGCCCTTGCCGCAGCTGCTGCGCGTGCTGGGGCCCTTGCCTCACACGAGGAGCGTGAAATGACCCGCCTGGTCTCTGCTGCAGTCAACGTTACCCTGCAGAAGTTCGAGATTAAGTTGCAGCAATTCAACGAGATGGAAGAAATTATCGAGGCTGAGCGTCGGGAGTTGGAGCAGGCGCGCCAGCAACTCTTCTTGGACCGCATGACGTTTAAGAAGCGTGTCAAGGAGGCCCAGGATGCGCTCCAGACTGTCAGCCTGCAGGGCCCCAACGAGCACACCAACCAGATGCTAGCTGATGCTGCTACTACAGGCATTGGAAACCACTACAGTTTCCAGCCTGTGAGCGGAGATATGCGGGCTGGAACCCAGCCTCTGAGCGCTCACGGTGGTGTAGACTACAAGACTCTTGACCTGTAGTCATTCTCAATACATGTACGATAATCCCCCATGGATCTTCTAAGAGAGGAACCCAAAGGGACTGTTTTTCGTCTCGCTGAGTTATGAATATTTTGAACTATCTGGCTTGGAAAAGGCGCACTTTTTGTTTTTCTGTTATCTGCTGGAGTTCTTTTCTGTTGATTCACCCTCTCTCCAGAAAGCGGATTGTTCTTAGGGGGTTGAATTAGGGGTTGGGGGATTTTTTTTCATCAATGTGTTTACTCTTTAATCATATGTCCTTGATGGGAACGTTATATTCTTGCGCAAAGTAAATTGTAGTGTCTCTCATCCAGGCCCTTGGGCTCGCCGGGTTGACCAAAATTTGTCAGGTAGTATTTCATATTTCAACCAGGACTCTTGAGCGGTTGATGCGTATTCTCCTTGCTAAGATCCATGCTCTTCGTCCTCGCTTTCATCGATTGCGGCCTCGCTCAAAAGAACTGGAACAGGGAGAGCAACTTCAGGTTCGTTGTATCTTGCCCTTTTCAGCGGAGGCATTTCCATGTTGTCCTTCAGCTCGGCATAATCGTACCCGTATTCCTCCCACTCATTGCGGTAGACGATCCGATCCCGCCAATTGGAGATATCTTCTCTGATTCTGCGCTCGGGCAGTGTCTTGGTATCTTCGTCAGCTTCCTCTGTCTTCATTGGTTCTTCGTCAAGGAAGTCCGGCACAGGTTGCTCCATTAACTTGAGAAAGTTGGCCTCTTGGCGATGGCTGGCGTTTAGGTCCACAATATCTGCTTGCTCTTCTTCGGGGTCCATTTCCAGCTCGACTGACGGTGCAGCCGGCGCAGATGTTTCGCCAAAGTCTTGCGTGCGCACACGATCGTGATCAATGCCCTCTAGCTCTGAATCTGCTTCAGACTCAACTTCGGACTCTGGTTCCGATTCAGGTTCCGGTTCTGGCGTTGGCTCTTGTTCCGCCTCTTGTTCGTTGGCTCCCATTTCGATGTCATCGTCTGCTCCGATATCGTCGCCCATTTCAACGTCATCGTCGATGGCATCCTCGTCGCCTTCGCTGTCGTCGTCATCGATTTCACCATTGTAAATGGTTCCATCTTTGCGGTACCGGGTCCATTCGTGTCTTTCGATGATCTCCTCGGCTTCTTCGTAGGTGAATACTGTAGGAACCCAGCCTTTCCGGTTGTTGATGTCTTCTAGGACCGTTTCATTGCGACGAGCAACGTCCAATAGATTGGGCCTGCGGTGCTTCATGTTGAGCACTTCAATGGCGGCCCGCACATCTTGCGTGCGAACATACCCTTTTCTATCATTCCCACTGCGATTCGTGCTGCGCAACCTTGACATTGCAAAGAAGAGAGATGATTGGACCAAGCGGCGTGTGATACTGACAGCGAGAGAGTAGAAGTCCACAGCAGTATCTGCAGTCATAGACGGTCTATGTCCATAAGCTGTGATTAGGTCTTTCCTTTTGGCAAGATTCCACCAATTATTCTCCGCTTGTTTGCCACCAAAATTCATGAACAAAATATAAGAAAGCCGAACCCAGTCCGGAAGGCTTAGCAGATCAGCTGCAAGACGGAGGTCACCGCGGGCACTGCTGTTCTCCTCGTCGGCCATCTTCTGTGCATGAGCAGTCGTGATAATCCAGTTGTCTCCGTGTTGCTTCGTTCCAACTTGGGCTTCACCGAGAGACTCTTTCAATACTAGAACGTCCCCATATTCCTCGAGTAGCTCGCAGCATTCCTGGCTGACCTCTGTGGCCGCCGGGACATCGCTTAGAACAGGCATGCGCTCCAGGTGCACGTCTGAATCATACTGCGCCCTCAAGGACTTATGCAACATTCGGATGTATTCCATAACCTCCAGTTCCGACTTGGTACCAATTGCAGCAGCGATCTCTTTGATGCCGCCTTTGCCCTTCCGGTCCAGGCCATTGAAAAACACTTCTTTCTCCACAGGCGTCCAGACCATTGAGCCATATTGACTGAGATGGTATGTGTGCTCAGTTTCCCTCAGCGAGGAATAATCAATAAGCTCCTCGTTTTGCACAATGAGGTGGGAGTAGGCTCGGAGAAATCTGAGCGATCCACGCATTTGCGGATCGCGTCCCATGAGCGCATCACCGAGTTGTCGTTCAATCCCTTCGAATGAAGGGTCATCGTGGTAATCATATTCGTCCAAATCCTCATCCGGGGTGGGAGAGCGTTCACTGGATGGGCAACGTTGCTCGAGTTCGGATTCAGGCTCGGATTGTTCGAAGTCGGACTCGGACTCGGGGTCGTCATCAGGCTCATAGACGGAGGCGGAGTCGCTCATCGTTCAGGCTCGCGGATTTGCAGCGCGTGCGGAGCGATCGGTAGCAAAACATCACAGCTGCGCCTTCAATGAAATCTGCCACGTCAATTTCATTAAGAGCTATAGAAACAACAAGAAAAAAGTTGAGCTAGGGAGATCCACTATGGGATGCATGGTTATCGATAAGGATGTTTGCACCGTTTGCTTTTTGTTTTGAGCTTCGCCAGAGAGTCAAAGACCATTTGTAATATCTGCATGGAGTTCATACGCTGTGTCTCGCGATTAAGAAATCCAAGCAGGTACTTGGTGAAGATTCCCCTGTTGCAAAAACCCTTTCGTTATGTGCGCTTCAATTCGACCAAGCCCCCGGTCCCTCCAAGCATTGTGCTCCGCGACTACCAAGAGGAAAGCATTCAATCCGTCCTGAAATATTTGGGTGAAGGGCATCGACGACTAGGAATTTCACTTGCAACAGGAGCTGGCAAAACAGTAAGGCTTAAAAATCCACGTTTATCCAATATTGTACTGATCTGTGCAGGTTATATTCACACAGCTTATCAGCCGAATCCCTCCTCACAATGCGAAAGCCACCAAGACCATGATTATCGTCCATCGGCGCGAACTCGTCGAACAAGCTGCAAGACACTGCAGACTCGCCTATCCAGATAAGACCGTCGAAATAGAAATGGGCAAGAATGTTGCGACAGGAGCAGGAGACATCATCATCGCGTCAGTTCAGACACTGGCGCGAGGACGCATGTATAAGTTTGACCCCAGTGCATTCAAACTCATCTTAGTTGATGAGGCCCATCACATTGTTGCAAAATCATACCGCGAAGCTCTGGGGCATTTTGGGTTGAACGAGCCATCCGCCAATGGACCGGTCTTGGTGGGTGTGTCCGCTACTTTTTCACGGTTCGATGGTCTCAAACTGGGCGCTGCGATTGATCACATTGTCTATCACAAGGACTACATGGACATGATCAGTGAAAATTGGTTGTCCAATGCAATCTTCACAACGGTCAAGTCCGGGGCCAATTTGTCCAAAGTCAAGAAAGACAGTTTCGGAGACTTTGCTCTAGGGTCGCTTTCGGAGGCGGTCAATACTACAACTACGAACAACATCACGGTTCGAGCATGGATGGCGAGTGCTGAAAATCGAAAGTCGACTCTTGTTTTTTGTGTCGATGTCGAGCACGCGCGGCAGCTTACCGCGGCTTTTCGCGACCATGGCGTCGATGCTAGGTATATCACAGCTAGCACAGCTAAAGGTGTCCGTGCAGAACAGCTACGGGCTTTTAGGGACCAGGAATTCCCAGTGTTACTAAACTGTGGTCTTTTCACAGAAGGTACGGACATCCCAAATATCGACTGCGTGCTCCTAGCTCGACCCACAAGATCTCGGAACCTGCTCATACAGATGATCGGGCGTGGTCTTCGCCTGTTTCCTGGGAAAAAGGACTGCCATGTCATCGACATGGTTGCGTCCCTAGCAACTGGAGTCCTATCAACACCGACGTTGTTCGGCTTGGACCCAGATGAAGTTTTGGACAACACCAGCGTGGAAGATATGAAGAAGAATGATGATCAGGGAAGCGAATCAGAGCCAGCTCCCGAAGCTGCTGAGCCGTATGATGGCTCAGACAATGACCTGAAACTCGAATTTACAACTTATGACAGTATATATGATCTCCTAGGAGACATGCAGTCCGAACGACATATCAGGTCGCTCAGCCCGCACAACTGGGTCCGAGTCGGCGATGACAGATACATGCTTACCGATGTTTCGGGTTGGATAACGATTGAGAAAGAAGACGATATCTTCACGGCCCATCATGTCATGAAATTCAAAGACCCAGATACTGAGGCACCGAAATTCACACGTCCTCGGAGGATTGCCACCGGCTCAGACTTGGAGAGCATTGTCCGGGCAGCGGATACCTTTGCTAGCACCAAGTTTGATGAACATTACATCGCGTCTTGGAAACCTTGGCGACGGGCCCAGGCAACACCGGGACAAATCAAAATGCTGAATGGAGCCCGCATTCGAGATGGCAATGTGAAGCCCGAGGACTTGACTCGAGGCCAAGCGGCCGATATGATCACAAAGCTGAAACATGGGGGCAAGAAGCGCTTCAAGGACTTGGAGGTTCAGAAGCGGAAAAGGCTACGGCAACTGAATAATATGGCTGAGCTGCAAAGAAGGGTTGATGTGAAGGTTGGGCCAGTCGAGTCTTGATGGAATAATATGTGGTTTTTGTAAACTATTAGAGAAATATACATAGATCTAATACCAAAGGACTTACAATTTACTTTGGTTCCTACATTCATATGCTGGTATGAAGAAATATATATACCTCAGCTCGAGGGGTTCAACATCATGTTCCAAAACACAACCTCATAGTAATTATATATCGCGATCTTTTGCTAAGTAACAAAGGCTCTCTCTAAAAAATCGCTAAAATCAGACAACAATCAAAACACCTTGGGCAACACATCCCTCGTAGTTCCTACATTCACCGTCGATGGAAAGGCTTCCGACCATATACAACGACCCTACCAAACGTCAGTTCCACTATGTGCCAAGAATACCAAAACACTCACTCTTTAACATAAGCATGTAAATGCTTATCCCTCAACTGTTTCTTGACCATAGCCTGAAAAATCCGCGAAGGCTCCGCACCCCAACCAAGAACCTGCGTACAAAGCCTCAACCCATAAGACTCCACAGCCTGCTGCACCATAACAGCCTGATATTTCCCAATCTCCTTGAGATAAGGATCACGCGGCCAAGGCGAGTACGGCAAAAGATACGTATACTGCTGCACATCTTCAAATCCCGCATTAACCATCCACTCTTTCAGTTTCTGATAAATGTTCAATTCTCGTCCCATTGCCCGTCCTGCCGCGTTCAGGGCTTGCAGGTACTGAACGAGTGGCGAGTCGGGCTTGAGGGTTCCGTCGTCACTCCAGGCCCAGACGGCACTTTCTTGAATCTCGAAGTAGCCGCCTGGTTTTAAGTGGTCGAAGATTCGTCCGAAGAACTCAGACCAGTCCGCTACGCACCTGGAGGTTGTGAGATTCATGAAATTAGGAGATGGGGACGAGGACTGGATATGCATGGTTAGATGGGCTTACCCGGCTAGTAGACGCGCATGGATGAAGTCGAAATTGTTTTTCGGGTAGAGCCATTCGGTTTCGAAGTCTTCGACGATGAACTCCACGTTCGGGATGACCCAGGTTGGTTGGATGGCGCTGATATCATTTCCGATTACCTTGGCGCTGGGGAACTTCCTGTTTGTGTGAGCTTGGGCTGTAGACTGTGGTGTAAGAAGTGTGTTCGTACTCGGCCATATCAAGAGCCCAGATGCCAGTGCCTGTTCCAAGATCGAGGATCTTTTGGGGATTTGAGACTGGAGCTTTGTGTAACTCTCCTTTCATCAACATCAGCCATCTTGATTGCTGTGTTAGTATGGGGTTAACAGTCAAGGGAAATGGGTTTAGCTGACATATGATGTGTCTGAGGTGGTTAGCATGGTCTATAAGATTTAGTATGGGGATGTTATATCATACCAAGTCCATTCGATCTTGTTCCTCTTCGTCATTTGGCATCCTATCTGAGTTAGCCATATATCTAAAGTAGATAAAATGGCGAGAAGCAATACATGTATTGTCCCTGATCATGAGTCAGTAACTGATAATACAAAAGCGTGAGAGATCCTTACAGTTCGATTACTGTGATACCGCCGACCATTTTCATATTCATATTCCAGAACGCTCGAAGAAAGAGAGGTCATGTCGGAATCACTACCAAACTCACTACTTTCATCCTTTATGTAAGTGAGAAGACAGTCATTTGGAAAAACCGGAGTGGTCGGCTGTACATACACTGTTGAACTCATCAGCCACGATTAGGCCATGGGCGTTGACTGAGGTGTTTGTCTGCCTGTCGGATGGAACTTGGGGTTCTGAGTCCGGTTCTTGACTTGATTCGTTTCCATCTAGAGAAGACATTATCGAAAGAGTTGATCTAGGAGGCAAAAAAAGACTTCAACGTTCGCAAAGATGGGTGCTGTCAGACAGGTGGCGATGACCCTAGTTTTGATCCACTCTCTTCACTCATACCTCTGTCAATCCATACATATGCATATATGATACGTCTCTTTTCTATTTGACATTTAGCGGTTTCTAGATTCCACATCAGGATTCTTGCACGTAGGGGCTGCGCGATCGCTGCCCTAAAGCGCCATGATGTGCAGCAGAGACCCGCAAATGTCTCGACATGCAAAGCCTCCAATTTGTACGTTTATATCTACGAATGCTATGCCTTGTCGACGATGTATTTTTCTGCAACATACACTTGCCTAGCGATAGCCTGAAACTCTAAAATATAGTATTGTAAGCAGTGACAGGGATGCAGAATGGATCTGTACAGAAGTAGTGCACATTTCACCTGACTCAAGAGGGTTTACGACTGATCGAGGCCTTTAGCGTTGTGCGAAAGTCGAAAATAGATCAATGCAGAGCAGGAGCATGAGCGGTCGGCATTTTTGTACAAACTCACGTCTGGCAGGGTGTAGTGGGGAGAGCTGATCACTACCCTGCATTAGATCGTGATATCTTGGTTGGAGGATCTACTGTGAAGAAACCGCCGATCCGGTAGGGCTTCCGCCACTAATTTAAGACACAAGCACAATTCTATCACATAACTTTGGAAAAGCCATTTCCATGCAAGGTGAAGCGTTGGATAATTTGGACTCTGTACGGATCGTAGCAACTCGTTTTCGCTTCTGCACGGTAGGGGTGGAATGGAATAGTCACTTTCCTCGTCAAGGATAACATACCTATCAATGCATAAAAAACTGTGTATAAGAATGACTAATCGTCGACAGCTCATACACGCTAGCTGTCGACGTGGCCAGATGTTGATACATATAAATGTCACTGACCGAATCCCTTTATTCAGGTGATGGACCGACCTTTGGTGCCATGGGGCTGAGCACTATAAATCAGTGAGCACTGGATAATACTAACGACTCATAGTGAAGAGCAACACAAAGACACGCTGAGTGTGAGAGTCGTATTCCCAAGCCTATCCGCAAAAGCAAAAACAAAAAAGAAATCTCTCCCTCGGGGAATCGAACCCCGGTCTCCCGCGCTTATCGGTGTTAATGACAAGCGGAAATCATCACCACTAGACCAAGGAAGATGGTGATCGAGTTAACTCGACCATTGGCTGGTTGACGTGAAATACCGGCCGTGAGTAATTTAAGATGGGAGGATGAGGTGAAGGTTAGAGAGTAGCAAGATGTAGCCAGGATTGTAGAAGAACAGCAAACAGAAATTGAAAGGTTGTGAGGGGTAAATGTGATTGTATTCCATATGTTCTATGTCAGACATGAATTTTGCAGAAATTCGTGGATGACATAGTTTCTGCATTTGGCTATATCCCAAGATCAAATGCATTGGAATAAGGAAGTAAGCAGAATGCTGGGTAAAATCGAATAACTCTTTTGGAGAGATGGATAAACAGGACTAAAGGATCTCAGAGGATGGAGCTGGTGAACAGGCAATTGGATTCCAAAGGCAACCTTGCGGCAAGGCATCCAATGCATGCAATAACACGAATTCCACGTTGTAGGACAAACTTACACATGATCCTTTCCAGTGGGAGTACGGAGTTGATTATGCTGGGAAAAAGACTCCTCATTCTACAGTCATTTAGGCCCCGAGCAACGTATAGCCTGATGTTTTATGTTTATGCAAGGTTACAGATATACAGGAAACTACAGGACAGGAAGATAACAATAACGAATGTTTGAACATAGAAATGTATTTTGTCCTAGCAAAGCATATGAAATTCATCAAGCAATCATAATATGCATTAAACATCCCGGTTGGATGTTCAAAGATCATCCTCATCAGAGAACACCTCCTCACCACGCTTGCGGCGGGCAGCACGTTCCTTCTTCTTCTTGCGAAGCTCAGAGCCTGTAGAAAATGAATTAGCAAATGAACGGTGTGATATAAATGTGAGAAAGAATTGAATGACATACCAGTAAGCTTGACCTTCTTGGTAACAACGATCTTGTTACCCATGGCATCGAACTTGTCCTCCTCATCGTCACCCTTGGCGTCGAGACGGGGACCGGAGCCCTGACCCTGGACCCAGTTGTGTCCGGAGGGGGTCATGACACCGTCGTTGACGGCCCAGACTTCCTCAGTCAGGTGCTCAGTGAACTCACGGGAGTGAGTAATGATAACAACACCACCCTCGAAAGACTTGATAGCCTTGGAAAGGGCACCGAGAGAGTCACGGTCGAGGTAGTTAGTGGGCTCGTCAAGGACGATAAGGTGGGGACGCTGCCATGAGCAAGCGGCGAGAACGACCTTAACACGCTGGCCACCGGAGAGACCACGCATGCGAGAGTGAGAAACAAGCTCGGCATCGAGACCGAAGTTGGCGCAGTGCTGCTCGATCTCCTTGCGGACAAGGGGACGGAACTGACCGGAAGCGAGGGCCTCCTTCTGATCGACCTCGGCGACCTGCTTGGGGTGGGAGACGATAATCTCGGAACGGGGCAACCAGGTGTTGTCAGCGGACATGAGAGGAGTCCACTTCTCAGACTTCATGCCGACGTTGTCACCCAGAGACCAAGAGATCTCGTACTCGTAGGAGTTCTTGAACTTGCGACGAGAGTGGATGCCAATGACACGGCGGAGGGTGCCCTCGACCTTGTAGATCTTGTCCATGGCCTTCTCATCCTCCTCGGTGACGATCTTGTTGGCGCGATCCATAGTCTCACGGTCCTCACCAGTCTGGAAACGCCACTGGATGTACTCGGAAGGAGTGGAGTCGAGGTGGTTATCGATGTGAGCGAAAGCGTGCTGCTTAATGTAGGCAATACGGATGTTCTCGTGCTGGTAGACCTCACCGGAGGTGGGGATGAGTTCACCAGTCAGAACGTTAACGAGAGTAGACTTGCCAGCACCGTTGGCACCGATGACGGCGATACGGGAACCGAGGGAAACCTGGAAGGTAATTCCGTGAATTTGGGGCTTGGGAGTACCGGGGTACTGGAAGGACATGTTGCTAACACGGCAAATGGCCTTGGACTTGGTCTTGACACCCTCAAGGAAACCGGGCTCGGGGAACTTGAACTCCATCTCGGAGGCACCGAGCTCGTAGTAGGACTTGGCAGCGGGGTGAGCCTTGACGAAGTCGGAGAGCGAACCGCGGTAACGACGGAGCTTGAAGCGCTCGTAGTGAACGACGTGCTGGATGACGTTGTCAAGGAACTTGGAGTCGTGAGAAACCATGATGGAAGTGCAAGGGGAGCTCTTCAGGTAGTTCTCGAGCCATGCGACGTTCTTGACGTCCAAGTGGTTGGTAGGCTCGTCAAGCAGGAGAATATCGGGGCTCTCGAAGACGGCACGGCAGAGAGCGAGCTTCATCTTCCAACCACCGGAAAGGGCAGTGATGGGTCCCTGGATCTGGAACTCGGAGAAACCGAACTCGTTGAGCAGCTTGTCCTCAAGCTCCTCACGGGGAGGGTTCTGTCCAACCTCAGCCAGCTTCTTCTGGGTCCAGGCAATGACAGTCTGCTCAGTATCGGCGGAGTCGAGATCGTGCTCGACGTAGACGGTCTTGACCTCATCCTTCTTGGGGAAACCCTCAAGCTGCTCGTTGTTGATAGCACGCATGAGAGTGGTCTTTCCGGAACCGTTGGGGCCGAGGAGACCGTAACGCTGGCCACGCTTGAGGCGCAGGTGAGTCTGGTTCAGCAGAATCTTGGCACCGTAGGCCAAGGAGAAAGTGCAGTTGCAAAGATCCTCACCTTCCTCCTCGTCGGAGGCGATGGCATCAGCAGCGGCGGCATCGGGGCAGGCCTTCTTGCGGAGCTCCTCAGCAACAGCCTTGGCATCATCCTCGCCAACAATGGCGGTGATGTAAGGGATGGTGTTCTGGGTCCAGATGACGTGGTCGTTCTCCTTCTCATCAACGAGCTGAGCGGCAATGGCAGCAACGTAGTTGATAGCCTCCTCGGAAGAAGCAATGGTGCTCTTGTGCTTGGCCTCGAGGATCTCCTTGAGGATGGCAGAGACGGTGGAGATATCACCGGCGCGAGAGACTTCGGGGATCTTGCCGTCGACGACGTTACCGACACGGGAGAGGGTGTCGAGAGCCTGGCGAGTCTTCTCACGAGCCTCAGGATCGGCAAGAGTCTCGTTGTTCTTGTTCAAGCCGGGCAACATCTTAGGCAAGAAAGGAGCGACAAGCTGGGGGTCCTCCACAAGCTTACACATGTTGTCGACAATGACAGCGGTCTTACGCTTGATGGCGGTCTCACGCTCAACGAGACCACGATCCAGCAGAGGAACCATGATAGCGAGGGTAGGACCGGTGACATCAGTAACGAAAGTGGTAGCACCGAGCAAGTGAACGGTCTCGGGGACGTTCTCGGGCTTGGCAATACACTTGATCAGCTCGGGAATGAAACGCTCAATATCCTTGTTGACAATCAGACCGCAGACCTTCTCCATGGTGGAGTAGGCAGCCTTCTTGATCTCGGACTTGGTGTCCCACATGGCCTCGGAGATGACGGGGATCAGAGTGGGAACTTGGTAGCCAAGCTGCATCTGGGCGGACTCAACGAGGATGTTGATGCAGTCAAGGGCAGCCATCTTCTCCTGCCACTTCTGGGCGTTGGCGAGAGAGTCGAGAATAGGGGTGATGATGGCCTTGACGGCGTTACCGCTAAGAGCCTGAACGATAGCGACAGCAGCGGACTGGGCAGCCTGCTTGACGGGGACCATCTTGTCACCAACGGCGGCGAGGACGGGGCCGAGGAGAGCCACGAGGTGAGGCTCAACAGCGGGGGAGACTGTGGAGTGCGAGGCAATAGCACGGATACCCTCGCAGGCACGCTCACGGGCAACAGCGTCCTTCTTGTTGGCGAGCTGCTTCTTGAAAACCTCAGCAGCCTTGGCAGGGAGAACCTGCTCGGGGATAGGACCGCCAAAGAGAGTGGCGAGGTTGTTGGCCGCGGCAATGGTCTCATCGGCGCTGGTGGAGATGTTGAGGTTCTTGATCAGGTCCTCGAGGACAGCGACCGACTGGGCGGTCTCCTTGCCAGTAACGGCAGGAGAGCTGGCGACGTTGGCGGCAGGCATTTTGGAAGAAATTTTGGCGGTTGGGAAAAAGAAGGGGTATTAGAGTAAAGAAAGAAAAATCCTTCCTTTTTTTTCTATGAGGGGTATCGTTGAAATTTTTTTTGAGCAAAAGACTCAACTGCGTCGAAGTTCTAGACGCAAGCGCTCAAAGATTGGAGCGAAAGAGTTTCTATTCTGTCTATGCAGAGTAGAAAACAAAAAAAAAGAAAGAAGAGGCCGACCCTCAAAAAAAAAAAAGATGCAGGAGTGGAGGAGAGGAGGGGGAGAAGAGAAGGGGGGCGAGGATATTTATCGTGTGGCATAACCTGAGCGGCAAAACCCTATGAAAATGGCAATCCAAAAAAAATTTCAAAAATTTTCAGGCCCATTGTCCACCATTACCGAACTAGGCTTAGCCTATCTGTCTCTGCACCCTGATTGGGTCAAGTCCTGCTTTTGGCCGAATCCCCTTTATGTGATTGGTTGCCCATGTTGCCTGTCTGTATTCGGCATAGTGTGTGGCTTTTATTCTATTATTCTATTATTATTTTCCTTTAAATCATCTACATTATACATTGTACGGAGTACATTTAGATCTATTGTACAGTAGACCTATTGACTTCCTATTTAGAACTTATTGGATCATACTGAATGTATTAAATTGACCTCTGATATAGACTACCAGAATGATCACCGCAACCCGTCACATACATGTGCCTAACCTCTGCCTGACCACTTTCGTAATCTATTTTCATACTATGGTGTTGACACTCCAATCCTTGTATATTGTACATCGTAAAACCAGCCCGAGGCGCGCCAGTCGCCGTTCGCCACCCATGATCGAGTGGCGCAGTACCCCTTGGAACTCCAATGAAGACACCCGAGTTTTCTCCAAGAGAACTAGAACAGCGTAGTTTTAGAGTTACCACGTTAAATCTTCTTCCGCCTTGTTATCCTGATCTTCCCGTATCCATCCAGACCCAGACTTGGCATTTCCGTGTCAACTGCGGATGCTTAGCCGTTAAATCTCATCCGAGGCAACATATGTAGTTGACATGTAGGTCAGAGCTGAGTAGTATCTTTGCCAAAAGTCAGTCCGGAATCAAAATCAACGTCAGCCTGTCCGACTAATATCCATTACTCTTCCTAGCGTAAATATCTAATTTTGGTCAACATGTCCTTTCTAGACGTCCAATTAAACAGTGGACGAATATCAACGGGATAAGAATTTTTTTCACCGCTCGGTTTATCTTATCGCTTATCGCGTGTTATACATAAAAATCTTCGAGAAACTTGGCTCTTGTACTCATACCTCTCCTACTAATAAAACCATCTAGAAGGAACTGTTGACCTAGCGTTATCGTAGTCCCCTTATCCCCCGCGAAAGGATTCAGATTCGGGTGGCAAAACGAACCCCTAGGGAAAAAAACAAAAAACAAACCCGAACTCTATTTTTATCAAGTCCGAACGCATCTACTCGACACCACTCGTATAAGAAATCTTTTTCCCCCTTAGACGCCTTGAGAAGGTAAGGCGTAGCACTTGACCCCCGGTTTGTTCTTGAAAGGCTATTTATTCGTGACTTGTATACTCAAATAGGCCATCTTCCAACCAGTTTCAGTATACATTCCGTTATGAATAAAAGTCAAAAAGATCAACACAAAACAAAATTGGATCCCGGGGGCCTAGAACTATATCCGTACCATCTGGAGACAATCATGAAAAATGGAAATGGACATATACAAACTCGAGATTTCAGCGCGAGCGAATCATCTTTTCAGATTATTTTTTTCCCCAAACCATAGTCATTTCTGGAAGGGACCCGACATCTGAATTTGCAGATTCGTTTCTTTTCCGTTCTTCTGAACGTGGCGTTCGCCACACACCTACGTCGGGGCGAGGTCATCACATCTACACTGTACACTTCGGTGTTCGGCAATACTATCGTGTGGTTTATTATTCCTAGGTAAATATTAGGTGTCATCCGACATCCGACATATCACAGAAAGTGGATCCGCATACGGCCCCAGTTGTTTATTTGATGGGGAACGGAGGCGAATCTTCATCTTACTGATCTAACTGTCTTTGTAAGTTTGACAAAGAGAGTTAGACTGCCGAGATGTGTTAGACGTTGATTTGGATCCGGGGTAGATGCCGTGGAAGAAGGCTATACTCCGTGCTCTGTATAGTTATTATCTTGCATGAAGATCTGATCCTTTCATTTCTAATTTTGCATGTGTTTCTTATTTTTATTTTTTTCTTTCTGTCACAGCCCCTTTTAGTCCATGCTTCGTTACGAGGCCCCTCCGTTCCGGACATAGCGCTTAGACCCTTTTCGATGATACATACTTCCAGGGGTTGGTCTGGTATGAGCCTATCGTTTTGAAGAAGCAGGGGAAATAAAGGGGTAAGAAAGACAACCTATCGGAGGGACAGTCTCGTATACATAGTTTTAAGGCTGGCGGGTTTGTACGACGTGCATCGTACTCCATGCAAGCGCCTTTCGCCGCATGCTGTTGTATCCATTTTTTAGATTCCTTGGTGTTGACATGCATAGATAGCTCAATAGAAGAAATTTCTATGATAAGATTGAGCTGAGATTCCCTGACAAATAGTAGGTCTACATAGAGAAAAAAAAAAATAAGTGTTAAGGTAATTAGTATGTGGGAATGCACAACTCTATAAACCAGGCACAAGGACACAGCACCACCGACACGCCCAGCCAAGCAATATCAGATCATCGCATCCCGTAAATCTATGTTCAGACCATGAACAACAAAACAAGACAGAAAATAGAATAAAAAAGCACACCGGGGATATATACAAGACTTCATAAGAGCAGCTCACCAGACCAGAGAACGAGGTCTGAAATCTGGGGGCTGCAAGCGTCGAGTAGTACCACAAGGACCCGATGATTCTCAGAAGAGACCTGTCCTTGTGGGTGAGGTGTCGTAACAAGTGATATGGCGAGATTTAAGGGTTAGGGGGTGAATACAGGAAGGACGGGGACATCGATATGCGTAAAATCGCCGGGAAACCCCGATGTCTGTACAAAAAAGTGAGATCGCTTGAAACTCCAGACCCAGATGCGCGACACAACTCCGTGACAAAAAAAAAAAAAAAAAGAAAAGAAAAGCACAACAACAATAGACGTGACTAGCTTTCATGGCTTCTTCTTAACGTGACTGCTCCCTGTTTCAGATGGGAGTTCGTCGCCATCGATGATACGCCACAGACGGCGCGGAGAGAAGTTGTTGCCGAATAGGTAGATCCCGACGAACCAGGCTGCAAGGAGATTGGCGAGGTGGTGGAGGAGGTACGCGTAGGAGACGCCGTAGATCGCCGAGTAGATGGCGATGGCGAAGAAGATTGTTGAGGTGACGTGTCTGAACCTGAGACGGAGATAGGTATGTTAGCTTAAATCTGCAAGAGCGAAAGAGGAGCCTAATAGAACCACCCTACTTACCTGGTCGTAATGCGCGGGATCATAGCGCCGCTGGTCATGGTCTCGACGAGAATGAGGAAGGGCATGATAGATAAGACGTTGTGGTGGGATGAGAATGGCATAAACCAGTGCACAACGAGGTTGTGGGCCCAAACCAGGAGAACAAGCACGTTAATTGGCAATACCCACAACATCAGGGTTAAGATAGATTGTGCGTAGTTCCCAAAGTTCAGGTGCGAGGTCGATCTGGTTTCCTTGGCGTGCCATTGTGCCCGCACACATGTGGCTAGCTGCACAATGCAGGCGACCATGTATGCAAATTGATAGGGGATGACAGTCGAAACAAGGATCAGAAGGATAGCGGTGTGGATAATGCGTCGCCGAGGAGTGGGGGTGTGGAAGATCGGCAGATTTCCCCGGTCTTCTCGCCGGATATAGCCTGACTTGCTGTGCAGAATCCCATAGACCCAGGAGAGGATGTTCACGAGGACGAGGGCGAGATAATTGACAAGAACGCAGACCCCAACGCTGATAAGACCAAATACTGGAACTAAGAACCAGAAGAAAGCGTCTTGGGAGCCAAGCAAGAGGTCATTCTTGGTGAAGTCGACGGGAGTCTCGGTCGAGTTGGACCGCCAATGGAGGGGTTCGTCGGTCTGAGGTAGGGCTTTGGAGGTAGCCAGGGAGGAGGCCAAAAGAGACATGGCCACCAGCAGAATCGGGAAGGAAGACCGCAATGCACGATCAAGGCCATCGTTAAAGGGAATAAAGTAACCAGACTCATCATAGACCTGGAACTGCTTCCGGAGAACGAGGGCAACGACGAGCAGTGGGAATGCCGCGAAGACGGTCCGGTACCGCATCACTAGCTCGCCAAGACTGCTGGCGAGATCGACTTGAAGGGAGATATCGACCGTCGAGCCAGAGGTTGGATCCGTCCACAAGTGGAATGATACGCCCCCTAGGGCGGCCTGTTCGCTGATTGCAGGCGGCATATACGGTGCCACACCATGCAGGTTAACGCTGACTTCATTGACATTAACGAAGAACTTCGACTCGTGAGGGTCGGAGACAGATTGCCGGAGCAACGGAGCGAACAGCTCCTCCTTCTGTGGGTGGCGAGTGATCTTCAGCCGGTAGTCGAGCAGGCTCGAATACAGTGCGGGGATCTTCACCTCGGTGAGCATGGGTCGGTTCGCGGGTAGCCGCATTTTAAGACCAGCACTAAGCAATCCTCCCAGTCCCACCTTGGCCCGGATTATTGCATCCGAGCTGTCTGAGAACTCGGCGACAAGGAAGCCTGGAGTTGGCACATTGGCCTTGTCCACGACGGCCACGAATTGATGTTCTGCAAGACTCTCCAAGTCGTACTGGAGATACGAGAATGGCGGGTTACGATCATAAGCATGTTTCGATGCGCGGGTCGAGGCAGGCAAATGAATGCTATCTTCCGCCGCGCTTTTGCAGGCCAAACGGGTTGAGCCCACGGTGCCACCGGAGAAATCCAAATTCAACGGGAAGTTGGTTGAACGGCCATTGGATAGCGGGAACACGCTGCAGAAGAGAACCTCAATGTTACCATTCTTGTCAAGCGATTGGTCCGTCAGCAAAGTAAACTTTTTGCCAGAAACACCCTGGGGAGGGATTGGTAAAAGGCGAACATCCGGGCCATGCTGTAGGCCCAGTTCACGCAGGATGAGCCGTTGGCTCTGTGCAAGAATGGTGTTTGCGTTATCTTCAAGTGTCAAAAGGGTATTTGCTTCCTTCTGGGGCAGTGTACGCTCAGCCACTGATTCCAGACCCGTCAAGTACCATCGCTTGAGCACACGCATCCGTTCTGCCCGTGGTTTCGTTTGGGTAGGGCGTCGGGCATCGACGATCTCAAACAAGGATTTAATAATCGCCTTGCGGAATTGGTCGCACCAAGTAATCGACAGATGATCCATGCCAATCCAGACATCTGGAATAGACGAGGTAAATACGGTAAATCCGTGTGTCTCGGGAACAAGGGAGGAGATGCTGGCGTAATCGGAGGGCACCACAGTATCACGCGCACCACCCGCGATGGAGATGAGAGTAACATGCCATAGCGGGTTGTTATTGGCCCATGTCTGGGCATAGGCATCGCGCCAGTAGTCGTTGATTTGTTTATAGGTGTGAACAATGTCGGAATCGAAAGAGACGGGCGGTTTTGCGTGAGGTGCAGACATGGTGATGATCGTATTGACCGAGTTAGCCTGGTAGTTTGCCATAGTCAGAGAAGTTCGTGCCACTATCCCACCCATCGAGTGTCCAATAAGGATGACTGCACTGGGGTCTGGCAACCCTGGATCTCGGCGGGTGCGTCGCGGATCATGGTATAGCGATAGAATGTACGAGATCGCCTCGTTCACGTATTCCGCCTGATCCAACAGAGTTTGTCCATGGAACGCCGCCATATCCTCATTGAAGTCCACCATGAAAAAGTCCAAGCTCCGCGTTCCGGCCGCATGGCGGCTCTCATCGTGTGCGACTACATCGTAGTAATGTCGTGAGGCCTCGGCGGCCAAAGATCGGACTTGGCGATAGCTTCCAGCATTTCCGGGAAGGAACAGAACTGGCACGCCGTTTAACTAAATATCCAAGTCAGCAAAGAATCAGAGCGCATGGACCGAGGGGGGACCGTACCCCGATGTTATCCTGGGTATAAGGATCCACACCTTCCTCCCGATAAAGGAAGAGATTGTATTTGCTTGCAAAACGGGTGTGTTCCGTGTCAAACTCTAGCATACGAATGAACGTCGGACTCATCATTGGGACACCGCACCCGTCTCCGCCATGTTGCCGACCGGCGAACGAGCTCACGATGGAGATCAAGAACGCGACAGCAACGCAAGTGGTCAAGGCCGTCAGGATAGAGCAGGACCATGGACTGCGTTGTCGGGATTGTCGCGCAAGACGGCCTTCGGGAGGGGGAGCTTCCATTGGAAGTCGAGGGGAACCCAATGGCATCGGTTTGGTATCGTTGGAAGGTTGGGACAACGGGGTGCGCCACATGCTCGAGTTTCGGGAGCGCGGTGTCGCACTGCCGTCGCGGCGAAGGTCAAAGCTGGTGCCACGCCTAGCTATTTGGGATCTGGTTTTCTCGTCGATGGCGGTCCCATCGTCTGCTCGGGAGGCGGAGTCTTCGTCCTCGACGGGGGAGCCCGACGAGCGTCTGTGCATTGGAGAAGGCGGAGCCAGGACTTCATCCAGCACACACAGACAGGTTCTTGGCGCAGGGGGTTAAACCTCGCAAGAGGACCCTTAACGAGTAAGGAACGAGGGGAAGGGAAGGGGGTTGGAATGGGGAACAGGAATGGAAGCCGGGGCGGTTGGAGGTTTGTCTGGGCCTTGGCGGAGAAAAGCACGGCTCTGACCCTGACAGCCCTGGAATGGGTTTTTTTTGTGGGTACGTTTCAAGGTCTTGTATTAATCATATTAACTGTAGAAGTGATTCTTTGTATCTTTCGAAATTAGGATTTTTTTGGGCTTATAATAATCATCGGTCTGGAGATGGTTTCTTTTTCTTTCTTTCTTTCTTTCTTTTTTTTTTTCGACGCAATTGGTATGATAGCCTTGGCAGTGACCACAAGACTTTAGTATATAGCCCTAGAAGCTTGAAGTCACCAAGGCCCTATAAGCACGACCTATTATATTTGACATTACTCCGTGTCATAAAGAGGAAACAAATATATGTTCAAGTATTGAAGTACATGCAATAGGGACTACAGTAGGCAACCATGTATCCCATCATGATGTTCCTGCAGGACGCGTATGTCACTGGCTTACTATAATACGCAAAGCCCCCTAGAGGGTATCCTCCTAAAGCGTATCTTCTACCATATGTGAATTGAAGTATTCACACCAAATCTCCGGACTTATATCGACTCTGTCATGGGGGGAGTATACTATTAATATAACATCCAGTAATGAGTTCATAACTATCGTTCTCTCAATTCAGTCCATCGTATCTGTATCTCCAAATCTCAGTGAGAATGTACCAGAAATACGAATGGATCCCTGCACTGTAGCCTTGGAAAGAGCCTCTCACGTTTACTGTGTTTTGATTCTCTGTACCTCCAGGTCCTGTTCTCCCGTCTTTTACGCTGGGAATCCTACAATTCATCATTCTGCACAGTAGAGGTGAGTACTGATTCCTCTTTACTCCACTGTCCCAAAGAAAATGATGATACCCTTCAGCCCTAGGACTGGCTTGCGTGCCAGAATGAACACCAAGCACATTCGGATCCGTGACACGACAAACCATCTACCATTGCACATCAAAGCCATTGAGTGATACCCGCTAACCCTCTGGTGAATTACAGGGCAACAAACCTTGGGAGCACACATAAGAGTGAAGTGGACTGCTGACGTCAATATACTACAAAAACGGAGATCAATAAAGTGAGTCGGAAGCCAATTTATCATTTGTCCAAGTATCTCATTATGTTTCTTCCATATCTCCCCAATAAAAATTCCAGGTCGCTGCAAGGTCGTACGAAGCAATCATCAGTCGTCGCGTGGGTATCTCAAGTCCATACACCACAGTCTTGAAAATTCCTGGCAAGTCTAAGCTACGATTGGACTCCTAGCCTTCTCGGGATCTTCCCCCAAGTCATCCTTGGCGCTGAGGCCACGGTGAGCAGCAACCTCCTGGAGATCCGCGTCATGCTCCGCGTCGAAGTTACGACCCAAACGCTCCGGCCCAGCAAGTGTAATGATAATGACATAGGCAAAGACACAGCCCATGAAGATGCAGATAACCTTGCCGTATTCATAACGGTGGGGAGCTTTCTTAGTTGGAGGCAGCGGGAAGCGTTCACCGATAGTTGATTCGATGGTCGAGCTAGCGGAGGAGACCAAATTTCCGAGTTGGTAGGCGGTGCCAACAGCAAAGGTACGGATGGGTCCTGGCGATAGCTCCATCAGGTGAATGGGGATGACACCCCATGCACCCTGGACCATGAACTGCTCAAAGTAGGCTGCAGCAATAACATTCTTGTTCTCGACAAATGTGTAAGGGTAGAGAAGGGCGCCACCGACGATGGAGATGACGATGATGGAGAACCGACGACCGAAGATCTGACTGGCCCACCCGCATAGCACGCCACCTGACAAAGCGCCTAGGTTGGCAACGACTTGTGTGACAGTGACTGCGTTTTTGGAGAATTTGAATTGGTTCTCCAGCATCGTCGGGTACAGATCCTGAGATCCGTGCGACTAGTTCCCATGTTAGTGTTCTTCCGTTGCTTGAATAGCAAGTAATCTCCACATACCATAAAATTAAACCCAGACATCAGCAGAACCAGGTATACGAGTATCAGCCAATGGCGCTTCAGTGCGACCTTTCCTTCTGATACAAAGGATGCCGCAACACCTCCGCGCATTTCCTGTCTTGCTTCTTGACGTCGACGGAAAGTCTCGGTTTCACCTAGGAACAATCGAAAGATAATAATCAAGACTGGTGGGCAAGCTGCAAACCAGTACAGTGGCCGCCAACCATGCGGGGTCGTATCGACAAGAGCTCTAGCGAAAGCCGTGGCGAGCAGATATCCAAAAGCGTAGCCTTGCTGCAAGAGTCCCGAAATGATACCGCGGGCTTCAGGTGGACAATCCTCCAGGGCGGTAGCAGCCGCATTGCCGTACAAGCCACCCATGGCGATTCCGAACAAAGCGCGACAAGCCAAGAACTGTTTATAAGTTTGGCAGAAACCAGCGCCGAGCTCGAGGACCACGAAAAGCATCTGGTTGACGATGAAGGGCCATTTACGGCCCCATCTATCAGAAGCGATTCCGAAGGTGATGGCGCCGACGGATCGTAGCATCAGCACTAGAGTGATACCCCATGTGATGTCGGTTACGGATTTGTCGAATGTTTTGGCAAGCTCGGCAGTAGTCAGTGAGACGGTAAAAAAGTCGAATGCATCCCAAGACCAGCCTAGAAAGGCGACCTATAGGGTTAGGTTGGTTAGCTGGATGATCTTGCCTGTCAGCCCTCGAGGGAGATTGACATACTGTGAAATTGAGCCACTGAGTCGTGTTGAGCAGTGTTAGAGCCTTGAACGGGTTGGGGGCGGGGTTCATGGGAGGCACGAGAGAGGAAATACGAGTGGAGAAGTAGCGACCAATGCTCATATGCTCTTCGACATCCGGCGAGGGTGTCGCCGCATACTGAGGCTTTGCCTCATCCATTGCTGAAAATCTTGGGAGCGCCTATGGAAAGGAGATTAAAACTCTGATTGCAACTTCCAAAGGAAAAAAAAAGAAGATAGACCAGAAGCCAAAACAAGGGGGTCAGCACGGCTCTAAATACGACATCATCCCCCGCGCGTCACCAAACGTAGCGGACATCCCGAGGATACGGAATCAAATGACCATGTCTGACGCGAAAGCAGGGATGGGATATGATCTTATTCGCAGGTCAGCAATCTGGAATCGGAGGGGGACGAATAGGGGGGTCTTAGCTTGCCGATCGTACATCTATGGGGTATCGAACACGCGAGAGTCCCCGTGGGGAAAGAAAAAGTTTCCACTTCGGAGCGGTGTTTCGGCGTGTTTTTGATGCAAGGCACACGGCCTTTTTTTCATTCTGGTATAGAATTCTTTGTCTTTTTCACTTCTACAGTATAGCTTGACTTCTACTTTTTCAGAAACTGTGTTCTTAAGTTCAGATATAGTGAATGCCTGCCTACAGAAAAGTACCTCAACGCAAAGGCATACAATAGGTACAAGATACTCCACATTTCCTGGACCAGGGATATTACGGAGTAAAATGGAGAAAAATGACATGTCAGAGAAATCCCACATCTCTTTGCACTTTTCATGGGTGATAAGCCCTCGGTCACCTTCCGTCTCGGTTTATCCTGATCGCCGGTTTTGTTATAAAGCCACTAGGCTGTAGACTTTAGACTTTTCACATAGAAACATCTCCATAATCCATAGTACAACATACCGATTAGCCGATATAGTCAAGCCCTCTCGTATATTAACCTTTGAATACCGTTGCTTGGCACGGCTTTTGTAAACTAAGACTTTTGGATAGACTGCCAAGCATTAGCGCGAGTGGTCATGCCCGGCTCCCCCAAGTACGGTGGAGTATACCTGGGTAGAGCTACTTGTTATCAATGTTCATGTATCCCATTCCTTCACTTGATATCTCAAAACCTCGCAAAGAACGAGCTTCAAGACCTTGAAAGACCGTTCTTGGCTGCAGTGCCAATAAATGCCATGGTATTGGCAAGAAAGCTTTTATCACCACGCACGGACTCCGATGCTTGGCTAAATTGGGCTGAATCCTTCGCTACCCATCAGACTAGAAGAGTCTCCACTGTTCGGGAGTACATGGCTGAATGGGTAAGTATGCTTGAGGGTGTCAATCTTCACTTTTGTTATGAACTGAGGGGAAGTATTTCAGCCAAGATAACGTTGCTCGCTTTTCTCAATGGCATTTTGCTGACAATAAGAGGTTCTTTGTAGCGAGGCACGTTGGGGCTAGAGTACCGCTTTTAACTCGGCCGACTGCAACCCGTTTCGTAAAAGACACCGACGAACGCCGGCTTGCACCGAACATATGTCCCCGAGGCCTTGACCCTTGGGGAGGAGAATTATGTACCATGCTAATGTTTGTCCCCATCACCAGAATGCGAATCAAGGTCATGAATCAGAATTAAGTTTGTACTGCCTTCGTGGACTTTTGAAACTAAACTGTGCATATGCTGTCTCGTAAAAACAGTTCATGTTTCGAAAGAATAGTCCCAGCCCCTGTTGGTGTTTTCGGATTTAATCATTGCGTACGTAGTACGCAGTACTTCGATCGAGGTTTTCTCCGTACGTAATATATCAACCTTGCTAGGGCACTATCTCGAGAGGAGTCTTTCAAACACGGCCTGGGATAGCATTTATAAAAGTATGTATGTCTCTGTAGGGCATTCACCCCCACACAGCAACAGTTATAGCGCTGTTCTACCACCAGTAGCCGATATCAATTTGAACTCACCAAGCACCGCCGATCTGATTGGACCTGATTGGTTTGAGTAGCTGGTTCCTCTCTATACTAGCTGAAGAACAAGTTGACTGACCTCGGGACCATTGTTTCAATATGGAATCAATCATACCACCAAACACCAAGCAGTTCTCACATCAGCAAATGGGATTTTCAATCGGCACAGAAGCCGTTGAGATGGACCATAATGCACTGTGAATCGATGACCAATACCACTTGAGTCTCTTCTATAATTATCTCCCAAATCAGGAATGCTCATCGGTTCCTTGCAGCCTGTCAACTGCGGGTCGATAGTCTTGGCATTGACCCTAGCATGGGATATGTAGGTGCCAAATGCCAAATGCCAAACGCTAGGTTCACAATCAAACAGATACATACTATTGGTTACTTGTATCAGCTGAAGAAGAACGAAGCCACATTCTATGACAAGGAGGCTGTGTCAATCTAAAAAGCCCTTGTGAGGCGGTGCTCAATTTCCCGCTCAGCCCGCTTGCCCCGCTGATGCCGTGTATTTATTGTCAGGTCATCCCCAGACCACACCTTCTCGTTCAGCCCCTATTTTCTACATATCAGCCTAACACTTATCCAACAACTAAAACTCCCTAAGAACAATATGTCGTACGGAGGACCCCCGCAAAACCAATACGGCGGTGGTGCTGGTTACTATGACCAGCAAGGCCAAGGATACCCCCCGCAGGGTCATTCCCAACCACAGCAAGGCTATTACCCAGAAGTGAGTTGGCACACCAACATGACATGCTGTTGCACACGACCGAGTCGCACAGCGCCCACACTCTCAACTCCACCTCCGTACTCGTACCGCGGCTATAGATAACTAACTTTCCGCGCTACAGGGCCAACAAGCTTACGGTCAGCCCCAGTATGGCCAGTACCCAGGTCCGTATGATCAGCACGGCGGCCAGGGCTACCCCCCACAGCACCAGCAGGGCCAGTATCCTCCCCAAGGCAGTCCTGGATACGAACAGCCTCCCCATGATCGTGGCCACTCGCCCTATCCTCCCCAGCAACAGCATTACCCGCAAAGTGGTGGCGAAAGCTCGGCTTACTATGGTGGCCAACCCCCGTACCAACAACAACCAGGACAACCTGGTACGGTAGGACCGGAGGGCGACAGAGGCCTTGGGTCGACGCTGCTTGGTGGCGCGGCTGGCGGGTTCATGGGTAATAAACTTGGCCATGGTATTCTCGGTACTGCGGGCGGTGCTGTTTTGGGTGCTGTTGGTATGAATATGGCAACTAATAAGCTGTGAGTCTTGATCTTTACGCTATCTCTCTTTTTGTTTGGGTCTTCTCGGTTGAGATGGGGCTGACTGTGGTATAGTGGGAAGGAGGCTAAGAAACATAAGAAAGAGAAGAAGCATAAGAAGGATAAGAAGCACAAGCGGAAGAGCTCGAGCTCGAGCTCCAGTTCCTCCAGCTCGTCCTCTGATAGCGACTAATTGGTCTCACTTTCTTTGGCGTGATTGGTTACGATGGCTGATTGTATCCTTCAAATTTTGTATACCCTGTCTTTTTCTTTACTGCTTTCTCCCGTCCGGTATCTGGCCCGTCTGAGGATCTCCTCTTGGGTGACTCAAGGACCTTTATGCGTTACGTTTATCATATGCATTGCATTCTTACTGAGATGACAGCTCATCAACAAAGTTTAATGTCCGAATCATACGACTATTATTCAGTTGATGGATTATACTAGAGTGTGTTAGCCTAAATTTCTGCCCGATAAATCTTCACTTGATTTCCATTCACAGTGCACTTGAATATAGGAATGACCAGGGCCGTGATGTGAATCCAAATCGTGTATTATTACATTGGCCAATGTTTGTTATTGAGATGGCTGACGTGCCTCAGGCTTGTTTTTCTTCGCCTGAATAGACTTATTGAAGAAAGCCTCTGGGTCGATGCTACTGTCCAGATCGAAGCACAGCTGCGGGACTTCCTTTGGTGATTCCCACATAAAGCGCCACCTTTGTGATATCGGATTCCAGTATTGTCGTGGCACAAGAGCAGACAGACGTCTCCATTGACGACGCATGAGCCTGACTGTAATTGTATGTGGCCGGCCATTGGCGTATTCAGCAAAGGTGGTACCCTTCTCAGGGCCTCTAGCCAGCAAAGTGAAGAGCTCACCACCAGACTTGGTCTCAGACATAGTTTGTGAGATCCGAGGGTTTGAGCCTCTCCTTTTGACAGGCTCCCATGGTATAGTACCAGATATGAGTCCTCGAAGCACCTGGAAATCCTTCTCTGGTAATGGTGGAAGGAGACTGCCCAATGTGGCATTGTACCATTTCCTCCGAATATTTCTCTTCCGAGACTGGCATATTTCTTTGCCCCAGCTGTCTTCCTTAGGAATCGGGGGTTCCAATTGTTTGATCAACGGCCTGATACGGACTGCTGCAACCACTGTGTTCTGCATTTGAGAAGCTGCGAGGCTCTTCACGATAGCCGAGGGTTCCCAGTCATCACTGAAGTCAGCAGGCCGGGAGAGTAACTCTTTGAGAGCCAAAGAGTCATTAGGGATTTCGGGTTTTAACATCTTTGCCAACAGCTCATGTCGCCGTCTCCCAGTGCGACCGTACGACAGCAATAACACTTTCTCGAGAGGACGTGAATAGCCTTCATTTGCTCGGCGCAGAACCGACAACGCGTTTCTTGCCGCATGAACCGCCCGAGGACCAGCCTTCGGGGAACGGGAGGAAGCAGCGCGATATCGGGAGGTGATATGGTCTTTCATGTAGTTGCGAGCGATAGGGTCAGGTAGATAGGTACATTCGCGCAGCGTAGCGCGAAATAAATGGCGCCATTGCTGTGGTGTTGAGAGAGTATGCAGCCAATGCTGAGGCTGTGGTCTGGCCATCAGGGATATTTCACTATAATGCAATTAACAAGCGCCAAAAAAAAAAAAGAAATCCCAAAACGGAGAAACGCGAAATTCTTGGCAAAATGCGTGTCACGGGAACTCCGACGCGCCATTTTCGCCGTTTCTCCCCCAAACCCCGCGAACATTGCCCTGCCTTGCATTGAGCCTCGGATCTTGACATCTCAATTTACATTCGACACCTCGTTCGGTCGCTTTCTGGCCTTGAATGGTATTCTGTCTGGCCTGCGGTTTCCCTCCACAGGGTTAGCCACGCGCCTCCTTGATCTCGCGTCATTCCAATCGACATCCGGTATCTTTCTCCTTGCTACCTATTCTACCACATCATTACCCGATTTGTTAGCTGACATTTCCTGGAAAGTCCAGCATGTCATACTCTCAGGGTAGTGTAGGTTCGAATGGAATGGCCTACAACATGTTGAATGCTTCGCAATCCCTTAACTCCACCCCTCGCGCAACTCCTCCAACCCCGAAAGCATCTCAGATGTCCTCTTTTGGTTACCCGAACGGACTCCCACGAAGTAGCTTTGGTGGATATGATGGAACCAACGACTATGGGTCGGTAATGTCATATCAGGAGGAGTATAAACCACAGATTTACCGAGTTCGTGGTCTTTACCCACACCCACAGAGAATGCCACTGACGAGGCTTGAACTAGGCTGTCTATTCTAATGTCGCCGTTTATGAGATGGAAGTAAATGGTGTCGCTGTGATGAAACGTCGATCCGATTCTTGGTTGAATGCTACACAAATTTTGAAAGTCGCCGGTGTCGTGAAAGCAAGACGTACGAAAACCCTTGAGAAAGAAATTGCGGCAGGTGAACACGAGAAGGTACAAGGTGGTTACGGAAAATACCAGGGTACGTGGGTCAACTACCAACGAGGCGTCGACCTATGTCGAGAGTACCACGTTGAAGAATCACTCCGGCCACTGCTAGAGTACGATATGAGCCCTGACGGCTCCGGAGCTCCTGCCCACGGATCAACAATAGATACACCCACCAAAGAACAAGCAATGGCCGCGCAGCGCAAGCGCCTTTACAACGGCGGGGAGAATCGCAGTGCGTCGCAGCCACAGCAGGGAACTTTCTTCCAAAATATCTCCCGAACTGCTGCTACCGCTGTTAATGCCCTTAGCAAAGCGCGCTTCGACTCGCCCAGCTCTAGCAGTCGTCGGCCTAGCATGCCTCGCAAGCCGTCACAGCAAATGAGCAGCCAGGAATCCGGGCTTGCGTTCAGCAGCCAGCAGAGCATGTACAGCATGTCCGACAGTGGGTTTGGCAGCCTACAGAATCGGTACCAGGTGCAAGATGACACCGACGATCTTGCGGAACCTCCCCGCAAACGCATGCGCTCTGCTTCGCACCACGCTCCGCCTATTGGTCTCACTCGAGAGCCGTCCAATCTATCCATGCAAGAACCTACTCCCACAGAACCTAACGACTCCTTTTATCAAGATATGGATCTTCCTCCCCCTCCCATGGATGATGGCTCAAAACGCGGCGTCGAGTCTCTAGCGCCTGCTTCCACTCCAGAGAGATTCCAAAAAATGAAGCTCATTATGACATTGTTCCTCGATAAACGAACAAAAGACTTTACAAATCACCCAGCCTTGCTGCAGTTGACCGGGGACGATCTTGAAATCCCCCTTGACGAATACCGAAACAATGCTCTTCACTGGGCTGCGATGCTTGCCCGCATGTCACTGCTCAATGCGCTAGTCGCCAAGGGAGTTAGTATATCGCGAGTCAACGGTGCTGGAGAAACGGCCCTGCAAAAGTCCGTGGGCACTCGGAACAACCTTGATTATCGAAGCTTCCCACGGTTGCTGCAAGTGTTGGCTCCTACCATTGACATGGTCGATTACAGCGGACGCACCATCCTGCACCACATTGCCATGATGGCTGCGACTGGTGGCGGTGGCCACGTATCCGCAAAGCATTATCTGGAAGCTCTTCTCGAGTTTATTGTACGACATGGAGGCACCGTCCCACGTGCGAATGGAGACCACGCGGCAAACGGGAACCCTGGTGGTGAAGTCATCTCTTTGGGACGATTTATCTCCGAGATTGTCAACCTCCGCGATGACCAGGGCGATACAGCCCTCAATCTCGCAGGGCGTGCGCGCTCAGTCCTTGTCCCGCAACTCCTGGAAGTGGGTGCCGATCCTCATATTCCAAACCACACTGGCCTCCGGCCTGCAGATTACGGTGTCGGTGTCGATATGGTTGATGGAAACTCTCAGTCTCAACAGCCGGCTAGTCGGAATGACACATTCATTGATCAATTAGCGAAATCAAAGAAAGAGATTCTTGATGGTGAGTGTCTTCCCACCACTAATATTTAGTATTGCTAACATGAAATCTAGCGGCAATGTCCCAAATTAGCGCAATGGTTGAGGAGACACTTGGGGGAATTGACCGAGAGTTGGCTTCAAGTTTGACACAAAAACAAGAGAGTTTCGATCACTGGCATACGAAGATCCGCGAGTCTGCCAAAGCTCGGCAGATCGAACAGAAGCAATTTGATGAGCTCAGACGCAAGGGTTCCGAGCGCGTGGAGTTGGACCGGCGCATCAAGAATCTGGAGCGGTCATCTGAGGGCTTGTTGGTAACAGTGAAGAACACACCAGGACTGGACGCGAGCAAGACGGTTGTTGTGGGTGATGCCGACAGAGATTCAGGTGTTGACGTCGCGACATTTGACACTCTGTTCCCCGAGGGGTTCGACCCAGCGTCCGGGTTCTCAGAAAAACAAGTCGCCTTCCTGGCCTCACTACCAGCAACCGATCTGCTTAGGCGTCAATCCCAGTGCTATAAAGAATTCAATGGAGGGATATTAGCCGAGGTCGATGGCCTGAAAGCTAAGAACGCAGTCCTTGGTCAAAATTACCGTCGCATGGTGATGGCATGCACGGGCTGGACAGCGGAGCAAGTAGATGAAGCTGCAGAGGGGCTCACGCAGTGCGTCAAGGAACTGAATGACAATCCCGTCCCCGAAGACGAAGCCATTGAGATCCTGATGCGGGATCGCGGGCAGGATTGGTAAACTAATCTTGGATGTATTGCATTATTCTCTGAGCGTTTGGGCGGCTTGTTTGGACGGCGTTGCTTCACTTGTATACAAATACCCTGGTGGCATGCATCCATGCCCGTTGGCACATGTCTTGTTATTTATGAGAAATGCAATTCCTGTACACTTCATCAGCGGTCTTGGCTGCATAGGCTAAATGTTGTGAGATTAGCCGGTTGAACTACTGGGCTTGGTGGCTTGAAGCCCCTGCAAGTTGCCAAGCTGGATATTTACCCCATCCCCCGCGTTTCGCCTGCTGGACTTTTGGATAAATAGCCTGCAGATAAGTACTTATAGGTCATGCGTAGCACCTCCTGACTCACCCTTGTACGCATCATTGTAACTTTGGACATTGCCTTGACATTCTTGATTCACCAACATGGCTACCGGCTTCCTGCACGTGAAGGGTGATACTGTTGTCGACGGAAATGGAGATGGGGTTGTGATGCGAGGAGCTGCTCTTGGAGGATGGATGAAGTATGCAAGCAATCAAATTGTCATAGTCATCTCCTGCCTCTGAACTAACATATCGTCTTGAAGTATGGAGAACTTCATTACAGGCTTTGCAGGCCACGAAGCCCAGCACCGCGCCGCCATGCGTCGAGTCCTAGGACAAGAGAAATACGAATTTTTCTTTGATAAATGGCTCGAGTACTTCTTCACCGAGGCGGATGCTAAATTCTTCGCCGAGCTGGGGCTGAACTGTCTGCGTCTGCCTTTCAATTACCGCCACTTCGAGGACGACATGAACCCCCGGGTGCTGAAGGAATCAGGTTTCAAACACTTGGACCGCGTCGTCGACCTGGTCAGTGCCTCACATATCTCTACATGGGTGTAATGATATCAGGAAATGAACTAATCGTAATGGCCGTGTAGTGCGCAGCACATGGGATCTATACCATCCTGGACATGCACGCCGTTCCCGGTGGCCAGAACCCAGACTGGCACTCCGACAACCCCACAGGCTATGCTGCCTTCTGGGATTACAAGGACCATCAAGACCGGACTGTTTGGCTTTGGGAGCAGATCGCCACCAGATATAAGAATAATCCTTGGGTTGCTGGGTACAACCCGCTCAACGAGCCTTGCGATCCTGAGCACGTGCGGCTACCCGCATTCTATGCTCGTGTTGAGAAGGCGATTCGAAAGATTGACCCCGATCATATTCTGTGGTTAGATGGTAATACATTTGCAATGGAATGGAAAGGATTCGACGAGGTGTTGCCCAATTGCGTGTATGCCATGCATGATTACTCGGTGAGTTTCGCATTATATCCCAAGCCCTTGACGACACCGAGTGCAGTATTCTAATACGCTCTGGCATTTAGTCAATGGGCTTCCCCACCGGCGATCGGTACAAGGGTACAGCCGAACAAAAAGAACGCCTTGAACGCACGTACCTCCGTAAAGCACAGTTCATGAGCGAGAAGAAGACCCCCGTCTGGAACGGGGAGTTCGGGCCCGTCTATGCGGACCAGGTATTCGATGTCGATGCCGAAACTGTCAACCAGGAGCGATACAACCTCCTCGGTGACCAGCTACGCATTTATGACAAGTATAACATCAGCTGGTCGATCTGGCTCTACAAGGACATTGGTCTGCAGGGTATGATCTATACGGATCCCGAGAGCAAGTGGAACAAGACACTCAAGCCTTTCCTGGACAAGAAGAGGGAATTCTGGCTAGATAAATGGGGCCGCCGGCCTAAGTCTGAGCCTGAGGCGGCTTTGAAGCCTTTGCTTGAGTGGATTGACCGTGTCAGTCCTACTGCGAAGGATACTTATCCCACTTCGTGGAATACGGAGTTGCATGTCATGCGGAATGTGTTTTACACATTCTTGGCGGCTTCGTTTGTGGATGAGTTTGCTGAATTATTCAGAGGAAGCAGTGAGAAGGACCTGGAAGAGTTGGCTAGGAGTTTCCACTTCGAGGGTTGTGTGCAGCGAGAGGGTCTGAATCGTATACTGAAGGACCACGCACATTCTTCTCAATCAGTCTGAGCACAAGGCAGTTCTCTTGAGCATATTATAATAAATTGAAATTCATGACTGATTCTGGTGCTCTAGAGCGTTGGGACCTCGGGGAGGTTAGATTAATAATAGATGTGATGCTCTATAAGCAGGGTGTGGAAATAATTTTCGTTCCTGGTGACATTGTGACTTCCTCATAAATACCACGCACCTCTGTTATCCACACACTATCGATAAGCAGAAAAATCGAAAAAGATCGCGGGGCACATTCTCGACTTCAAGATCATCAAAGGTTACTAGAGGGATTCGACATGGCTGAATCTACTGCGTACCCGTCCAATTTGGACAGCCTCTTTGAGGCCACTTCGCCTCTCAAAGACCGCATCGATCCGATCCGATTGACGTCAGACAACATCGTCCCGATCTTTAACCTGCCCCTCAGTCATAAGGTCCTAGGCCACGATGCTTCAAAAGAGTCTCTTGCACAGGTTGCAAGCGGCGAGGTCTCATATACCACCTTCGTCGCCGAACAGGCCCGCGCCGCCCTTCAGTCTAGCGATGACTTGACCACGGAACAAAAGCAATCGCAATTCCTGCACCTTGGACTAGCAGCTTTGTTCGGCTTCCTACAGTCTAACGTCACCGGTCCTCCCCTCGAATTCAGCTCATCCGAAGTTGTGTTGCCATCTATCCTGCGAGCCGAACCCACAACGCTCAAGACTGTGCGGGCAAAGATCATCCGTGACCTTACCCTTGATGGAGAATATGCTTACAAGCTCACACCCAACCCGGAATTGTTCGCTGTTGCCAAGGCACTGCTGGCCGATGCGAGCAGCGATGGACCACTTGTGGCAAAGACCGCGCGTATGCGTACCAACTTCCTTCACCAAAAGATGCTTTCGGAGGTCACGAGTACTCTCCAGGATGTCATCTACAAGGATGTCGAGATCCTGGATAAGGCTGAGTTGAACTCAGACGAGAGAAGTCGGTTCCTGCTGGAAAGGGCCACTATCCACACACATCACGGGTTCGATGTCAAGGCACGTGAAGATATTGATCAGGCGGCCAAGTTGCGGAGGTTCGAGTTTGCGTTGACCGGAAAGATGGGCAAGCGCACTAAATTCCAAGACCGCGATATCAGTCAGCTTGTCGTGTTGGCTAAGAGTGCTGATGAGACAACACAATCTTCGGAGTCTTCTGGGCCTAAGAACCTGAACTTGGATGATGACACCCTTCTGGAGGCTATCTCTTTCTCCGACCAAAAGCCCGATGAACAATCCTTGGCTATTCAGGACAAGGTCTCCGCAGCTTTGGATGCTATCGATGCGAACAATCAGCCCATTCTTCACCCTGTTGACTCTGCTCTTCTACTCGCACTAGCATCTGCTATTACTAACACCTCGCCTGAGAACGGCCTCACCCGAGAGGAAACAAACCCCTACGCCACTCGAGTACTCGATGGCGGCAGCTCCAATTGGCAGATCTATACACAAGCACTTCTGGTCCGCAGTCGGGTAGAGGGCTACCGTTCCCGTACTGTTGAGAGAGCCGTGCTGCAGATGCAGGCTCTGGTGGATCAGGTCATTGCGGACACCGCAACTAGCGATGACGCAGCTCAGAATGAATCAGGCGACCCTACAACCTTCCTGCCACGTCCCGAGCAGTCTGAGTCTGCCCCGGCTGCTGACCGACTTGAGCACATCTGGATCCTAAACTTCTCAACCCGCTGGAGTCTCGAGGCCGAGCTTGCCAAGCGCTGGGTTGATTTAGGTGGTTTGCGTACCGCACTTGATATCTACGAGAGGCTCCACATGTGGGCTGAGGCCGCACTCTGCTATGCCGCCACCGAGCGCGAAGGCAAGGCGAAGAAACTCATCCGCCGCCAGCTTTACCAGGCCACCGGCCCGGATGAAAATGACGAAAACGAGGAATTCAACGGACCGGAGCGCTCACCATTACCAGTCGACGCACCACGTCTTCTCTGTATTATGGGAGATATTGACAAGGACGAAAAGATGTACGAGCGCGCCTGGGAGGTTTCCGGGGAGCGATACGCCCGCGCTCAGCGGTCCCTGGCCCGTCACTATCTCACCTCCACACCACCACAATTGGAAAAGGCCGAGGTAGCCTATAAGAAGAGTCTGCACATCAACCGCCTGAACCAGGGCGCATGGTTCGCTCTCGGCTGCGTGCAGCTCGAGCTCCAGAAATGGCAAGAAGCAACCGATACCTTCACCCGCACCGTCCAACTCGACGATACCGACGGCCAGGCCTGGAGTAACCTCGCTGCCGCGATACTCCGCATGCCTGACACAGAGCCCGCCCCTGAGGTCATTGACGAGTCCACAGGCGAGGTCTCTGCCGCCGAAGTCGACCCCCACAGGCGCAAGCGCGAAGCCCTATCGGCGCTCCAGCGCGCAGCCCAACTCAAGGGCACCGACGCCCGCATTTGGGACAACGTCCTCACAGTCGCAGCGTCCATCCCCCTCCAGCAACGCCATTCCGTGAGGTGATCACCGCGCAGAGGCGCATTATCGAGCTCGTCGGCACAAAGGATGGCGAGAAGTGCATCGATGTGGCGATCCTAGGCATGCTTGTTGACTTCCTGGACGTAGCGTTCGAGTACGAAAATTTGCTTATCCGCTCTGACGATCCATCCGAAGCCCCGATTGTTCGCACTGGTACTATTCCTGGCCAGATCATCTCGCTAGTTGATCAGCATGTCGTGCCGCTTATCACGCATTCTTCAGTGCTGTGGCAGATCGTTGCTCGCGTTGAAGTCTTCCGCAATCGGCCGTCTAAGGCGTTCGAGTGTCATGAGAAGGCTTGGCGCGCTACTATTGCTACCAATGCCCAGGGTGCTTTCCAGATGGGTGATGAGAAGCCCTGGCTTGAGATTGTGCGGGCTACAGAAAAACTTGTGAGGGATGGATATGCTAAGTTTGGTCCTATGGACCGTGAAGACCAGAAGGTTGAGGGTGATGAAGAAGCTCAGCTTGTTGCGAAGGACTGGCGGTTCAAGGCTCGTAGTGCCGTGAGAGGAATCTTGGGTAAGGGCAAGGACTTCTGGGATGGCACGGAAGGCTGGGACCGCTTGAAGCAGCTGCAGTCTGAAGTTACGGGAAATTAGTACATACAACCCTTGATGCTGTTTATGAATCATAGAGATGAGCTCGCTGTGCAAATGGTTACAAAAGTCATATACCAAGTTCAACATCATACAAGTCTCCTCGTGTTGCTTTGAACTAAGCTTATCCGAACCTGTATAATAAGAGTCATAAGCCTATGGAAATCATTTCGATTCCAACTTCCTCTTTACCATCCCGCAGAAGCTCTCAAACAAGACCGTGTCGGTCCCCTGCGCCCAGCGGACTAGGACCTTCACCTCTTTCTCATCGGGTTTCTGCCCCCGGACCAGCCGTATCTGCAGACGTACTCCCAGCGCCACCTGGGCCGGAATCACCTTCAATCTAGCCGCACCCTCCTCGCCGGCAAGTTTCATCTTTCGACGGGCGAATCTTGACCACACATTTTCAGCAGCGAACCCCGTCCCCGCAGAGCGGGCCTGATCCCAAGACCAAAACCAAGGCAAAGAGCTGAGTTCTGCATTTATAGTAGCAGTGGCTGAGTCAATCGATGTGTCGGGTGGTAGTGTGAATGTGTACTCTGAAGGGAAAGGCAAATGACTCTTCGGGCAGCCGGGGATTCCACGCGCAATATTCTAGACCAGTAGTTAGATACCATGCACGACATACAAACATGAAGTGAGTAAAAAGAATATGATAAAGTATGACTTACCATGGCAGGCCTTCTGTCTCCCCATGACCACGCCACGGCCCAGCGCTTCGTCTTGCTTCCCTGTTCGAACTCTGTAACTGCAAAATTATGGTTCTCGTGTTTGATCAGCATCTCCACTAGTACGTTAATACTGCTTAATTTGCCGAGCATGGATGTATACCACTGGACGCGGTCGCGGAGCTGGAGGCTTTCATCGATCATTTTCTTCACGAAAGCTACTTCTCCGCCACTGGTCACCATTTCAACTTCTGCACCAGTGCAGGCCTTCATATAGGTCAGTACGATACGTGATGAAGTGGGATATGGCGAGAACTCAACAGCTAGTGATACTTACCGAGAAGGGATCTCGTTCTTTCTGCTCAGCAGATTTTTTCAGCTCATCGGACGAGGTATAAAAGGGTGGGTTGCACATGGTGAAATCAAGGCTGATGAATAGTCAGGTAGGATTCTAGCAAGTTCTCAATCAGAGACCCACGTCTGGCAGCCTAGTTCCTCTAACGGGAAGATTGGTCCGTCGGGGTCAGAATGCACAATCCGAATCCTTGATTCGAGGTTGTTCAGGGCCACATTATGTTGGGCGGTGCGAATATTGCTCGAGTCAATGTCTGTTGGGTCGATCAGTGGATGCTGAAGATACCCGGACTTGAGAACTTACCTGTTGCTACAAAGTTCCACCGTGGACGTGTCGCACAGCCCAGCAGGGGGTAGATACTGGTGCATCCCGTTCCGCTTCACTGTGTCAGATAAGATTCGGAGATTGGATGGACTCATTACGTACATATCGAGGCCGACGACTTCCCGGTCTCGATCATACCCTTCATGTAGTCCTCCCGCACTGGAGTCGAGGAGGTCCTGCAGCCAGAGGATGTAGTTGAGTCTATACTTCATATCAGACACATGCGTGTAGGGCTCAAATCGTCATTCGGGACGACATACCTATTTGGTACCTGGTAATTAAGTCAATGCATGTTCACAAAATAGGCCCAGTATCTACATACCGGTGGGCACAGTCGATCCTCAGGGATCTCAACTTTCAGGTGAAAATCTTGTTGCAGGAGGGTGGTGGTGAGTTGTCTGCATGACGCAAATCAGATCCACTCTCGGGATGCCAGACGTTAGAGTACTCCAACTCACCGGACAGCCGCTGGATCCGCAAAGTTCAGATGGCCGGTTGGTGTCAAGCTGGACTTGATTAGTACTAGACTTTCTGTCAGAGGGCGTTTCACATACTGCTTGGCGAAATCGCGCGATTGCAGCGCCAAGGCTGCAAAATCAACGTCATTTTTGTAGAGACTTCGCGCAGATTCCATGTTCAATACTGGGATTACTCTGTGAAGGTGTTCAGTATTTGAGATTATCAGGATTGGAATGTGGTTGGTTACAGAGAAAGCAAAGTCGACGGCACAAAAGGAGGGTTGATGTTGGCAAGTGGCTACGGATCACGAAAGCGGCCATGTGGAACTTCGACTTGCCGTGTTACGGGTCTAGGCGATATAGACATACGAGCAGAAGAAACCTTGTAAAATATGCCGAAAACAAAAGACTACCTGATAGTAGCTGTAATATTCAATGCTTGTCGAAATATGTGCAACGAAACAAAAAATCAAAATCATTGCCAAAAGTGTGGATGAGAAGTGAAACCATATTGATATAAGCACCGCTTTTTTTCTGAGAAGCCAAACAAAACTCGTCAAGTCGTGATAGGCTTTCGTGCCCCGGTATGTATTTTGCCCCCCTTATATTGCCAATTCCTTCATCTCTGATCGTCTTCTTTCAGACCGAGTTTGCCTTCTCTAGGACACGCTTTTGGCGCTCAACACGCCATCCATATCCCCACTTCATCTCAACCATGAGAAGAGGGACCATCGCAATCGTAATGCCAGCAAGCATGAGAAATGCAAAATCGGCAGTCAGAGCATCAATGATAGGCTGAACAGCCGCAACACCAGCAGCGCCAATCAAACATCTCATCAAGTTGTTGACTGCTGTTGCGCTAGCGCTAGCACCAGGGTACAAGTCAATAACGAGGGCGCTATTAATGGTGAAGATAGCAGTGGAGCCATAGGCGATGATAAACTGCAAAATAATTGGCACTGCAAGGTGTGTGCGGAGGGACACGCCGTAGACAGCGACACAGACAATGAAGATAGTCGTGATCCACCAAGTGTTGCGCATGCGGGCGTACTCAATGGGGAAGTCAGGGTGGCTCTTTGAGTTGATACGAGTCTCGATGGGGAGGTTGTGCTGCTGGCAGTATTCGCGTTCGGTCCGCTTGTGGTTGAAGTCCATCAAGTATCCAATTGTGTAGGAGCCGGTCATGCATCCAAAACCATTTCCGAGGAAGGTCAGGCCGACTTCCAATGAATTCAGACCGTATTTTTCTTCGAAGAGGGCGGATGTGGAGGAAGTCACCATTGACCAAACTGTGTATACCATGCTGCCGAACAACAGGGTAATGAAGACATCCTTCTCAGCTAAGAAGGTGAGGGGTGCTAACACAGTCTTGAATGTCACCTTAACCTTCTTCCCGGAGGGTGCTGTGCCTTCTTGTACATCCTTCTGTCCACGGATGGAGTAGATGAAGGGCTTGTGGATGCCTTTGAGGGCAACAGTGCCGTTTCCAGCGATGGATCGAAGTGTTTCGGGGAGGAAGATCAGGATAGAGAGAAGACTGATTCCGGATGCAATCGCCAAAAACCAGAAGATAGATCGGAATCCTAGGTACTGAGATAGTATTCCTCCGAATACTGGTCCAACTCCCTGGCCCAACATGCGGACTGGATAATGTTAGCCTAGAACGTAGTATATCCGAGCCTCGATTTCTTACCACCACCGAAAATTCCAATCAGACTACCTCGCTCGGCTGAAGTAGTAATATCACCAACAACACCAGCACCTGGGCAAGTTAGTTAAGGCACAATATATGGACGGTTGAAATACTATACCAATTGAAATAGTGGCTGCACTTCCGGCAGCCTGCAATGCTCGGAATGCCATTAGCTCAGCATAGTTGGTAGAGACAGCCAAAGCAATATTCGAAATGATGTAGACAGCAAATGTGCCAATGAAAATCACACGACGACCCAACACATCTGAGAAAGAACCCCAAAAGCTCGGGGCGAGACCTTGAACAATCATGTATATCGTGATGGTTAAAGTAGCTAGAGTCATTGAGACGTTGAGTTCCTGTGGTGTTGACATTAGAAAGAACAGACAACATATATTGTTCGAGTTCACCAACCTCTGCAACGTCTGTAAGCGCAGGGAAGTAGATGTTTGAAGATAGCGGCGAGAAGATGGCGGCCAGGGAGACGATGATGACCATCAACAACTTGCGAGAGCGAGGGAACACATGATATGGCGGTAATACCGGGACTTGGCTTTCAAGATTGATTGTCTCTGCTGGTGTTGATGGTACAGAGAGATCTTTCTCATCCCGAGGCGAGAGATTAGGGCTTGAGCTAATCGACTTTTCAGTGACCTCAGGGCTCCTGAGAGTCTCTGTTGAGCTGAACTGGGACAAAGTCATGATGAAAAATTATTGTAGAATATGAAGACAAGTCTCCATACATCAGCAGACACAAAGTATTGACAAAAGAAGAGGAATTATAGTTTCATTCGGCCCAGATTGCTTGAGATATCTAAGAAGATCAACGATGGAATGGACGCACCCTTTTGTATTTCAACTCCAGTAATAAACCCCTATAGCGCCTATTCAAAAAATACGAACAAAATATTAAGCAGGCCCATGCATCTGAGAGTCAACTAAACGTGCTCCACAGTGGGTTCGACCAGGGGGATCACTATACCTACATACTATCCCCTTGATGGTAGAGAGTGACCCGGATAAGACAAATCTGGTAAAACCGAGGTCGCTCAATTCGATACGTTAGGGCCACGATCAGCACTTGGAATACTCAAAGTTCTATACAGAATTCGAACAATTTACAGAATGGCTTATCTCTCTGGTGCGGGCTGGCTGGGCGTTTATTGTGTGATCTCTACGCCGAGAAGGCTGACCTCTATCCAGGGAATGCATATTTTTGGGCTCCTCATAAGTGATTCAGGACCTAGTTGATTATGTATGAACAGTGATGGCATCTAATCTGGTAGGACAGATGCCAAATACCCACCCTAGGGTTCCTTCTGGTCTCCATACACGCGTGTACAATGAAGTCGATCTGCGCAGCATATGCAGCACACAGGTCCGGTTTCACCCTTGAGAATCACAATCGGAGAAAAGATGTCGAGGAAATATGTTCGACACCTGCATAAGCTCGCTCGGCCTAGTTCCGCAGCATCTTTGTGTCCTAAAGGTCCCGAAAGTCTACAGGATCAGGGATGTGTGATAAGCTGGTTAACCAATCCACTGATAGTTTCTAATCCATGTCTTGCCAAAGCGGATACGCATTTCAATTTTAGGGAAAGGAAAGCTGAAGTCAGATTTTTGTTTCAGAGTCTCACCTTCTCCACGTGTGAATATCAGCCATTGTAATACCTGTCCGTCAAGCAAATGCCAAGCTTCGTCGTTTTTCCTGGTCAATATTGATCCCGAGGAGATTATTGGACAGGATATACCATTAGCTTACGTGTGCGTTCCCCCTTGGTAGATCTGTATAGGGGATTTTGGCCCTTGCTGCTTATAAGTCATCAATCGGGACCCGCAAAGGGGGGACTTGGTGCTCAATACTCCATACAGGGTTTGGCATCACACCCACTGACTATGACTATGCAGGATTATCCCAGAAAAGTACTACCCGCAGGACATTTACCAATGGAGCTACACTGCCAGGTATAGATAGGAGAAGAAATATGCCTAAGACTTTCTCTCGGGACAAAGTTTGCGCTAGAAAGGAGATGATCGACAGATTGAACGGCTTCTATGGAGTACAACGTACGTAGGTACTACTAGATACATCTGTACTATATACTATGCACAAATGGTGCCAATTTTTATGTCGATCAGACCCACAAGACGCCCCCCTGTGCAAAAATGAATATTCCCTTATATCTTGTTAGAACATACGGAGTACATTTAATCTTTATATCTGACTCCACTGATGCGCCACGCGCAACACCCCTAAAATTTCTAGCGGAGCCGCCAAGATCTCGTCATCGTCTACGATTGATCAGTAGCTTGCACATCGCTTCGGAATTGAGCGTCGACTTGATACTTTCGGGATGTATGTCTATCTCAGATCCATCCTACAGCTCGGTTAAGGCTGTCCAGGGCTATTTCCTTATAAGGCTGATACCTTGCCTGTGGAAATTGATAGACATCAGTTATGATGCCCAATGCCAAGATTCTAATCGCACAGCAAGAAGGGTCTCGTATCAACCTAACCGCCACACCCAGAGGATGCCGATCCTCGGGTACCCGATACTGTCCCCGTTACGGAGGGGTGCACGTTAGTTGGTCTCATTCGTAGATTGGTCCGACATCACAACCCGATGAAGATGCGATATCCCCACTTGTAGACAAAATAGGTGTCTAGACCCCTCGGATAGAGCAGGGTCCCGGCTTTGATTTCCAAGCTTCCCGGGTCGTATCATCCATATTGTGTGCTGAACTGGGTCTTGGGTGAACTTCGGCCAAATCCATTGTTATGATAGACTTTCGGACGTAGCTGGATCTGGCAAGGTACACATGTACGTTGTAAGGAGGATCTTCCTGAAGAATATCCAAATCTGCTCGGTACATAGATCTTGGCCCCACAGTCGCAACGGAGTTGAGAAGCGTGTGTGTTGGCTAATAAAACAATGAATCTATACAATGAATACATGCCTAGAAACTTGATGTGATTGAGCTAGACGTGCTCCAGTTTCTGGATGTAATCAATTCTATCACATTCTTCGACCCCATCTCTAGCGCCGCCCATGCCTCAACACCAAATTTTCTTTTTTATCTGTTTCTGTACACAATTAAAATATATCTTACGTATTCTCTCAGATTTTCTTGAAACAATAGTTTCTATCCACTTTGGCTTTCACATCTGGTAGATCAATAGATCCCCCTGACAGGTAGGATAATCCCCATTTGAAACACAGTCTGTGGAGTGATAATATGGATTGTATGGAGTCTCCGTAGCAATAATGGCAAAGAAAGCAAAGATTATCATTTCAAATCTGACGGTGTTACGAACACACGAGGCTATGTCTGATCTATCTGGCCTGGTGCTTCAATAAACAAGCGCATTGACCAGGGGATTTGCAGATCCGATGAAGCCCCTGGCTTTCTCGACGGACTCTGCCAAAGGAACTTTAAGCAGACAAGGAACATAACATGAAGAATTCCAGAGAGTTCTGTGAAGAATATAGAACTAGTATACAAAAAAGATCATACCCTAGCATGCCATCATCGCATGAAACGATGTCCTTCAAATCCACCAAACCGCCGATCATTTTTTCATTCTCTAGATTGGCTTACTCTCTCTGACACAAACGTTGAAAGCGCCCCTCAAAATCAAAGTCTCGCCCCCTCATTTCCGCGCTGCCCAGTGGGATAGAATCGCTTGGCACCATGTCGAGGGGCCCAGAACAAAAATCGAGATGGGACCCTGTGGACCGACACGCGGTTTCCCGAGTGCATATCCCGAGGGTCGGCCCTTCAGGGCCCCCTCGGAATCCCTTTGATCGTCGAGATATGGAGCCCTCGTGTGTGTCCGGTGGTTCCGTGAGTTGTTCGGAAATTATATAGCGCTGTGGTGTGTGTGGAGATGCATATCTCACGATAATGATCGGGCGAGCGGTTGAGGCGAAGTATATCATATTGCACTACTTTTCATATCTTACACTGAAGGAATTAAGTTTCCGCCTGCAGGCGTCTTTCTCTCGTGCAAGTCTGACTTGCTGGCCTCGTTTGACCAAAGCCTTGAGATCTTGGCGTCGCAAAAGTGAGTACTTGGCGCTGAACTTGGCGCTGCACCTCTCGGCGTATTTACAAACTTTAGCATGAATTGAGAATTTGGCCTTCATCTAGGTAAAACAGGCTATTCTACGGGTCTCTTCAAGAACAATATCTTTCTGCATGTGTATATCTCCGAGGCATGGTGACATCGGCATTGAGAGTAGTCCAATTATTCGCAAACTCGATGCGAGATGGGAGTATAGAACTAGCATGGTCTAAACATCCAACTAAATAGAGAGTACAGTTTATACATAGTGTATAGCAATGATAACCTGTGTGTAATTTGATCTCTGTCCTCGGTGATCCACTTTGTGTGCGCCAAACTCAACGCACGACAGAATTATAAATCAACCTTGGGGGCTTAGTTAAAAGTTGAGTTGGAACAATAATCCACGCTATATCTATACTCACCTAATACGGATATAGTAGCCACCGTACATCTGCCGTTATAAAATCGATCAGACCCACGAGCTCTTTATCTTTAACATCACTGTTGGAGGTTGCAAGCAAATTGTTAGATTTACGGGATTTGCTGGATGTTGCAACGTCTCACTTAGTCTCTCATTGTATAAAAAGACATGACGTATGTTGTCCGGCAGAATGTATAATCCGCCTAAAAGCTCCAGTGGAAGAATATTTAACAAGCATGTCCATTCATTTATCATCTCAATTAAGCGTTACAGATTTTCTTCATACGCATTCTCAAAAATATACAGATCGTGAAGCGGTTCAGTATCTCTATCGATTGAATATGTCGCACCTACAGTACTTCAGCTACGACGGCTGGGGCCAGAAATCAAAGCGAGACTTCTATTACAGCCAAGCCGTGCGTATTGGCGATCGTATCGAATGCGCAGGCCAAGGTAGGTTCACAAGTCCCGAGATGTCGCTTTCCGCATAAACAGATCGTACTGATACATCGTAAATAGGCGGTTGGGACCCGCAAACCTTTGTGATCCATCGAGAGTTCAATGCGCAGATCGACCAAGCTTTCGCTAATGTGGACCTGAACCTGAAAAATGCTGGAGGAAAAGGATGGGAGCAGGTATTTCGGGTGAACTCGTACCACGTCCCGATCAATGACGAGGCCCTGGAGGCGATGGTGCGCAATTTCAAGAAATGGATGCCAAATCACCAGCCTATTTGGACGTGTGTTGGGGTGACGAGACTTGGCGAGGATGATATGCGGGTTGAGATTGAAGTTGTAGCTCATGACCCGCGAGAGACCAAGATCGAAGCGGACATGGCGTGAGATGCATGTATAGATCGTGAACTCATATAATGCTGTGGTGAAGTAACATGGGTAGGCAGTGCCACAAGAAGCATATTAGCCTAAGAATGGGAGTAGACCCTGCCTCAGATATCATGATCTTAGCGTTTGTCGCCTCTGCCACCACCACGGCCACCACGGCCACCTCTTGTTTTGCCCTTTCCTCTCCCGCCCATCATCCGGCGTCCTGACGCCTGGACGCGAGCAATATCGTCCTTGTTCAGATTCAGTGTGCCTCCTGAGAACTTGCCCACAGAGGCTCCTGAAACACCGCGCTCTCTTCGCCCGTTATTGCTCGATTTCTTGACCTTGTTAGGGTTTTTCGAGGATGATACCGTTCTCCTTGGCTTCCTGGCGACGTCTCTCTTCCTTTGACTCGGCCTTAGCCTTGATTCCTCGTCGGTGTGCAGTAGGCATTTTATTTTGCGCATAGAGTGAAGTTTTAGCCCCAAGGGATTGCATGCGCATGTCCAAAGCCTTCAAACGGTTCTTTCCAGTGGGAGCAAGATCGTCAGCGGAGTCGAGAAGGTGTGACTCCTTGAGTAGTCTTTGCAATGCAAGATCGTGTTTGAGGTTCGCAGATTCGTGAGCGTCTTCCTCTTCTTCTTTTTTGGAAGTAGGCTCTGGCTCGGTGCTCGGCTTATCTAAGTTGGACAACAGTTTTCCGCTCTACAGCCCTTAATGTAAGTATCGACTTTCAATAGATTGGAGCCTAGCACATACCTTAAACGCTTTCCAAGTCTTCTTGTCCATTCGGTCTTCTGGTGCCGCGTAAGCGTCCGTGTGTTCGACCACCTCAACTTGGTTACTCTCGTCACTGATATCGGACATCCCATCCCAATCACCTTCTGATTCCGACAGATCAGAGTCATCGCCGATCTCGCTTTCTTCTTCTTCATGATTCGTAGATTTGGCGGTAGGGCCTGGCAAATCGAGTGGCTCGAATTGTGCTTCGAATAATCTGCGGAACACGTCCTGCGCATTGTCCACTGGAGGAGGGCTGTCTTCCTTGGCCTTGGGCTTAGAAACCACAGTGGTTTCTCTCTTTCGTTTCACAACCATGGTGAATGTGCTGTCAGTCAAATAATTCTAAAATCGAATATTTGTGTCTCGGCCCAAAAGTTTTTTGGACTTAGCTTTTAATCACGTGCGATAAGATGATAAGCCACCCCTCGACTCACCCGCGGACACAGCGTCGCTGAATCAACTTGTTTTCCAATTCGCCGGAGAGAATGACTAAGTTTAGGCCGTGCATTGACCTGCACTCAGGGCAGGTCAAGCAGATTGTGGGTGGCACGCTCAGCCAGGTGGCCGCAGACCTGAAGACCAACTACGTATCCAAGTTGCCGGCCAGCCACTATGCGGGATTGTATCAGAAGCACGATTTGCGCGGCGGGCATGTCGTGAAGCTTGGACCAGGCAATGAAGAGGCAGCCCAGGAGGCATTGAAGACCTGGCCGGGTGGGCTGCAAGTGGCCGGAGGTATCACCGATAAGAATGCGCAATATTGGATCGATCAGGGTGCAGACAAGGTAAGCACCTGGACACCAGATGAGATTATCATTTCTTCGCTTGGCATTGCGCTTGACCGAGATTCCCATGATATCTATCCTTCTACTTCAAGTCCCTGTTTTCGTGTGCTTTGCCATAGCAAAAGTTAGATGACGCTAATCATATGGAATGCGGGCAATAGGTGATCATTACTTCATTCCTCTTCCCTGGAGGCAAGTTCTCGCTCGAGCGGCTTGAGTCGGTCCTTTCTGCTCTGGGTGGCGACAAGTCAAAGCTGGTCTTGGATCTGAGCTGCCGCAGAAAAGACGATACTTGGTTCGTTGCAATGGACCGCTGGCAAACCATCACAGAGATGGAGATCAACCAAGGTATGTTCTGCCCGTGCTGAAGCTAGGTTGATTGTTGGCTCACTGACGCTATGTAGAATCGATCTCAATGCTGGAACCATATTGCGCCGAGTTCCTAATCCACGCTGCAGACGTAGAGGGCCTGCAACAAGGCGTCGATGAGGAACTTGTTTCAAGATTGGCTGAATGGTGTACTATTCCCGTGACCTACGCAGGAGGCGCACGCCATTTACAAGATCTAGAAAATGTCCACACGAGTAGCAAGGGAAGAGTGGACTTGACAATTGGCAGCGCGCTAGATATATTTGGCGGCTCTGGAGTGACGTTCGATGAATGTATCGAATGGAACAGAACACATTAAAATTAGAACATAAATGAAAAGGAATAGATCATATTAAAGAAAATCATGAGTTTAATAGTATTTCATTTTCATACTTCAAAGACACAAAACACGAGGAGAGCGAGTCACAGATGTGTCTGGGCATGTCCCAAAGCGGCTTAGGGGCATTGGCATCAATTGAAGGTCCGCCCGTCTCCGTATGTCAACCTTGGAAGTCTTCAACCTCAACCCTCTGTATTTGCCGATTTGCGATCTTGTTCTCAAACAACCTATCTCGTGATAAATAACTCTTACCTACCATCCAACTGCCAATATGAAGCCCGTTGTTTCCGCCTTGAACGCCTGGTCTTGGTACGCTCCCCCATCCCAAACAGCATCCATCGGAAAGTCCTATCGCTCTAACATCTCGCGCCTCGAACAGTGTCATTATCTCCGTCTTCGCAATCGTCATCCTCTCAGTTCTCGGCTCGCTATACAGCGTACGTGCCCCCGACTTCGACAAACCCATCAACCCCAAACACCCATTGTCATAGACCTACGTAATATGGGGCTCTGCCGCTAACACGAAGTTCCGCAACATAGAGCAATAACCACGCATACACGGGATCAAAAGACGAACCTGAAGATGGTCCTGCCGTCGCCGCTTCCATTTACACCGCTGTGATCGTCTACGCTGTACGTCATAACCCCTCCCTGAGCTCCGATGGGGTCGTCACACGAGAAAGGAATTGGTTACTGACAATGCGCTTTTTTGGCTCACAGGGCTTCTTCGTTTTCTGCGGTTTCCAAGCTTATCTTCACATGCGAGACAGCAGGGGAGGTGCTATATCTCTCCATTGAAACTACTCTAGTCCCTTTCCTTCGATGCCTTGACGACACCTTCTATCTGTCGATTTTCAATCTTTGAGCTTATATCTCGGGGTTTCTTGAGTGCAATACGGTGGTTTAGATTTGATGCGTTGGGGGTGACTCGAGGCCGAGAAAACCAGTTCAGATTTCTCGGGTACGCATCACCCATGTCTACTCTATGCAACCCGGATTCACCTATGTTACGGGCAGGTTCGGACTAAACTTGAAAGGCGTTAGCGGGCTGGTTTCCCGGTCTCCTTTGCTAGACTACACAGATGGCCGACTTGCGACTTGTACATAGAGCGCTCATGATTATTACCAGCTCTTTCATTTTTTGGTCCATTGTATGCACTTAAAGACAAAATTTGGTATAGACATTCAATCATTTGTCCTTCGATGAGAAGAAAATCAAGTTTTGTGAGACCGCCAACGCCAGTGAATGCAGAATCAGATACCGAGTATCAGTTGGACACCTGGTTTCTTTTTTTGTTGTGTTTTTGTTTTTGATTTTGCTTTTTTTTTTTCTCGTTTTTCAGGATGTTACTCCTCATCCTCCCACGGGTCCAACATCTTGGACATGTAAGGACCATCAAGGAAGTATCCGAGACGAGCATAGTAGCTACGCACGCCCACGCCGGAGATAACACTAATCTTGCGACTACCGTGCTCCTCGCGGGCAATACGCTCCGCCTCCTCCATCAACAAAGTTCCAAAGCCACGGTGCTGGAACTTGCGGGCATCACGTCCGTGAAGCGGCACGGCAGAACCGTAGACGTGAAGCTCACGAACAATACTGGTCTGCTGGCCGGTGAACTCAGGACGGAAAGTGTGAGTCTCACTACACTTGCGCAGACGAAGCAAACCAATAAGAATATCCTGCTTCGGGTCTTCGTATGCCAAGAAAGTCTCCCAGCCGCCATTGGCAGTATAGTCACGACGGATCAACTCAATCTGCGATGGACGGATCTTGTTCTTGACTTCATTGATACCGACTTCTCGCGTGCGGACATCACGGCAGGTTGTACCAAAGTCCTTCATACGCGCCAACGCCAGCTCGCGCAGGTTTCCGTTCTCCACACCGGAGGTAACAAGAGGCATAGGGATATCGCGCTGGACTCGGTAGATACGGGTCCATGGGGGAACTAGAGCGAGAATTCGTGCGACAAGGTCGATAAGTGCGTTGGGTGTGTAGTTCTTGTACCGACCGGTGCGCCACAGTTCGTAGAGACCAGTGCCTCTGATGACAAGTGTAGGGTAGAGTTTGAGACCGTCAGTACGGAAGTTGGGGTTCTCGAAGTACTCCTGGAACTGGAATAGATCGCGCTCCATTCCAACGTTTGGCAAATCGGGCATCATGTGGCTAACAACCTTGAAACCGGCATCCTTGGCAAGCTTGAAGGTCTCAGCTACGGCTGCTACGGTGTGGCCGCGATTGGTGTCTCGTGCGACATCCTCGTACAGACTCTGCACACCAATTTCCAACCGCGTGCAGCCGTAGCGAAGCATGCTGCTCAGATGTGTATCCAGACAGTAATCTGGCCGTGTTTCGATTGTGATACCCACACACTTCACGTTGCTCATTTCGCCCGCCAGAACAGCCTCGTCAACATTGTCCGTTTGGTATCCGCTCAGCGCATTGTGAAGCTGGGAGATGAAAGTGTCTCGGTAGTCTTCCGGCAGTGACATGAAGGTTCCGCCCATGATAATGTATTCCACCTTGTCCACGCTGTGACCGAGAGCTTTGATCTGATCCACACGTCCTCGCGCCTGCTCAAACGGATCGTAGCGAGCGCGGATCGCTCGCATCGAGGTCGGTTCATATCCAGTGTATGATTGAGTTGAATATTCAAAGTCGGAGTCGGGGCCACCAGGGCAATAGACACAGATGTTACCGGTGTACGCGATGTGGGGGCACCGATGAGGTTTGCACATAACCGCCACCACGGCGATACCAGAGGAGGTTCCTATGAACAAGGTTAGCAACCATCCATTAATACCCGCTTGGAATATGTCAACGTACGGATCGGCTTGGCAATCAGCTTTGGCAGAATATATTTCTTGTAGTGCTCAGGTACTGCCGCGATAATGGCTGTCAATGGTGGCGAGCTGGACAGGCTGTGCTTCTTTGAAAAGGTGGCCCGCAACTTGTTGAGATTGAGATCCTTCTTGGGCTTGGTCGAATCCCTATGCGACTCGTAATCCTGAATGAGAGCATTTGCAATATCAGAACATGCTCGCATGAATCGCTCATTCTCCGGGACGTTCTTTGCGTTCTTCTTGGCGGCCCTTTTGATTTCTTGCGAGGTCATAGTCATGGTAGCCATGACGAAGAGATTAACACCGCGCTTAGGCGGGGAACTCAACCAAAATCGACGAGTTGCTTGTTTAGTGGGGGTGAGGTTGATTAGATAGAAAAATGTGGTCACCGAGGCCTGCGCCCGAAGTGAGTTCCGCTTAAGTAAAATAATTATCCCGAGCGAAAACTCCCGGGTACGCATCCCGAACACCTGCCCTTTATCCCCGTCCTTTTCTTCCCCTTTACCTCCATATACCCTCACCTCTCCCCTCAAAACATACATATCTTGCAGCAATGCAGGCCTTCCGCCGTAACACCCTCTCGGCCCTTCGTAATGTCGGTGCCACCCAGCGTCGGACTCAGGCCACCTCTGCCTACAGCGAGACCTTGAACAACCTCAAGATCAACAAAGATACCCGTGTTCTCTTCCAGGGCTTCACTGGAAAGCAGGGAACGTAAGTGCAGCCATTGCGCTCTTATTATCGCACGCGCGTGATGCTGACTTTTGACCTCGACATAGCTTCCACGCTGAGCAGGCCATCGCCTATGGTAAATGTTTATTTTGTGATCGCATCCAAACAATAGCTTACACAGGACAGGCACAAATGTCGTCGGTGGTACCAACCCCAAGAAGGCTGGCACCATGCACCTTGACCGTCCCGTTTTCGCCAACGTTAGCGATGCCGTGAAGGAGACTGGTGCCACAGCTTCTGCCATCTTCGTTCCGTATGATAACCTTTCCTTTCGAGTTATCAACAAACTAATGCTAATTGCAATATAGTCCTCCCCTTGCCGCTGCCGGTATCGAGGAGGCCATCGCCGCTGAGATAGGTCTCGTTGTTTGGTACGTGTCAAATGGAGCTCCCCCCTGGTAAACAACTCTATCTGACAGCTTGTCATTGAACAGCATTACCGAGGGTATCCCTCAACACGGTACGGATCGATCAACCATCAATTGAGGCGCGCGAACTGATTGATTTTATACAGACATGGTCCGCATCACCGATATCCTCAAGACTCAGAACAAGACTCGCCTGATCGGTCCTAACTGCCCCGGTATCATCGCTCCCGTAAGCTACCACCCCCGACTTTCTACAATCATCCGAGCCGCAACAATCACTCACACAAATCTCAATTTTAGGGTCAATGCAAGATCGGTATCATGCCTGGCTTCATCCACAAGCGCGGCCGTGTTGGTATCGTGTCCCGTTCCGGTACCCTGACCTACGAGGCTGTCAACCAGACCACCCTCGCTGGCCTCGGTCAGTCCCTCGTCGTCGGTATCGGCGGTGACCCATTCTCCGGCACCAACTTCATTGACTGCCTCAAGGTCTTCCTCGAGGACCCCGAGACCGACGGTATCATCATGATCGGTGAGATTGGTGGTTCCGCCGAGGAGGATGCCGCCGAGTTCCTCAAGGCCAACAACATCCACAACAAGCCTGCCGTCTCCTTCATTGCTGGTATCTCCGCTCCCCCGGCCGCCGCATGGGTCACGCCGGTGCCATCGTCAGTGGTGGTAAGGGTGGTGCTGATTCCAAGATCGCTGCTCTCACCGATGCTGGTGTCATTGTTGAGCGCAGCCCTGCTTCCCTCGGCAAGACCCTTCTTGCTGAGTTCGTCAAGCGTGACCTTGTTTAGATTTCCCGCTCCTTCTGATGCATTGCGTGTCTTGTCCTGGTTTTGAAGCCAGGAATCCGAGGTATATGTGCCATTTTATATCATGGGGTTTTTATGGGCTGTTCCTTCTCGACTGCTCCTGTATTCTGTTTCTCGTTTGTGTTAGAGATCCTTGAAGTAATCATGCTCGTGTAATTATCACCGTGTGCTGCTGGTGTAGAGTAGATGGTAGAAATATGGAAATACATGGAAACCAACCTTTTGAAGTCCACAAAGCAGGCTCCTTGAGCGGTCCCTATCCAATATCAACCGATCTGCAAAGGTGTAATTTCATCGGCAGTAACAGACGAGAAGCAAAATCCGAAAGGCGAGGGGGGAGGTTTATACTCGCACGTGGGGACGTTGCGCCTTCCACAGAAAGAACATTGGAATTGCACAAGAGTGGAAGGTGCGATGCCTCGCCACGACAGAAGTACTTCCCACAGTGATACTTGATCTTAGTCTGTGGTCTGGGAAAAGAATGGACTACTCAACACGCAGTATGTGGCTTGCGTCTGGGCTATCAATTCGGGTACAGGTCTTTCCTACTCCTGAATCCATTCTTGAACCGAAGTTTGAGCACAGCAAAGACTTGAGTATTTAGGAAACTGGATGCGTCCCCGAGTAAACATTGCGAGTGATTCATTCATTGAGCTAACTAATGGGACAATAGTAGAATGAAGACGTTCTGAGATCGAACACAACCATGGGAAGAAAACGGGAGGCTCTTGACGCTTGTCCTGCCTAACTATTACCGAGAGGTACAAAAGTGTTTTGTTGAACTGAACTGAGCAATCCATACTTTCTTGGTAATGTGGCGTTCTGGTCTGCGAGAATGAAACTTGTGTCTTTGGTTCCTTCCTTTCGAGGATGAATATCTTCAAATGGTATTTCAATGCGTCCATGGTCTGTTTGCCTAGTTTGGACTAGGATATCTAACGATCTTCATCTTCTCTGAAGGAGAGAGAAACGGATTTGTGTGTCGAGGAGCGTATCGCATCCTATTTGAGTTTTCTACGACCATGTACTGTGACTGACATCGCGGCTTTCACCTGCCCATTCACCTGCCCATTGGATCGGCATAACCAGAAACTTGACAGGAGGCAAGGATGACTTTCGAAGTCATATGCTGGAGTATTCAGGTGGATGGCTGTCAGTATATAGCATAAGCTTCAGGGGTCAAGAGGACAAGACGAGCCCATGGGTATCCCATCACCATATATAGCAAAAGAAGGAGTGCTGCAATTGAGCTTGCTGCTATAAATTGACTTCATGCATACCTTCCATCTCAGTCTTACTTGTTGTTTGTCATTATCCAGCCTTTATTCACTTCAGTCTCACTTACACCCTACAATAAGATCCATCTTTCTTCACTGGATTCTCGTCTGATTGTTACAGTCCTTTGGCTCTATCTCTTTTTTCCTGGTGATATCATATATCGACGGTTTACCAATGAGGCAACACATGCATGGACAGTTTGTATACTGTTTCTGTTTAGGATAGATATCGTTATGCTTTTCAAAAACTGTAAAAAGCGTTGGCCTCATTACCCTCTGGTAGGAATAGGAATCGGAGCACGTAAAACTCTGTGTCGTCTACCGTGGCTCTCTGTTCCGACATTTCAACTAAATTTTCTATTGAATATAGGCTCACAGTCTAGCAGAAGACAGCCCATTACCCTATTTAGGACCGGAAGCACTCTTTTCAGTTGAATAATAAGCTTCATAGATCAGAATCAGCCTGGTCTAGACATAGTTGATACTGTATTAGAAGTCGGAGCAGAACCAGAATTTGATCGTTGAGCAACATAAGAGAGCCCCCGTTGTCCACGCCTTCGCGCTTTTTTCTTCCTTCTTCATACTTCTTGATCCCCAGGTGGTTTCACAATGTGCCCTACACCACCCTGGATTTGGCTCTTCCAGCAGAAAGAGCACAGACTCCGACTGCTCCACAGAGAGCTTTGTCGCTTGGAACCTGGTTATATGTCAAACCAGTACACAGACATTGATATCCACCCGATGGATTTCTGGACTGGGGACACCGACTCATCCCTCATCCAATTCTTCACACCCGACACCGACACCACCTTCAAACTCGCCAACACTGCACTCGACCCCGAAGACCCCCTGGACGACCCGTTCACGTGGGCTCGGGAGATGAAGGATGACCAAGACTTCATCCCCAAAGAGATGCATCATCAACTCCACCGGGCATTCTCGAATTACCTCCGCAAATCCCCAGGCGGCAACAAACCCCCCATTTTCTGGAAGCTGGCCTCGTAAGTCTAATTCCCAATAGAGAGAAAGTAAAGCAAAACTAAAATTCGAGAAACATAGCATGGGGGATGAGGATGGCCTCTTCAACAGCAACGACCGGCACGGCTTCACCATTGAAAGGGGAGCCATAAGTGCCGATGGAAAGACCGCTCACCAACTTGTCGTCATGAAAAGTGACGACTGCTACCATGACATCCTCCCCTCAGTTGGAGAACTCATTGTGCTTGTTCGATGGATGCTAAGTGGATTCAAAAACCACAAGCACCAATTCGGCAGGTACCACCGACATGAGCGTTCCCAACTTGAATTCCCGGTAAGTCCAAATACTCCTCCAGATTCATTCACTTCTATAGAATATGATTGACTGATTGCTATGTAGACAATGATTATTTCCTTCCTCCCCGACGCTCGAGTTCGAGTTTTGCATGGGTATTACGACAACGGCCGACTCAAAGTGGCCTATACCCAAGCACTCAACTTCGATGCGGACGACTACGTCGAAAAGATGGATGTCCTTCTCCAATGGGCATGGCCATTCACCGAGGGGGATACCACCAAGCCCATCCCTCTTCCAATGATCGAGGACGATGAAGAGGATGAGTGGGATGAGTGGGAGAAGTGGGAGCTACGATATAGGGAGGACTACGAAGAGGAGGGGAGTGAATCAGAAGAGGGGGCTGACAGCACTGAGGTTAAAAAAATCTCAGTGGCTGCAAATCAGAATTCGACGAGGATGATGAGAACGATGGGGAAAACAAGGACCCCATCGAGGAGTGGAGGGACGAGTTCATGATGTCTGTGGACATCAAAAGGAAAATCATCGAGAAGTTGAACGAGAAGATGGGGAGTATGAGAAAGGAAGAGTTGCGAGAGTTGACCTGAGCCTAAAGGCGAGGGGGCTGGAATCCAGAGGCGCCCTGGGATCTGGTCTATCCTTGTCCACGGCAAGGGCAACTATGTTCATATGTAGTGGCAACCCGCCACACAGTTCTGTATTATTTTGTTTATCTACAACACGCATGTATCCTACATAAATGCATGACGAGAATGAGAGAGACAGTCCGTGTTTCTGTAGTCTGACTTGTAGTCGTTGTGATATGATAGAATTAGAGGTAGCAAGTTGAACTGTACGGAGAAGCGATATCTATATCGAATTCAAACATCGGACTCCCTTTGGATTCAAGCATTAAGAATATAATGAGAACAGAAGTTGGATTAAATTTGAATACACATAAATTGGTGCTTTCAAAGTGTAAAATACCCATATCACAATTCATATAGAATACACCATCACGCTATTTTGAAATCTTGCTCAAGGTCCCAATAACCTCCTCTGTAGAGAATACATCCGCAAACTCACCATCGAGGCTAGCGACAGAAACCTTATGAACAGTCTCCGAATCAATTCCACCCTTTCCAAACGTAGCGGTGGCATCCTCGACAAGCACAATACGCCCCTTCTCAATTTGCACATCATTTTCATGAGTCCCATCAGACCTCAACCGAACGGGCCCATTCCCAAGATACCGATCCACAACCCCCAGATTCGCCGCCATTCGCACAGTAGTTGAAACACAATGATCAGTCGTCAACCCAGCAATGATGAGCTGACGAAAGCCCTTTTCCCGCAAATGCGCTTCAAGTTCAGTTCCGATGAAAGAAGAATTGACACTTTTCCAAAAGATGGCCTCCGACCCATCTGAGGCTGGGGTGGCAAAGTCTAGAGGACGGATACCCCCAGGGTTGGATGGGTGGAGTGGAGATCCCGGGGTTGTGGAGGAATGAAAAATGTGGATCACCTCGAGCGGCGTTTGGGACGAGGATCTCGCGACTCGGAATGCGGAGAGAAGTGCTTGGATGTTGGTTTCATAGTTCGGGTTGGACCGTGTGGTGCCCCAGTGGGATATTGTCTTTGGATCACAGAAGGCCGATTGGTTGTCTATGAGGATCAAAGCTGTGGGAACAGTAAATTCCAATGCCATTTTGTCAATTTGGGCTTCCAATTGTCGAATTACTGCTTATGTGGGCACTTCGAGATGTTGATAAAATTCAATCTTGCAAAGTTTTTATATGGCTCTGGAGTCAAGTGTGGCTGTTCCGTGACTCACCCAGCTCACTAATCAACTCTCAATCAGAATTAACTTCAAAATTTGATAGCTTCATATTTTGAGTAGGTAGTAGATATTTTCTCATTATAGCCCAGACGACTTAGTTTTCCAGCTTCTAGCCTCTTGGCCCCTTTTCGAAGAATAAACTTCAGAAATAAATATTGGCTTTCCAAGGGGGTTTCGCCTGTTGCTTTCCTAAATGCGTCTCAGAACTTGGATTGGTCACATACTATGTACCCTAGACAACTTTCGCAGCCTATATCTACAATCAATCGCTGACCATTTTGACATCATATCTTTATCGCATTGAACTTAGGCTTTTGACCTGAGCCTTGCCACAGAGGTTGGTAAGCAATAGGCGACGCTAAGCATGCTCTCTACTTACCTTCGGGGCTATCCAATACCCCTAGGCCGTTGTCAGTCGAACCCCGCCAGGTCGATATATCAAAGTTCCAGTGCTGTCAATAGACTGGCTACCCTCAACCCGCCAATGTTTCAGACACCTTCCCAAGGTGCCACCGCAGTGAGATCTTTGTGTAGAGATGTGCAGATCTTCCTCATTAGGCTCAATTATAAGAAGTGCGGTCGTAGGTTTATTGAAACTTCCCGAAAAAGCAACTCCGGGGCTTATTCTCGCAGGTGGTGAAGTTGTGTCCCAAGTATTACCTATTCAGGAAATGTGAAAAACTTGGGGTCGCAACTTAACTCCCCTGATTCATGGTATATTAATATCAGATACCCTGGAGATCCTAATGGTAGGTTTATTGTGGTAACATGGTAGGCGAAAAAAGTCCGTGGTGTTTGACTAAACTATCTCAAACATAGTTCTGGACTGTGCCGTGATCCATACGGGAAATATCACAGGTACTATCTACGTAGTTTTGACTCATAGCTAAACCGTTCTTTCAAATTGAATTTTTCTTGAGAGTCAAATTCCATTCATATCCCTGAGGTCAGCGTTTATTAGCATAGCACGGTGTACTATGGCTACCAAGTTTCCCTCGAAGTTTTTCACTTACACAATCCACGAGACATCATGCGTCTTACTGAAGCCAAGTCCGCACCTCAGGATCCCAGTGTCCCTCAACTGGGCGCATTTATAAAGCTTTCGCTTGAACTTCGTTGGATAATATGGGACTATGTCTTCGATGGCATACAAGCAGCCCCATTTGCCTTGGCTATTATGCGTTGCAGTCGCCACCTCTAACAAGAGATATGGTACCATCTTTTTGATTAATTTGAACACGAATTTCGAGTTTCGGATGGGCTAGGATTCAACTTCACTATCAAGCAAAGGCGCAGCCAGGGATGGGAATTGAAGAATACCCAAGCCGTTCGCAGCAGTCTTTGCAATTTTCCTTGGGCAAAAGTCGGGGGCAAAATGTTTGTCAACATATTACCCCCTCCTCAACGAGATCCTGGTCAAATTGTGCAAATTTGGCAGAAAGTCAATCAACTCGTCAACATTTTACAGACAATGCCTTCTGCTCCTTCAGTTTGGGTGAGCCTACTGGGTGATTGGTCAAGTGGTAAGATACCGCAAGTGAGTGTCACTTACACCAACGGATACAATGGATATCGCCCCGATCATGATATTGCGATTGTGCCTTTCACATGCCTTTCAGATTGGCATTATCGAATACCGCCTTCCTACTCCGCTACGATAGCGAACGAACGACAGTTGACCAAGAGGTCGCTTCTATTCAAATATGGAAAGGATTCTGTCTTAGAAGAGTGCCAGTGGGGCTGTGTTAGGGCCCCCGATGTCAACATCGTCCACGACTGGCTCACGGATACCCGGATCTTTCTTGATCGCAGACTCGATGACATTCCTGGTAAAACGGCTGGGGCTCTTCGGCTGGAACGATTCCAAACCTGGTTCCAAGATAGCTGGGCATCAAAATACGAAACACAATTCATCTCAGATCTTCAGAAACACCAGAGCACTGTTCTAAAACATGATCGCGGCTTACTAGGGGCCAGAAGAAGACACAAGTTGTTGATCATGCTTCATCATATCTACCATGCCTCGCAGGACGACCCACATAAAGTGGAGGCTGCTTTGAATGAAATGACTCCTCGAGTCTACGAGAAGTGGGATCCTCAATTCTGGTCAGAGTGTTGGGGAGATGGTATGCCTAGGCTCAGCTTCCGGTTGGTCGAGGGTAGGTTGGACTGGCAATATTGGTATCGTGTGTACTGGTCTTATCGGAAATTCACGGTTTTTGGGATGATTTTACGCGGAGCAAGCTCCACAACTGTCACCATTCGCGACGCAGAATGAAGTGCTGGATATTGTTAGTAGAAAGTTAGCTGGTCTCACCACGTAAGATTCTTCGCACTCGCTAATCACTTTCTGTCGCCCTTTCTGTTTCTGCGATGACGGGAGAAGGGAAAGGTATCGTAGTTGTATCTTCATTGTAAGGCGGAAGACAGAGGCCGCACAAGCGACTTTGCTTGTCTCTATTGATACATACGAATATTTCTTCGGCGTAAACTTACTGGGGTGCTTGGGGGAAATTCTATCCAATCCATAGCCCTGTACGTAGCCCTATGCAACATATTGCTACTGTCGCTACAGCAATAGCGACATGCTGCTAGGCACGAACGTTCCCCGAGAAATCGAGAACAATGGGGTCTTTTTGCATTTGCGTCTGTTGACAATTGTGTTGAGGACGACACATCTTTTCGGAGGGGACCACACGTTACCCAAACTAGCAAGGCAGATATAAAAAGCCACAGACAGTGACAACTAACCACGAGAGCACGTGCCTGAGAAGAGTCACATGAGAGCCCCGACAGCCGCATTTTCTCAGTACCTACAGAGTATGGATTAATTCGATGGCATATGCATCTTTCTTTCCATCTCCCGTAATACTACGGTGACTCTATATTGTAGGTAGTCCAAGGGTAGAAATGATATCATACATGTCAACAACTTACCGTGAACATGATAGGGCCGGCTAGTCGGACTCACCTGAATGATGTCAATTTGATGGATCATGCGCCATATCAGATTTTCCTTTGCGTTGCCTGGCCCACCGCTTGTTTTCAGTGTGAATCCTCTAACTTGGATCCGATTTTTGCCCGCGCTCTATGACTTTTTCGTCTTGGTTTGCCCCCTGCTGATCACTAAATTCTCGGGAGCATAACTATTCCGAAATATGACATAAATCAACCCGGCCCGGGGTCACTGACCATCACCTGATCATTAGATAATCACTCAAGCCGGCCCGGCGTGTGGCGTGTGTATGGCTGAGATGCCCTGTTTTAGATAGAATCTATAGAACATTCGCTGGCTTGGCATTTGGACAGCCGAGACGTCGAGGCGGATCAGCGGATCAATTCCGCAATGTTGGAAAATTATTGCGCGCAAAGTCACTTATACCAGATGAAGTTGCATGCGTATAACTAACTATGCAGATAAGTGTCTGAACACAAGCGTTAAAATCACGGTAGATATTCAAAGTATACCAACTTTTATCAGTTACCTTGATATGTACCTATTGTACTTGGATACGAGAAGTTTTGGCTCTTTACTGATATTACTGATATGTAGGTACCCAAATGGTCTTCATTTTGGCTTTATTGCCACGACTCTTCAATGCTATTAGATATATATGAACTTTTTACTCAAGATCTTAGCGTCACCCTGACAGGCAACGATCGAGTATCAACACTTGATAAATTGAACAATGCTCGCTATTTCCAACAGAAAAACCCAAAAGAAAATGCATCAGTTTCAAGGCCATTGGTTCAATTCCATGCCACGAGCCTTGAACTTGGAGACCATGAAACCGGGACTGCAATTTGACTCCCAATCCTCATCGAACCCTGAGTTGGGGTTGTGTGGGTTGAACGGTTGCTTCATGGAAAGACCACGAGGAGTCTCGTCGAGGCTTGGTGATTCGGCATCGCTGTCACCACATGAACATGTTACTGTTGTTCTGCTGCCTGGGGTTGTGCAGGGGCAAGAGCCCAAGGTGCGATTGCATGGGACGCATTTGTAGTATGCGCGACTGCCGGCATCATTGGAGCTTGAGGTTGTGGATACGCGGACTCCGGGGAGACCACATTGGTCGCATTTGCGGCCTTGGGAGGTAGGGCTGAATTGGAGTGTCATGGTGAAAGAGGGTTGACTCTGGGTCATTGACTTGGGAGTGGTATCAGTGACTGTCAGGTAGAAAGGGGACATCTGGAGTACTCACATGATGCTAGAGTGTTCTAGGATGAAGTATCTGAGATAGACTAGAGATGGTCTGAGGTAGTAATCGAAGAATGGATGAGATGATGATGTTCTGGATAGTCCGGGGAACTTCTCCCTTTTATAAAGATTTTGCGGGGGATACCCACGGGTAGATCATTATAACGCCATCTGGGCCACTTCTGAGTCTGGTGAAAATGAGGTGAAAACTTTGAACCAACCAACATCGTGATCCTTGTTGAAATCACGTAAAAAATCACTCAAACCATGGAAATCTAGACTCGAATTGTATCATCAAACGTAAGGAACGACCGAATCAGGTTAGACCCTCCCCGAAGCAAACCGAAGTTTTAGGTAATATCCCGCAAATGGATCAAGTGACCCCTTGGCGCGTGGTTACGTTGCTTGTCGCTGATTGGGTCGTGCTATTTACAGAAATTGCAAATGAAGTCATTGCCACAGCCTTGACTCATCAGTCATCCAATTCGTTGCTCGGCCCGGAGGTTCCCCGCATTATGTTGCCATTGAGGATTTCCCAACAAACGCAACAAACACCATCAACCACATGATTTGAAAAATTTCCCCCTATTCATAGAAGTCAAGACGCCATCGCACTAAGGGCGAGCTTGGCGAGCCATTGGCCAGTAGAATCTGGGTAAACGCGCTCGTGAGATTTGTCGCAAAAACAGCCAAGACTATCGAATCAGAGACTTCTTTGTGGCAAGTCATAGTTCGGAGACAAATGACGATGTATCAACCCCTTCTTCGAATCAAAACACTACCCGGGTCCCAACATTCGGCAGGACCGGTTGGCATGCATTATTCGCAACTCGGGAAAATTGTGCCGCGGCCTTGAATCCGGTATAATTATATCATCTTGTGGAGAATGGCTCTATCTCACAACAATTCAATATGTCTATATTCGTAGAAATGATGCCATATTGGTATACAACATTGTATATAGACGAGATAGAACAGCCAAAACTCCACATGGCCGAAAGCGGTAATCAATGGCTGAATCTGATAGATCCGTTAGATCAGATGGCGGTTACTCTACTAAAGCCGTTACATCCATAAATACAATAAACAGATTACCCGAGTTGCCTAAGTAGAACGGTCATATGCGATGGGAAGAGGTACATCCATGCCCGACGTCCACCACCTGGCCCGTCCCTTGATTGGATCGGTAGCTTAGTCATAGCTAGGTACCTCCAGGTACCATCTGCAATCCTTGCCTGGACCCTTGACCGCGTCACAATAGTTCACCGACTCTAATGACAAAGTGCTCTGAGCCCCTTCTTTTCGTTTCCTATTCTCTGCAATACTAAACTTCTAGATTAGAGTAGTTGACCTCTTCCAGTCGGCAAGTCTGAGTTCCAATACTTACAACTTCCCTCCATGCTCCCCCGGTCACATGGATGCCAAACGAGCAAAGCGTAAAATCTTACCCTATTCGGTCTTCTCAAACAAGTTCCACTTTTCAAGCGCTCCACTTTATCGACTCGTGACACTCACAATGACTAGTCTACTAACGTCATGGCAAGCAGAGGAGCTATGTGAGTTCACATTGTTGAAAGCTTATGCTGCTGACCAGTGTTGGGATCTTTCACAGGAACAAAGCGTTAAATTTTCATCCATCGCGTCTGGCTCCGACCATTTTACAATGAAGATCTGGGACTGGTAATATGGCGAACTGGAAACAACGCGCAAAGGACATACAAGGGCAGTATGCGATATTGATTATGGCGAAACATCCAGTGGAGTTCTCCTAGCTTCCTGCAGCTCTGATCTACCATCAAGTTATGGAATACCACAGATGGTTATCGAAATTTTAGGACGCTACAAGGTCACGAACATATTGTCAGCGCTGTTCGTTTTATTCCGTCTGGGGGTCTTTTGGCTAGTGCAGACAAGGACGAGAGTGTGAGATTATGGAATGTCGCCAATGGTTACTGCGTTACAGCTATACAAGGGCATACTGGGTGGGTGGGTGCTATCTCTCCATCTTTAGACAGGCAGTTCCTTCTGTCTACTGGAGATGATAGGACTGTTCGGCTTCCCAGTATATCTACTAGTCAAGCAGAATATAAGTTCACAGCGATCGGCCACGAAGATCCTACTACGTGCTGTGCAGTTGCCCCAGTGGCATCCTTTCGATATCTCACATCATCAATAGGAACTAAAAGGTCAATCACGGCAGTTGAGATCATAGCGACTTGATCACGCGATTGAACCATTAAGATATGGAACTCTCGTGGAGCTTGCATCATGACTCTTATCGGTTATGATAGCTGGGTACGCGCAATTGCTTTCCACTCTTGGTGGGAAGTATCTTCTTTCGGTATCAGATGACAAAATGCTACGTTGTTGAGATTTGAGTAACATGGCAAGGGTGTGAGAATTATTCGAGATGCACATCATGGTTTATTACTTGCTTGAGGTGAGCCCCTGAAGTTGCGAAAGACATTGGCAATGGCATTCCTCAAAGGTTGGAAGGCTCAGAAAAGCCTCAAAGCAAAATAAGTAAAAGAGGCCAGCCCGGAATACAACCTCGTTGCGTGCTAGCTACGGGAAGCGCGGATCACAAGATACAAGTCTTTGGCTAATGACCGTAGACCAGGTCTGTAGGCTGCTTTGAATTGGGAATTCTTTCGCGTCAACAAGTGTCAAATCTTATATCCACCCCTAGATACTTACCTTAGAGATATCTAATTAGTCGCATCTTTGCCAGGTAGAAGGCGGAAATGCTGGAGGTATCATCTTAAAACCACAGGGCTAAAAAGGGTTCTCAAAGAGCACGAGCACCGGCATTTTAGAGAGGACCTTGGAGATGACCAATCTGAAAAACCTCGCAAAAATGTACCCTGGACAAGAATTTGACTTGGAAAGGCGTACTTCTGAATTACCGGGGCGCGGGAGTCGTCAGGTTGTGGGCTCGGCGAGCCCCCTTCCCCTCGATCCAATGTCGATCACGCGTGTCACGTGAGATCCTGTATACTCGCCTCTCAGGAGGCTCTAGGTGTTTACCTTTCCTCAAGCTTCAGTAAACAGATTTTCAGCCACACCTTATTGAATTCAATTTGATCTGGGCTCCTCATACATCTACTCCATAAGTTATGCTAGGGCTCCTTACTTTTGAGCTAGCATCTCTTGCTACCCACAGATTATCCTGTATCTATCTCTTTTACGTTAACGATAAAATCAATTCATCATCAAGATACTGCTTGTTATACCCCCCTGGTAAGAATTCTGTCCTTATAAATCCCACACATCAGTTTGCACTAGTAATGAATTGTTTTTTAAACAACCGGGTGCAATGAACTGCTCATTTATGAAGGTCTTGATTGAATGATATCTGGCACATAAGCTCGACTATGCCTTGTGAATGAATATCTACTAGTATATACAGCCTTTTCTTGATTCAATCATTAAACATCTGTGGTTTATATAGTATCACGTATTCCACAGTAAATAAGTTACAGAGAGAAATTCCGAAGTAGCTCATGCTTGGCAGAGCCACATGGACAGAATTCTTACTAGGGGAAGGGACCTACCTACCTAGGTAAGGTAGCTTGCTATGACAGTTCCTGGGGTTGTGGGTTGAAGCAGCGTCTCTATACCTAATCAGGACTAGCCCCTGTAGATCACTCCACTTTATGAAGCTTGGCGCTCCACTCCCTTGAAATTGCTACATTAGAGGTACCTGCTCGCAAGAACCATCATGACATTTCCTTCCAGACCGAGTGATTTCGATGCCCGATACCTCCGCCGCCTGGTAGGAACTAAGGTCACTACCTTTTATGACTTCGACCCCCTGCAACAGCTATCTGCTGTCTCTCCCTCCACGTCTGCCATATCTCCCTCTGCGGTTCACCCTCCTGGGGTCTCCCCACCCGCAGCCTCGCCTCCTCCGTTCTCGCTCGATACGGACTCCCTCGATCCGGCCTCACTTACTACGGTCTCCTCCGCTACGGCCCCTACACTTTCCTTCTCTGGTTCGCCCCTCCCTCCAGGGGTCGGCCGCTCGTGGATCATCACGGAAAAGCTTTCGGAGAGGGCTATCCATCTCACACAAGAAGATTTGGATATGGGCAGTGGGTCTCCTATGACGGTTGGCAAATTCCTGTGTTACCTAGAGGAGGACCCGGCCCAGATAGCGTTCATGCGAATATATTATCAGATTCCCATCACTGGAACGGAGGACGCTGATCTAGCTACACTGGCCCAGCAGATCCAACCCCATGAGGTGTGTGGAGAACTGGAGGCGTTCAAAGCATTGATGAGTCAAGGCTGTAGCTCTACTCCACGTCTCCTTGGTTACTGCGAAAGAACGCAAGGGGAACCTGATCTCGTTCCTGGTGGCTATGTCAAATATCTCGTATGGGAAAAGGTGCCTGGGGAGCCTCTTACGGAGGAACTTTTCTGGAGCTTGGATCCCCTGGTACGAGAGGATATCCGTGCCAAGTTTCAGGCTGCCTTTGAGTCGGTTTATGCAAACGCAAGAGGGTAGACAAAAAACGCTAACACAACTAACAGAGAGGTGCTACGTTGCGGTGTCAAACCACAGCAGTCTAGAATCTCGAAGATCATCTATGATCAGTCCACTGGGGATGTGTACGTCAGGGATTCTACATGTATTGGATATTTTTACTAATGAGTTCAGTCGCATTTCAGGGTTCCGAAGGGGATGGCCAATCCGTGATCAACTTCAATGGTCAGACACCCGTTATATCGCGTACATGCTGGCTAAGCGACCCGACGAGAGGGACTGGCGTTCTCACCCAGAGAGATGGGAGTTATGAAAGGTCAGCAGTGTTGCGGTTTGTGAGTATCAGATTCGGTTTAAATTGCTACTCTCCGTCCAAAGTATCATGTAAGTCGAAGCTACTATTTATTTTTAGGTGTTGTGTTTCCTACCTAGAAATCGAGGGGGTACCAAGAGAAATTAGGCATTTTCCTATCGATTGTGGTTTGATCCACGCCTTTAGCACGCAAGAATCAGAGGCTGTCCTTGCATCTAGAAGATGCTTCTATGTGACAGTTATGAGTATGCAAAAGTCCGATTGTCGTGCACTGTCAGAATACTAGGAGAGATGCAGACGTACCGGATAACGTCCGGCACTCGAGACCTTTCCCTTTATGGTTTTGCGCTCATCTCTTCTCGGTTTTTTATCACCAAGTAAAAGTGAGCACGTCTCTGGGTATCCTGACTTGATCGCGGGGTGTATGTTCCTTCCGGATATCAGATGAAGGCCGCATGAGGATTGTACTCAGGTCGGGGGTCGGGGATTATGTCCGCCGAGCTCGGTGTCGGAGTCAGATACTCCGGAGCTCTCTTTGATCACGACCAATCGATTGGCACCTACTACCTACAAACGAAAGCGTGCACGCACCTCTCATACAATATCATCATGCCAATCTTAGCAGAGCCTCATAAGAAATTGCTTTATGACTCGAATCGGCTTAATGTGATTCCAATGCTCTTTCATGTTCTATAGAATTATATGACTCAGGTCAGAACAATTAGGCCACTATAAATCAATCTCACCCCGACTGTTTTTCTCGCACAATTTAACCCTAAGTCACCCGCTATCAATACCAACATATCTACTCAGAATACAAAAATGACCACCACTATCCAAAAAGTTGCCATCTTCGGGGTATGTCCAATACCTCCTACAACTATGTGATCAAAAATTTTCTTTCCATTGAAACTGACACCCGCACAGGCGTCGGGCAACTTTGGCACTCCCATCACTGCCGCCCTCCAGCGCGCTGGCTTTAATGTCACCATCATCACCCGTACCGAGTCCTCCTCGACATTCCCTGATGGCATGCCCGTCATCCGGACTAGCTACACCCTCGAGAACCTGACCACTGCTCTCGCAGACCAGGATGCCGCCATCTGTGTGGTCGGCCCCGGTGGCATCGGTGCACAGGTTACCATAGTCGAGGCCGCCGAAGCCGCCGGCATCAAGCGTTTCATCGTCGACGACTTCGGCTGGGGCCCGGATTTCCGCAACCTGCCAGAATTCAGCGCTATTCACGCGCATCGTCGCGCGGGTTGGGAACTGGCTAAAGCGAAGGCCCAGGCAAATCCCAATTTTACATTCACTGGTATTACCTCAGGGAATCCGATTGACTGGGTAAGCCTTGCCTATTCTTTTTCTCCTCTATTTTATATGTATAAGAGAAGGGGAATTCTTGTCATGCTAATTCGTCACTTCTCTTTCCTGTTTGGTGTAGGCAATCCAGCGATTCCCTCTGATGGGTTTCGACATCGCCCAGTCTTCTGCCATCATCTACGACTCTGGCATAGAGAAATTCACCGCAACCACCCTCGCAGGTATCGGGCAGTCGGTCGTCGGCGTCCTGCAGCACCCCGACGAGACGGCGAACCGGTTCGTGAAGGTCCTGTCGATTATCACCAACCAAACCGAGCTGCTCGAGGCTTTCCAGCGTATCACGAACCGACAATGGCCGGTACAGCACGCCTCAACGCAGACTCTGATCGAGAGCGGACAGCGGAAATTCAAGGCGGGCATAGGTGGCTGGGTGCTGGAATTAGTGGTCGCGCAGCTGTACGATGAAGGACAGGCCCGATGTGTCATGGCTCCTTCGTGGGAGGTGTCAGATTCACCCCTGTTGGGGGTGAAGAATGAGAGTGTAGATGATGTGGTGGCTAAGGTCTTACAGTTGTAAAATTTTTGTTATACAGTTTATCCTAAAAGGGTTCACCCATGTTTGCCAGCAGGCTGAGCGAGCAGATGATCAATCAGATTTATTTAGTAGGCTTCATATCCAGGATAAACGAAATTTAGATTCGATAAAAGAACAAAGAGGAGAGAAGAATGAGTGATTCTCTACACACAACTAAAAGTTAACTAGCTAAATAGCTAGTTGCAGCCAGGCATTCGAGCAGATTTTCTGTCTCAACAACATCTCACCGCCAAGGAACATTAATGGAGGCTTTGCTCTAATTACCTCCATTATACGGCATGTTCCGGTACCACGTCTTGTTGGTAGTCCAGTCCCACCAAAGACTGGAGGAATATCCCCCGTCCGACTCCTTGACAGTGTACCCACAGTCTTTTTTGAATGGCATGCTGAAGTCATCTTTGAAGTTCGCCGCCTGATAGAATTCTATCGTCTTATCCGGGTCATTGTCACAGATCGGTCCGCACCAGGATGGTAGTTCATCCCACCCGTACGGATGGAGTATGTCATGCTTCTTGCCATATCGCCAGTCGGCACCGATGGTCTTACTGATATCGCACACAGGGATAGTCCATAGACCTTCCATGTTCACACCGTTTGATTTGATTTTCGTGCTTTCAGTGAACAGCTCGCCCATGCGATCGGTAAATGACGACGAGGTGTAGTTATTTCCAGCAGCTTGGAAGGACTTCAGAGAGGATATGATGGCGTCCTAGATAGAAGAAAATGTTGGAATACGCCTCTTATGTATATATCGAGCTCACATACCTGTGGTTTGATATTCTTCCAGAATGGCCCGGAGCCGCCCTCGCTCTCCAACCGAGGAGATTGGCCCATACGATCGGATCCCCAGGGCCGAGCAAGCCATCCCTGCTTCTTGCGTCTCAGCGCGGCGGGGACAGACTCCCTCTGCCAGAAGTACAGGTACCAGGCCTTGTTATTCTCATCGCAGATGTAGTTGTCGTCGGGTGCAGAGATACCTGAGCCAATGCCCTGGCCGTCACCGCAGGCGCCACCGCCAAGAATGAACACACGTTGCATACGCCATAGAGAGTTGATCATCATTGACTGCATCATAGCTATCATGACATCCTTAGCTCCGTTCTTCTGCAGTCCCGGAAAGTTGACCCAGGCTCCGCCCTTGAGGTAGTCGCGGATATCGCCAGAATTGCCGTAGCCATGACCGTACATCAGTTCGTTGTTAATGGAAACAAATGAGCCGGAAATAGAAGTGACTGCGTCTCCCAAAAAACTGCCGAGATTGGCCTCTGTGAGGGCGGTCGAATCTCTGCACAGAGGAAGGTTAGTAATAGTAATGGCCAGAGATCTCTCTCGGATAGGAAGGGAAGGACTTACACTGCTGAGAGATAATTACCGGCTACATTCACTCCACCAGTAACCACAGCTGAGCCTGCTCCCGCGATTCCGGGGACGGCACCTGCCACAGCTAGCGCGAGCGCAGGCGCAGCGAAGGCACCGGCAACGATGGCAACCAGGGCGGATAGGAGGTTCAGGAGCTGCTTCAGGATCATCGGATTCCAGTTATTCTCGTCAAACCAGAAATTGCCCACGATATTGTCCGTGGTCAGAGCGGTAACAACGGAGGGGATATCGAACGATTGGTCCAGGCCGAGGAAGAAACCGTGTAGGTTGTTAAGGGCCTGCAGCACATAGTACGCCTGCTCGGTATTGTTGCCGAGGGAGTTGAGCTTAGCGTTGTCACAGACTGGCATGTCGCAGTCGCCGTCGTTGCCATTGTTCTGGCACGACCAACCGGGTTGACCTAGTGCATACATGCCGAAAGCACCAGCGAAGCCGTGTGGGTTGCTTGTCCGCTTGTCGGCATTCACAGTCCACCATTGATCAAGCCAGGCGTCGGTATTAGCCTGATTCCATTTCTCAACGCTGGGGTTTTCCGTGTACTTTGAGACTGCGCCGCAGCTGTCCTCCTGTCGGCGCATGTTTTTGTAGTAGGATGGGCCATGGGGAACGGCGGTTGCTTGGAGAACAACCGCCGCCCATGTGCCCACAGAAAGCAGACGAGATGCAAGAATCATCAGGCCAGTTTAAACTAAGATTGCGTGCGGGATGCGAATGATGAGTTCTCTAGACATATCTGAAGCATATATATACATCTCCTAGTTGCCGCTATCAACGATCAGGAAAGTGGATTTGGTATACGGTCGACAATATCCCTTTTGTTTTGACAGTCTGCATGCGATCTTCAGAGAAATAGCATTATCCAGAAGAGCACAAGATGCATGGATGAGCGAGAAAGTGTGCCAATCATATTCTTTCCTAAAGTAGCTTAGCACATGGGTATAGAGTGTTGTCTCACAATATCACCCCTCTGTGCTCTCCATAGACCTTAGTTCCTGTAGATTATGTCGAATCGGGGATCCTTAGATAGTTGGAGTCTATTCTTTAAGAATACAAGCTAGTTTAAGCACAAATATGATGACACTTCGAGGTATTCATTCAGGAATCCGGAACATTCTTGATAACACTCCAAACCCCCAACCCACGACGAATCATTTTTAAGATACACATTTAGTATGAAAATTTCAGCTTGGTATCTTCGATATTACCGATTCCTTTGAATTCCATTTAAGCTAACCTTATGATGTCCCGCGGTGGAGGATACATTCTGCAGCGGTTTTCAAGAGTCGGCATGAATCAGCTGATTGGCCCATTGCATCTAAATAAATGCCTCCAATACATAAGAAGAAATCGGGGCCAAAAAGCATCAAGCTTTCAGAAATATTGGAAGGAGAGAGAGGATTTGTCCTACCTCTTGTCGGTTTGGGCCCTGACATGTCTTCGAATAAGGGATGCATTTACTATTAGGGCTTTAAGCAGAGATAGAAGAATATAGAAGAACCTCACTTAAAAGAACCATCCCCAATTGAAATTTGAAAGCATCACAAGTACCATTTCAGCCCCCATAAGGTATGACTTGCTTATCTCTAATTTCTCAGAGCCAATCTATGTTTCATCTAACAATAGGTATGACAGTCGGTATGAAGACATGTAGACATTGACATAGGGCTCGTATATGACTGGCCAGTTAAACCCCGCAAACTGGTCGAGCCCACTGTAAGTGCGGCTTTTAAAAAAACTCTGAACCCTAACCCAACCCAACAAGCCCAGATGACTTTCCTAATTAGGCTATGCCAAGCGGTTCATGCCAAGACATATAGATCTCTTGGTTTCGAATAATAAGACCCGGCTGCCTTGAAAAATATATAGATCCCAGGGATTGTTCGTAGTGTCAAGGGTTGATCTATGGTCCAAAATCAGAAAAGAAACCGCTCATTTTCAAGGAAGCGATGGTGCACCAGCCGTGTTACACGTCTGGCTCCTGAATAAGCGAGTTAATTCACCTGGATGGATCCGCATAGTATCACCTATGCTTTTATTGCTTTGTAGGACGTCACGGCTTCTGTAAAAGTTTTGTAAAGCCGTTTAAAAGAATTATCGGTACATCCAATATGGGTACATAACTCATACAAAGGTTTTTGGTTTCCGATTCGGCAAACAATCCCAGTAATTCCGCAGCGTCTAGATCGCTCACCTCTAGACGGGCGTATGATAGCCCTTATGTTTATCTGGGCTCTAAGAAAAGGAAGAATACGGTCATGCCACTACAATGATATTAAAGCCATTGTTGCCGTGACAACATTTCCAATTCCCTAAATAGGACCTTGTGGTAGTTTAGCTGTCAACTTTGATAGTTGCTACTTCTGAGTTTCTTTGAATACTCAGAAATTAGCCTCACATTCCCACATACGCGTAGAGGTTTCTGTAGACCTCTAATGACAATAGTCAAGTTTAGTTCTTCAAGGGAAATGAGATCTCAGGTCTCGATGAAATATGTCCAGTGCGAAATTTCTACATACTCTTTTATGAATACAGCAGATCAGGAACCAGGAACAACCTTGGCTATTGGGCCCAAGCTTCCAGAAGCCAGAGCCTTTTACTCCTTCTTTTTCGAGGATGGTTTGGGCATCTTTCGCGTCCGACGACGTAGCATCTCCACTCGTTCCTCCATGGTCCAGTTAACTTGATCACCGATGGGAATCAGACATTTAGCCAGGTAGTCATAGTTCTTCCGAAGTAAATTCACAGTAATGAAGATATAATCGACGTTTCGGAAGACCAGAGCATTTTCCTTGGCATATGTATCCTTTTGCTTGAGGAAAGCGACAGGGTGGTCTCTCCAGTGACGGCGTGGATTCAAGTGGTGCGAAGTGTGATAACCGTCATTGAAAGAGAACCGGTTACTCTGATGCTTGTCAGTTTTAATTCTTCGTATTGAGTAGGCTGATCAAAACTTACCGAGACATCAATCAGTGTGATGCTAGACAGATAATCCGAATCGGGGTCGGCCGGATCTACCAAAGCATGCTGGCCCCAGTTACCGACCATCAAACCCACACGCATGACGGTGAGCGGGAGAATGAAGGCGAAAATGGTAGCGCGGGCGTTGACATAGTTGTAGAGCATATAGATGGCGACGTAGTTCCCCACCTCCCAGAAAGCGCATTTGGCTGCATACTTGAACTGTCCCTTTCTCCAGAAGTACATTGGGAGTTCCAACCAAACGAAAAAGAGGAAGCGACCCACGTATTTCAGGAAGTCGGGGATGCTATCGCGGTCGTAGTACATTGTTGTGCTCAGATCATCCCCACCATTACCCTCAACGTGATGGTGCTTGATGTGGTGGTAGTAGTAAGAGTTCCACGTATGTCCGTGCATTGGGTCCAGCAGATATGGGAAAAGCATATCAAACAGATAGAATTTTGAGTTCAGCACTCCATTTTGGTGGATGTGCTGGTGCTTCATCAGCGTGAAAGCGCCACAATAAAACCCTTGCATGAGCCAGTGCAGGGCACCGTGGAGATAAGAGAATTGATAATATAGATATGCAGCACTTGGAACAATAGTGGTGAAGTAAAGTGTAAGATGCGTTACCATGACCACGTCAGTCTGGTACCGCACGATGCCCTTGGCCCAGTTGATGTATGGCGTAAGCACGTACTTCTGCATGGGCGTAGGCAGCTTGGCCCGCAACAGCGGGGTATCCCAAAATTGGGAGACGGTGATATCAAATTCTACATGAGAAGGATCATTGAGATTGTGAAGCCTCTGGATTGTTTCTTCGGTGTTCAGCTTATCCAATGGCTGTGCATTGGTTGTGCCTATATGTCTGTCAGCTTGGTGTTTGATGGACGATGCAGGTGTGTTACCATTTGAACTAGGCTGAGGCTCAACGATAGCATCAATCACCAGTCGATCTTGGTAAGTAAGCTGGGGATCTGTGTATGTAGAGGGATCCATGATGCCTTAGTACGGCAAATGCTACTCCGTAGTATTGTTAATCCTGTCAAATGGAATCCAGCGGGCGCGCACTAACCCGTATCCAATGAGCTGGTTATAAAGAACTTCTAAGATAGTTTCCGGGATTTCCGAGCTTATTAAGATAATAGATGCCTAAGAAATACCCTAGACAAGTCTCCTATAAGACAACGCGTCAGGGGCGTGAAGAGATTTCGGGAGCTCAATTGTGGGTCCTGGAACCGTCAGGCTATGTGAAGGGTCAAAACTTCATTTCGAATGTTTCTAAGACTTGATCTAGTGTCTTCGATTACAATTTAAGCTATCCGTCACTATCCGAGGGTAGTTGAACGTCTGTTAATGAAGTATGGTGCTCTTCCGTATAGAATTCTGATGTGGTTCAGGGGCTCTGCGGGAAATATTTCCCCTGAGCATCCGAGCTTAACATTGTGTGACAAAAGTTCCTTCCACTGGGATATCTTTATGATAGAGGCGGAGTTTTCAAGAAATGATTCTCGAAGTCTAATAATAAAGACGATGAAGCTGTATATTATACTCGGTAGGATAATTTACATGTCTTAAGTCTGGCTGGCGGAAGATCATCACTAAGATGCACAGTGGGCCCACAACATCTTGAAGGTCTCAAGAGGTTTGATATGCAAAGCATGATGGATAGAAAGAAGTATTGTGCTTCTGGAGAAAATAATCATTATACCATATCATTTATTTTGGCATGAAGGACTGTAAGGATGACCAATGAAAGAGAAGACAAACAAAGCGACATCTTTCATAGCCGAGATGTGCCAAGACATTTTGTTGACGGGTGACTTCCCTTTGTCCTTTTTCGAGACAATTCTGCAAAGTACCCTGGTGTACAATACCTCGTCTATGCTAAGAAGGCCATTGCATTGTAGAGAATGACATAAAGCCTGACCTGCCCCATGAGAATTGACAAAGAAATAACCGGTAGGTATATCAACCTCAAAAGTCATACTTCGAAAATAATCTCAAAACGGATTTCCCCCCGGCATCTTCAGTATCGACCCCTTCTAAAGACCACATAGACACCTCGTGGCTCGATTCCAACTCATATCCACTTGTTTATAATTCACAGAAATCTCAGGTCCACTCTGAGGATAACCTACCCAGGGAGTCTTTGAGATCCAGGAGGTACGAACTTCCCCGCTGTCGAAAATTGGCTCATTTCCTAGATGAACAATGTAGAGTAGAGATCCGTTTGAGAAGTTTCCAGCCCAGTTCGCGTTCGGGCCAAAGCTTAAGACAATATTGCTGCTAACTACAACTGCACAGTCATCTCCTCTGTGTCCAGATCCAGTGTCAGATTCCGAATTTGACCTATCCTGTTAGTCCTGGAACATTTGGTTCACCGCAAAAATACCATTGATCACCAGAAGCGCCGTCCTTGGGTTCAAAAGATAGGCTCCGCGGTATCAGGAGAGTGATACAACTGGTGAGACGATCGACCGAATGCTCCAAGGGTCAGATGGTTGCGATTGATACAGCGGAGGGATGTCAGCCAGTGACTTGTATATCACTAAGAGCGACATCACGAGTTCGAAAAACATTGTTGGACATTTTACATCACCAGAGGCCCAACGCAAAACATAGCTATAGATATGGCCCGTAGCCGACGTTAGGATATTATTACTCTGCGCCAAGCAGATGTGCGTGGGTGAAACCTTGGGGACGTCTTGGTATGTTTGTTTTGGTGGGGCTGCACGTTCTGCCTGGGATTGGGGTTGCTTGTTTTCTTGTACTTGTCTTCGTATGTATGGAGTAGCCTGGGCGATGCTAAGAGCGTGTTCTTGTGGAGCCTACTGATGTTCTCGCGGAATGATTGCTCACAATTCTCACATTGGAAGCGATTGTTACTTGAATTAACTTTTGGACTGACAGAGCATCAGCTTCACTTGATAAGGTCGTCATTGGCTTTATATTGAGAATGCTTTCGTAGGAGCAGAGAGGTTATTGATAGAGATATAGTTGCTACATATTTAATCTTGACTGTTTCAAGGGAGACCAGCCTAAGAACGTCTAGGCTAGAGACGCGACGTGAGCTTGAACAGGTGATCAGCTGTTGGGATTCAAGGAAAATGATTGAACTATAGGGATGAAAAGGGGACGTTGAGAAGTGACCTACATTAATGCATATTTATAGGTCCACAAGCATGCGTAGGCACAGTCTTGTGTCATAATGCCAGGACTACGTAGGAGGGAGAACTCGTAAGTTAATTGTGATATATCCGATGCGATTAATCTGACCACTGCACGGTCGCCCCATATATGCAGCTTCAAACTGATTAATGACGTTATTAAGAGTGGTGCCAATCAAGGCGGGCTTCTTGGCTATAGAACTGACCATGGTTGCAACTGCATATCACTATCTCGCGTGAAGTTGACCTCAATATAGGGGTTAAACCTTCGACTCCAACATATCATGACAGACTCGCCTATCATTTGGAGATAGTTGTCATATTCATGAGACATGGGCTTCAATTGGGGATTTAAAAAAGGAGCCTACAACCGATAGGGCAGTATAGAAGCCAGCATAGAGGACGTTATGTGGTGAGAGCTATATTCGGCCTGTTGTCTCGGGCTTCCCGTAAATAAGCAATGACACCTTAGCCTTGGTATAGTGTAATTGGTTTATTAACCTTCAAATGCCAATATTTAATTCCGATACTATGAGATTGGGATTTACAAAAGCAACCTTGGGATACAACATTGAGATATGCGGTGAGATTGTACACCCATATCGCTATCGCAGGCGTTCTACTCCGTAATGAAGGCAACTTGCGGACTGAAGAATATCTTAAACTCCAATCAATCTGAAGTTATCAGAAGCTTACAGTAAATCCCCCTCTTTGTCTCAGCCCATAATCCTTTATGGTCATATGATATGTAAATAGACGGTTCTTTTGCTTAGCCACTTCTCGCTAACAGTTTTGACCAAATGAGCTTTGAGAAAGAAGAAATATGTCTCAGCCTCACGAGACAATGTTACAATTGACAGTTGGGCATCTATAAGGATGAGAAACTTCAACCTTTCGAAGCCGAAGATAACTAGAAAATGTCTCACATCCCCGCCGCCAATTCTCTAGTTCTTCGTAGTTCATCGCAACCCCAGTGCCACTAAGTCTAGATGTGGTAAGATTTTCGCCACTCCGGCACATCACTGGTTCAGACCCAGTTTTAGTAGGCCTCTTTGACATCATGACCTTCAACAATCGCAATATCTCAGAGATATTCATGGGTTTAGCCATGTCTTGGTTGTTTCCTTCCCCGGGTCATTCACCATGTATACCTCCGACTGGAGGGTCTTGACAGAAATGGAATTTTTAATTCCTGAAATAGTAACGATTCAGAAAATCTCCTGTAAGAAGATATGCTATAGGATGTACATCTATCCACTTGATATCCCCTCAAAAACCATCCGTGCATATAAATATCACTTAGTTTCCTTTCAATTTTTTAATTTTTTTTCACCTTAACCTTGGAACTCGGACTCCCAACCTCCAACCTCCGACCTCCACAACATTCAAACCTCTTGACTTCCATCTCACAAAAACCCACGTTAAGATGAACTTCTTCACTTCTCTCCTCTTGCTGGCTACTTCTGTTATCGCAGCTCCTGTCGATACTGCCAAGCAATCGAAGCACTTCCACCTCAAGTCTATCGGCGGCCCCAATGCAAATCACAACAACCTATATGTCTATGCCTACCACACGGGCGCAGGTCTCAACGACGCAGTTCTCACAAAAGATGCTAGCATAGCTAGTTCCTTCTACCTGAATGGAACCAACGCACTCGCCGATCTGAAGACCGAATTCCCCTGGGGATTGATCGCCACTGGCGACACCAACTATGCCTGTGAGTATCGCCATATACTTTGCAAAATGTCTTCTGTGTCATATTTCAGTATGGACTAACCCGATATTTTTCTTCACTTTAGCTTGGGAACCTATGGTTATCAACGCTGGCAGCGAGGGCAGTGAAGGATACTCCATCAAAGGCAACAATTTCCAATGGTCGGAACAAAACGGCTTCGGTGGCTGGCTCAGTAAGAAACCCCGTCTTTGTTCTTTAACCTCGTTTCTGAGACTATGACACTAACATATCCAAAACAGTCTGCGATTGGTTCCACAATGCGCCTCAGCTATTCTACTTGAACCGTTACTACGAAGCCACCATCCCCTCCTCCTGCTCTAAGGTCCAGTTGAAGGCCGAATTCATCTAATAGACATTTCCCACGGTCGCTTGGGGTGATTTGGTCCTTTTTAATGGCACTTAATGTTCGACGGTTCGACGGTCCGAAGGACCTAATTTTTACTAGTTAATAGCGATTTCAGCGAATGATGAATATGAGATGCTTGCTTTTTTGCTATGTACATTTTGCTAGTTCGAGACGGGGATATCAAAATAAAACCACTAGCAAGAAAAAATATCGTAGAGCCGATCAACCGTGACATCATGTTTCAACGTAAAGCGTTTTCCTTGTCTTTCATCGTCGCGCCCGGTCATGAGGCTGCAATCCCCGCGCTGGGAGCACTCTCGTAATAGCGCTTGTCCATTCCAGCCTGCAATCGCGCTTCTTCATTGAATGGCCCCCGGATTGGACCCTTGAAATGTTTCTGCACATTCGACCGGAAGACCTGAACAGGATCGGTCCCCTCCTGTGCACAGATCCACGTCAGCCACCGGTGGCCAGTAGTAACATGTGTGATTTCGTCGTTGTGAATAACCTCCAGGACCTCCACGCTCTCACCGTCCCCAGCTTTGCGGAACTTCTCAATCGTCATGGGGTTGACATCCAAGCCTCGTGCTTCATGCACCAGGGCAATAATACTGATCCTGGCTCGGAGGTCATACGCAGTTTCAGTTGCTGATAGCCACAGACTGTGGTGTACGGGAAGCGAACCAAACCTAGCACCCATCTCCTCTAGTCTGGTGCGGAGAAGGGAGAAGTGCTTAGCCTCGTCGTTTGCGACCTTCAGCCAGTCGTAGAAAAATGCGCGTGGAAGTTCCTCAGACGTCCCTTCTGTTTGGAACGTCGCGAAGCGGATGCAGATATCAATAGCTAGGTCGATGGCCCAGAGTTCAATATTTGCTAGCGCGTGGAGCATAGCAATTCGGCTCTTCAAGGTCCCACCTCGTCCTGCCTTCGGCATCTGGCCGGGGTCAACGGTTTCCATTTTCTCGCGCGGAGGCTGGTCAGGTGGTGCGACGGATCCCCTACCAAGCGGCATGGGTGAATTGGATGCCTCTCTAGTAGCAAAAATAGAGAAAAGATGCGTAGTCAGCTCGATCTTGTGCTCTGGGTTAGCGGTGTTGAGAATGTGGGCGGCCCAGTCACAAAGCGTCGCGTCGTCGCCCAGATAAGTCGCCATTCCAGGGTCCTCTGGATTCGCAGAATCAGAAACAGAGATAGTAGCAATAGCGGTAGTGATATCAGCCACCGCCTTCTCTGCAGGCCGCGGGTGCTTGAGCTTGACTCTCTCACTGACAGGATCGACACTATCAAGTCCCACGCTGATTTCATCTTCGACGGGGAAGTCCAGCGCGACAGACTCGCCGCGCACATCCACAGGAAATGTGCAGGCCTTGATACCGACGCTCGATTGGCCAGTCTCTACATTGAAATCATATGCGTGCCACGGGCAAGACACGACATATGCCGAGTCCTCGATGTCAACTGAAGAGTCGGCCATTGGGCCGCCAGCATGTGGGCATTCTGCCTCCATGGCGTAGTAAGACCAGCCATCATTAGTCTCGTTTGATTTCAAGTTTGATTTGTCGATCGTCGGTAGCCGGAATAAGACAACTTTCTTGCCTGTCGTCAGACGGACCACGTATCGCGTTTGCGTGAACTCAGACAGTTTCCCGCAGTTGATCCACATTTTGATTTCAGCAAGCGTCGCTTGAAGTCTGTTTGGCGTATTTAGACGGGTTTGTTTGAGGCTTTTCGCCTCGATTGATTTTAATGGTCACGTGGTGTGTTACTACGGCCCCACTTCTCGGTGGCATTTATAGGGGCGCTTATGCTCCGTATAGGGGCACTTATATAGAGGATGTATGGTTTAAATTGCAAGTCCAGCCTTGGTCACTTTTTCCATAATAATTTGACACATGATTTACGATGAATCTCCAGGCCCCTAACAATATACTATCAGCAGCTCTCTTTCGCCTAGTAGGGGCTCCGGGTCACCACATTATCACCTGTCATGTTATTTGGAAAAAGTGACCTATCCAATCCTACTGGTTTTTTCCCCGTACTATTTTTACGATGATCGTCCGGATTTTGTGAGAGAAATTAAAAAAATACAAATTACATGGTGCATACAATTGTATGAAAAGGGACATTCGCAAACATTTCAGAGCGCGCTAGTTAGGTGCTTGTTATCCAGCATTAATAGCGTAAAATACAGTGTAAACTACGTAATTAATATGTCATGGATACGGTAAATTCGAGTGTTGTTATTGTCAATACATATAAGGTACGTGCAAAACAGAATACCGTATTTAATCAGGAACTCCCACGATGGGCAATGTGAAAAACCTTAGAGGCGTCAAGAAGAAATAAAACCTTGTCAAAAACCAACATCATTGATGCTCTTAATAGCTTTGCGTGTCACTTTAAGAAATCGATTTGTTAGACCATTTTCATGCTCCATTTGTGCCAAGTTTCCCTGATTTTCCTTTTCCTCCAGTTGAAGAAATTTTAACTACACATATGAACCAATCATTGCAACGCTACGAAAATTACAGAGTAATTGAAAAATCAATAGATAGCGGTGAAGGCACGCAAGGTTGTTGGATAAATAGACTCGGAAGCATTTCGGCGAGTAATCAAGTCTTATATGCAGGACGGGAAAGCCAAAAGTGCAATCATGATCGTTGGCGTCTTTAGCATCCGAGATCGAAGAATTCCCTAGAAACTACCAGGTTAAAGGGTGATTGAGTGCCAGACTGCAGCGGACCTTGGCGCACCTGGTTCCCCAAATAATAATAATGTGGGCCTCGCTTGCTCTTAATTAGTAGGTCGATTAATAGTGCCTGCGACCGCAAAAGTGTGTCGCAGATTTTTTTTCCTCAAGAGAGTTATTATTATTCGAATTTCTATATTATCCCAGCTACTAGAAGCCATCTCCCGTTCATACAAATTCATTTGAACTGACTTGTCTAGCTTATGTACATAGTGTTGAAAATTACGTGACTTCGTTGGTATTTATTACGCCCGTGACGACTGCCTCACAATCTACGAGCAGCTTAGCCCATACTGTGACAGGGAGTTTCAAAGGTCTAGGAAAGATAATCTCTATTCTTTGCTGATCACTCTGCTCGTCTTTCGAGTCTTCAAATTTTCACATTTCACTTCACCGTTCAATACGCAGAAACCTGCACAAGTGGCGATTTTCACTCTACTTGAGGTGAGACGCGGCTACCCAAGTCTTCATGATAAAGACTAATGTTATCCACAGAACACTGCTTGAAAATGGAGAGTGGTCCCAACCAATCGATCAAATGGGGGACGTATCGAGAGGACGTCCGTTTCCAACTTCAAAAATTCGAGTCCCTGCCACAGGATGGTTTCGCGTTAATGCAGTCTTACCAGGCCGTCCTTGACAATGATGAGACGTTCACGCAATATTTCTCAGACGAGCCACTCGAAAGTTACACAATAGAGTCACGGCTAAGGGAAACATTGGGCATTCGTCCCCCGTGTTCTTCTGACCCCGAGAATGGTCCCTCGATTAGCTGGGTCAACATTTTCCGACATGGCAGTTTCGAAAAGCAGAGTGATGGCACCTACCACTGTTACGATCAAGGAAATCGCGTTCAGATCGATGAGTCTCTGCACAAGAGTATCTTACTCAACCGATGCTTCCTCCCGGCGAACTCTTACCTGTGGCCAAGTCCCGCAGACGCTGAACGAGAGTCGGAAATCACTTTGGCCATAGAGGCCGATGTCTTGGACGAACTCGACAGGAATATCAAATGTCCGTACTTTCCACTTTCTTACGCAGGCAGGTTACAAGAGACATGCTAATGAATATAGACCTGGAGAAACTGAAGCGACTTCAGCTGTCACTGAAGAAACGCCGAAGCAAGCTTCAGGGTACTCGGGGCCCACTGAAAAGGTCTCGTACGCCGCAGACCCCTGGATCACAGTATCCTACTCCAAACGGGTCACGTCATCCCACGGTATCTATTGAAGCACATAATACCCGTACACGCAGTCTATCAGAAAGCTCTGGTGTCTCAAGCGGATCGGACATCCCCTTCGCTGCCCCCGGCGATATCTCAAATCCGATATGTTATGACACGGAGGATGGCGATAATACAGTTGATGAGGACTCGACCCAACAAGAGAGTTGGAAACTCATGGCCGAAAGCAACCAGAAAGCATATAATAATGAAACCGGAGTGTCTGTGTCTGGACTTCTCAACAATAGAAGGCCCGAGGCCACACAACGTCAGGAGCCTCAGCAATTCCAAGGAGATGTATCAGCAAAACACCAGCTCCGTGGCAGCGAGGATCTAATGCGACCGCATCCGAAAAAGCAAAAGACCGAGACAACCTCATTATCAGCAGATACCGAGACCATTGATCTGAGCGAAGAACTGCCAATGTGGAACGAGAAGGTCGATACGCCCAATAAACCGCAACCCAAATCTTCCTCTGCAGGAAAGCAACGCAAAGGACAAAAGCGAACACGAAACAACTTCACCGATTACGAGAAGGAGCACGCTCCAGCCTGGTTCAAGAGCCAGGTAGACGCAGGAACCCTTCCAGGCGATATTGAGAAGGCCTACGTTGAAAAATTCGGTGTCTTTCACCGTTGGCTCACACTGAAGCTTTGGGTTGACCGACTGGATAAAAGGGCAGCTAAAGCAGAGCGTCCGAGCAAAATTGTGGTATTGAAAGTAAAACTCCCGTTGGATCTTCATATGGCCTTCTTGAATGACAATCCCTCCTAGCCAATTCGGTCGTTTCCATCCAGCAAAGAAAGATCAGCAGCAACTGTCCCTGGTCCCAGTCATGCCGCCCCGCCGTCCTACGTTTCCCCATACCCCTTATACCGGCCCTCCCAGCAGCCTCAGGGCTCATCCATCGCGTACGATCTACCCTGGCCGTCCCAAACGACTGCATTACCACCAATCAAAAGTGGCCTTCCAAACTTGTACTGAGAAGTGGCCCTGGTTTTCAGTCAGCGCAGGTCGTTTTACAACTGACATGACTTTGAATACAATTTTAATGCTCAAAAAGTTTCTCACAGTATGTTCAGTTGTTCGGTATCATTACTAACATTTGACTAATCTCTCTTCTGTTTGTCTCTGCAGATTCAATGTGCAACTGATGGAATATTATCTCTTGCATACCTTCTAATAATACCGGCTATTCCTACCATTTGAGAGCATTCGCTGTCGGTATATCATTTTTTAATTAATCCAGAGTCAGAGAAATTCATCTTAGTAAGACCTGGCGCCATCTTGACCATTTAGGAGGGTCGTATCATCGTAGAGTGGTTCCTACCTATGCCCACGTGCGCGTTCGTCGTGCAGTGATGTCTTTTTACCAATGATCACATTCTAATATATTTGATTGATGGCCTACCCAGCTAGCCCACTCAGTCAGATTGTATTGGGAAAACTGGAAAATAATCCGACAGTATCTCAAGGGCAAAGGTGACTTTTCACCCTTCTGATTACAAAATCGGGGTATCTGAGTGATTTCTAAGAGAGGGAAAGTCTTCAGGCCACTGACATAGGTAGATGGCAGAAGACATGAGGCAAAGGGAAGAACAACCATCATTTCGGAACACTGTAGCCGTTTCTCTCGTATTCGCCTACCTCTCGTCCGCTCCGTCCCGCTCCGCTCCGCTGCGAACCAGTCTTTCTCTCCGGTATTGGGATCCCTTACGTAATGATACTATGGCATTGCCTACTACCTACACCTTATCTAGGTAGCTATACACGTGAGTTCCTACGTATGTGAATTCGTGGGAGCTCGCTGATATGTTTTACACTGCTAACTCTGGGGAGATGATGCTGTGTAGCCGTCGCGGCCGCCCGGCTGGAGCACTTCAGAGTTGCGAGACTCAACGACGAGCACGTACAAAATCAAACGCAGAACAAGACAGCGGAAAGTATAGATCGGATACTCTGGTTCTTAAGGAGACATGTTCCAGAAATAGATGTAGGAGCGAGAACAAGAAGGCTAGAAGGGCTGGCCTGGTTCCCGCTTTCGGGAGCCTGTTTGTACAGGCGTCAGTCGGTTTTGGAAGGTCTGCTTGGTGTGCTTGATAGCGGATAGTCGCGTTTTAATCGTAGCAGGCGGTTTCTGTGTAGTTGGGTGTCCGTAGGGGGCGCCGCACCCTAAACATTATCTGCAAGGTCTACAGAGGATCTATCCTCACGGGAAATGACATCCAAGTCCGCTAGCTAGCTGTCGGTGGAGTCCGGAAGCTGTTGCCCTCACTACATAGCAGTTTTTGTAGCACTACAGAGAAGATTCGGCGCAATACTCATTTGATGGATAAAATCTAACTATCGCCGTCCTAATATTACTCCGGCCCACAAGCTTTGTCCGGTTTGAATACAGCCAAAAGTTATCCATGCATCATATTGTTCTAATCCGTTCCTAGTTTCATTGTTGGAGATCTAACCGGCGCTTTTTTTGGGATGATAGCTGGCGTTCAACGTAAAATTGAGAATATGCTGGAGACCTCACCCCGAGTATTACACAACGTATTTGTTTGGATAGCCCCCGCGTTGCTGTGGTAGTTTCACTTCCGGATTGTTCTATGGTCACTTCTACTTTTCCCAAGCTGACTCCGCCCCCTTGTGATCCGAACATTGCTCCGGAAATCGGACTAACGCTCTTTCACTTAAACCTCTAAGGCGCTGCAGATAAGCTATGAGTGACGGCCGTGCTCTTATCCAGGGCCCTGTCCCGGGAAGGGCTTCCGGCGTCTCATCAGATGAAACCGACATACAGCTTAGTCCATATCCGGAAGTACAGCGGGATCTCGGTGAAGCTTACAAAAAGTACGCAGGATACGCGGAGATCATTGCTAGAGGAGGTCCATTGGCCCCTCAATTCTACGACTCGATTTTCTACTCCGAGGTAGAGAGGACAGTTGCTAGGATATTTGGCGAACAAGGCCCGCACATGGTTGAAGGCAGTACCCAGAGAGCCATTGAATGGACTGATGTCCTTCGTGAAATGCTCACTCCTGGGGATTTCCAACGCCAACCAAATGGTATGTACCGATGCTGCGTTCGAGGAAGCTTGATCGAGGTCACCGAGGCCAATTACATCGAGATCCTCACCGGCGTCACTGAACGACTTTTGCAGCCATTGCAAAACCTGTCGGATGAACAGAAGGAAACTCGAGTTCGTCTTAAACTGAGTTCCTACCTGCATCAGACACACCAAAGTCTCGTCCAATGTGAGTCCATCCACGTCTATGAGTAGTTTTACGACTATAGATCACTTGGTGTCGAACTAACACTTCGTCTTACTAGTTGCCAACGCAGTTCGAACGTCTATTCATGGCTTGAATAGACCCCCTCCTATCCATGTTGCAAATCCCGTCTCTGCTAGGCATGAAGGTCAACTGTCTACCCCTAGATCAGCTCGGCCGAGGACTTCAGCTCGAGAGGTAATCCACATCTCCGACTCGGGAAGTGACAACAATGATACAAACGGCAACCCCAGACCGGAAGCATCGGCATCGGCTCGGCGTGGTCCTCCTGCAATTTTCAAGATCGAACCTAATATCAAAGAAGAACCGGTCAATTCCCACCCATCGCGCGTTAATGCATCCATTGATCCAGTCACAGACGCAACAGAGTACGTCCTGCCACCTGACTTTTTGCAACGTGCTCCCCTTGATTCAGCCAGCGACTCGGACGATTATATCCCCCCTACCGACACTCAGGGCAGCGAATCCACTGATTCAGTCAGTGAAACTGGCTATGCTGTATCGTCCACCGACGAATCTCAAGCATACTCCACTGATTATCTGAATAACGTGGGTAGTGGGGTTGTGTCCAGCGACGTTTCTCAGTGTGATTCCGCTGGTCGTGCGAGCGACTTGATCAATGATACCCAGCCATTCAACTACCACCAAGGCAATGCCATCGCTTCAGCGCGCGACACAAATGATGATGCTGGCTTAATTGCATTTAACTTGTTGCGAGCGGCCAGTGCTCGGATGAACAACAGAAATGTCGATACCGGATTGGTCGATCGCAACATTACCCTTGCCATAAACAACCATGTGCTTGGAAACACGAATACCAATACCGGTGCAAATGTCAATGCATATTCCAACACGAATCACATTTCAAATGCCAATGCTAATACCGAATGGTCTGGCCTCATCTCCGAGGCGGTCTCCCAGGTTGTCCGTCCATGGCTGCGCAACACCCACAATCCCGATGACGCAGACAACGACTCTCACTCATCTGGATCAGACATTCCTTGGAATATCAAAGCCGAAGACGCACCCCACTCGACTGGTAGATCGGAAATTCCTTTGAATATCAAAACTGAAGATGCCTCCCAATCGGCTGGTAGATCCGACGTCCCTTTGAATATCAAAACTGAGGACGCAGCCCACTCGACTGGTACTGCTGTGGTGAATGAACATGGAGCAAAGTCTCATGGTTCGAAGAGACCCCGAGCTGATTCCTATGTCAGCGAGCAAGGGAGCAAACTAGCTCCCGCTAAAAGATACTCTCAATTGGAAGAGGAAGAGGGTCCAGCATTCGTAAGGGAGCTAGTTCACAAAGGATCCACTACCTCCCAAGTTGAAGAGGAATACGCCCAAATGTTCGGGGTTCACCGAACTGCTGCTGCTATCTTCAAGAAGTTCAAAACCAAAGGTACCTGGGCGTTGCTGAAACCACTCCGAGAGGCAAAGAAGCAGAAGACTATGGTACCGAGCCCTTTCCATTACTTTGCTCTTACTGAGGACACTTTACTAACAACTGCTCGTAGTCAACCTAGTCTTGCGGCACTCGACACACATGCTCACCCTATGGGGTTGGAGCCCGATTGAATGAGGATGATACTGAATTCTGAGGTGGGATGGGATGGGAGAGGAGGAACTGGTTGGGATGGTTGGTGGAAATTGGGGGTTTTAATAGGCGCAATCTGGGAGGCAACAGCTGGTCATGAATTACGACCACTTTAATGACTTTAATGAACTCATATTCTTATCAAGCTCAATTCAAACATAGCTTATCATACAAGTGCTCTATGACGGTGTGTTCAGTGTAATCACATAGAAATCGCCATAGGGACCGCCCAGGACATAGTTAGAAACGCATAATGTGCTCCCACTTTCTAATACACCCATTGGGTCTCGCTATCGATATCGACCCTAATTGCTCTATCTTGACACTCCATCTACTTTCTTTTCATCAAACTCACGGCGCTTTCAAACCAAACTGATTCCCAACCCCGTTGCAAGCAAGCTTCTCTCGTCAGGCCCCCAATTTAGTGGAAAACAACCAAGTCAGGTCAGCAGATGTTGTGACCAAAGCTAGAATCCACGCCTACATCGACGATGGTGGCGTAGGAAGCTCGACTGTGGCAAAACATGCCCAATCTAAAACAAGTGGTTTTGTGGACACTGGCAAACGACCGCTACTCCAGTCCGTGGCAAGGATATTTTTATCCTCTGGAGCCTCTCCGCAAGAGAGCAAATCAAAACGTGGATAAGTGAAAGAAGAGAGACGAAAATTCTAGGTCAGCTATGAAAATTGCACATCAGCCCCAGACGCTTGGTGCGGGATGGGGGAAAGGAAACGTGAACTTTTGTTAGACGTCGAGTTGTAGGTGGGTTAAGAGGTGGATTATAATACATGATACTTGGCAAATGAAATATGCTGTATGTAAAACCGCTACTGTAAGAAAGTGCAATGAAAGTGCCCCAAATCGATGATGCATTCGTATTGACAAAATTAGGTAGTAAGTACGTCAGGTATAAGCCCAGCATCGAGACTCAATAATTCGTGAACACCATGAGGGCTACATAGCATTTCGTAGTAGATTCAGGCAGCAAACAGTGCCAAGGCCCCCGATTCCACCGTAGATGCTTCAACTATTGAATGTTCACCAATCTTACAGAGCGAGAGCAAGACCCAGAACTCCAGCAGCTCCGGCAAGACTCATAGCAATTCCAGTAGGGGCGGCACCATCATCGGCAGTGCTAGATGTAGCAGAGCCGGACACCGAGGCCGAGGCCGAGGACGAAGCAGCGTCCGAGCCGGTAGCAGCAGAGGAGGAAGATGAATCCGTAACAGTAGAGCTGGAATCAGCAGAAGATGAGGCATCAGAAGATGAAGCGCTAGAGCTAGAAGCTCCAGAGCTGGAAGCACCGGTGGAGGTGGCCTCGGCAGTGCTGGGTTTGGAGCTGCTGGCGTCGGAGCCGGTAATCTCGGCGGCAATGGACGACGCGAAGGAGGGATAGTAGTTCTCAACCGCAGTGGTGACATACTCCTTCACGCTGTCGGGAAGGTCGCTGTACCATGTTGGCCAGGAGTTAGAGACAATGCCTTGCTCGACTTGCGAAAGGAATTCAGCGGTGTTGGTGGCTTCGGCTAAGAATGAGGTGGGGACGGCGGTTGCAAGAACCACCGCAATAGAAGGTGGCATGTCGAAACCCAAGTCTTTGTCTCCGGTTTCAATATCGTCATTTGTGTCGGCCGGGGCGGCCATTGCCATGCTGGCAAGAAGAAGGGCCGTAAAAGACTTGTACTGCATAGTGACGGTTTGCGGATGTATATAGTCTGGTTATAAGATGGAGAAGATAAAGGGGAATCTTTCCGGGGTAATTTAGTATGTAGAAGAAGGAGAATCAATATCTGGGGGCTTTATGCTTAAATACGCCTCGATGCGCTATCATAAACCCTAGAAGGCTGTGCGAACTAAAACTATACGGGGCGTGCTGGGGCTCTGGCGGTGCAGCCCGAAGCCATCGCGCTATGTTCCCGGGTTCCACTACTAACGGCCAATGGCTGCCTTTCGCCCCCAAACTTGTCGATCAAACGGAAAAGGCCCGATCTCGTTCATCGTGTAGTCCTTCACCCTGTAGTTCTCGATGGTTGGGGGTTGAGTCCATGCCCTGCACCTGCGTTTATGGAATTGTCCGACATTCTATGATCTAGGGCATGGCTACCAAGCGGTGAGGAATCTGTAATTTTGATTTCGCTACAGCGCAGAAGTTGCGTGGGAAGGTTCGTTTGTTTGCGAAGTCCCTAGATTGCATTACGCACACCTTCTTTGCACACGTCTTTGTTATTGGGCTCGGGGGCCCTTGAGTTTATATATGACATCATTTTCTGGGGGCCAGCCAATTTTCTTGAAAATAATCGTTGCTGCCTTTCTGCGTATGGCGTTTGATAGGTACTTAGAAGGTATCATTGTCGTCTGATCTTAAGCGTTGGGGTTGTCAGTGCGATTGAAGTATTGTAAGATTGAACATATTGTTGAGTATAAGATTTTACGCGCACAAGAAAATCATATACACTGCCCACACAAAAATCATGCTGATCACTATATGTGGATGTTAATATGCCTGCCCACTATGGGTGTGTACTCCAGATGTCTTACTTGGTTTTCATAATGATTTGGGGGATCCAACCCTGTTGGCCAGTATCTCCCGTTGAGTATTGGCGATTGCTTTTTTTTAACACACGATAATGGATGTTATATCTGAGCGGCATATATATATATGTGTCTCTCTCTACCCACACCAACAGTGTGGTAGTGTCAAATCAGGCGTTAGCTACTAACCCCCCTGTTATTACTATTCCAAGCCACATAGCAGACATTATTTTTTACATTTATGAGGGTAGTGAGTTCTAAGAGTGAGTTATAGGCCAAAGAGTGTCGCTGTTCACCGACGTTTACTAAAGCCCCACTTGCTTGGAAGTGATATGTGCACATCAGATTTTTTTTACCGCGATGTTCTCCATTATTTATGCATCACAACAGTTTGAAAGACCGGAAATCCCTAAGCACGAGGACTGGCTATATATATTAAAACAAGACAACAACAATATAGACCGAATATATGTGGTCATCTAGCCAAGGGTGACAAAGAAGCAAAAAAAAAGAAATCTCTCCCTCGGGGAATCGAACCCCGGTCTCCCGCGCTTATCGGTTTTAATGACAAGCGGAAATCATCACCACTAGACCAAGGAAGATGGTGACCGAGTTAACTCGACCATTGGCTGGTTGATGGAAAATAATTGGCATTAACAAATCATGAGCTCTCCAAATCCACCCACGAACACCTCATGTCCTCTTATCCAATCACCATGCAGTTTATTGGCCGGTCCTTGCAATCGGTATTCCTTCCAGGCTAGGTTAAAATGTACGTTGGACCATTCCCCGTCGAGATAGCCCAGTCCAAATCTCACCATATCCACTCTTCAATGTCCTCAAACAGAAAGTCCTGGAGAAGTCCGGATGTAAGTGCGAAAAACTCCGGCTTCCCCGCATGAAATAATATAAACGCTTGAGAATCGCCGCGTTCTTCGCGCGGGTTGAAGAATCACAAACATCTGGGAATCATGTCGTCCGTTTTCAAGAATGGACAGATCTTCTTACCGTCGCAAGCCTCAAATAAGGGGGGAGACTTTGCCGAGAGCATGATCATCGAGAACGACAAGATCTCCCACGTCGGTTCTCTCGATGGAATCACCATCCCAGAAAACGCAAATATCATTGACCTGGAAGATCGCACTGTCATTCCAGGTTTCATCGACGCCCATGTACATATCCTGCAATACGGACATTCATTGCGCAAAGCCAATCTCATCGCATGCACATCCCTCGACCAAATACGTGAAGGCATCAAATCCTACGCCAAAGCCCATCCATCTTTGCCACGCATATTATGCAGAGGCTGGATTCAATCATCTACCAATGGAGTCGCACTAGCAAGTATGCTAGATGGTATCGACCCACGTCCCATCTTTATCGATTCCTTTGATCTTCATTCTATGTGGTGCAGCGCAGGTGCCCTCGATGAAATGGGAGCTCATACAGCCCCCGATCTTCCCGGCGGGACCATCCACCGTGATGAAAATGGAAGAGCGTCGGGTCTACTTGACGAGTCCGCTATCATGAACCTTGCATGGCCTTACCTAGAGAGTGTTACCTCCACGGAAGACAACCTGAGCGCATTGGATACTGCAGTCGCTGCATACACCGCTGCTGGGTATACTGGACTAGTGGATATGGCCATGGACGAAGGAACATGGGATCTTCTGAATTTATACCGTCGCGATCACACCATTCCATTCCATATTGGCGCACACTGGCTCGTCCCCTTCTCAGCGGATCAAGACGCCAACTTTAAATACGTGGATCGAGCAATCGAGTTACACAGCCAGTACAACCAGCCTGACTTCCATGTTCTTGGGATAAAACTCATCTGCGATGGTGTCGTCGACGGATGCACTGCCGCTCTCCTCCAACCCTACACTGGTAAATCTGATCCCGTCGAGCCAATCTGGCCAGAGAAGATGCTACAAGAAGTAGTCCAGCGCGCCGACGCAGCGGGCATACAATGCGCAATCCACGCGATAGGCGATAAAGCGATTCACCAAGCAATCAACGTGCTATCGAGAGTCGGCACGCCAGGTCGGAGACACAGAATCGAACACCTGGAGCTGACAACATCGGAAGACGCAAAGCGACTTGGTCAGCTGGGTATCACAGCCTCGATCCAGCCTGTGCACTCGGATCCTATGCTTTTCAAGGCGTGGCCTGGTCTTGTGGGACATGAGCGCTGTAAGCGCGCTTTTGCTTACAAGGACTTCCTAGATGGTGGCGCTCGTATTGCTATAGGCACGGATGCCCCTACTGCGCGTCACTTGCCTTTCCCCAATCTTTATAATGCTACCACCAGGCGCTCGGCTCTGGAGACCGAGACCGATGATACTGTAAATGAACATTTCAGGTTGGGGTTAGCTGAGGCGGCGACGGCTGCTACAACTGGTGCAGCTTATGCGCGATTTGCTGATTCTTGGACTGGATGCTTGCAGAGCGGATTGTATGCGGATTTCTTGGTTGTTGATATGCAGTGGATGCCGGAGAGATTGCTTGAGGCGCGTGTCTGCCAGACTTGGTATCGAGGACAGAAGGTTTTTGATTCGACGAGTGATTGACAATACCTCGTAGATGCCGACTTCGATAGATCAACCATACAATTTATATACAGAGATCAGGATCGCTTTTGATATTTTTTAGTGACTTTGGGTATTGCTACTATGCGGGGCGGACATCAAGGTGACATCACTAGTACATACGCGCTTTTGCCTCTCAAAGATATCAAGGCCGTCACAATGTGCGATCTACACCACACAAAATAAAAAGTATCAATTTGATAGTTCCTTATTGTACAGGTAGTCGTGGCTTCCTGAAAGCATCAATCCAAGTTCCAATCTGATTCTTACCCCTGTGAAACTTCCTGTGCAGTCCCGAGTCCAATCAAGTATATAAACATCATTATTCTCCAATTTGTTCAGGGTGCTCTTGGAGTCCACGGTCCGTACTTAGATCAGAGAGGAAGGAGTCTGATGCTCGTTAGTACAGATAATATGATCCAATAATATGATCCAATAGTATGGTCCTTGGGTTGTAGGTCGGGCGTAGGGAAAACATACTGTGGTCTACGTCTTGTGATGAGCGGCGGCGCTCTGTACTTTTGTGTAGATCTTCTGTGGCATGTTGGTGTGCAAGTTCATTGCACATTGCGCGTGATGATCTGTTTTATTTGTGGTCAGTTACAGAATACTTCAAAGCATGCATGCATGCAGTGCTGTGGTTGGAACGCACGGGGCAACCTCTCTGTCCACCATGATGTTCTCATTTTTGGCGGATTGGGCTTGCTGCGAATGCTCCATGTTTCCAAGAGAGCTGCGGCGCTTTTCGTAGTTGGGATCTAGCGGGTTTTGATCAGGGTTGATTTGGACCATGTTAGAAAGTAGATTATGTAGTAGTAGCAAACCCAGGGTTAGATATAAGCGAAGGGTTGAGAAGAGGATTTGGGTAGAAAGATGTTAGAAACTGAAAGAAAATAAACTATTTATCTTCTATTAAATGCGGGGGAGCCTTGGACCCAAGTCGCCGATGTCATATGTTGGACGTGGCAAACTTATGATATAAACACTTCGTCGAACCTATCATAGTGATCTTGATCCTGGTATTTGAACAACGAAGATCGCCTTTTTCTAATTGGGGTTTATGAGCATTGAAAAGGAGATTAGCTGCTGTGATACTCAACCGACATCGACTCAAGGGTTACCCGGGGCGATGTAGCTGATCATGGCTAAATATTTATGAGGTCAAGTGCTCGTCAATGAACGACACGATGGCAAAATTAGTAATTTTCTCGTCCTTTCGACTGTGTTTCAAGATCGTGGATTGTGTGAAGAATATAGATGCTGTGATTCTCGCTGGATCATCATCCATCCATAGCCCTTACGGCATATAGTTATAGCCAGTGAGCTTTTAGGCTTTGATGAGTGTTGGTTGTCGTGGTCTTAGACTCGTTGCCATTGGGGTTTTTAGAACCATTCTCTTGGGATAAACCATGACAAGATGTCTTGAGTGAATTGATGGTCTCATTCCGAGCTCCAGGGAAGTTGCCCATGCTGTCATTCTAATAGACACCTTTCAAAGCCTAGGTGATGGACCAGTTGTCATGCCTCGTAGAATTTGGGATGAATTTGGAAGAGCTCCGATGTCATGAAAGCTGAATTGAGTCCTGTCCCTGACTTGCTGGTGTCACAAACGGGCCATTGGCACAATTGTATGAGTAGAGCAAGATAGTGATTGATGGATGCCATGGCCATATCGGGCGGCTGTGAATCAGAAACTAATGGGTGGTGTGCTGGAAGATTGTTGCCCCCATTTCATCTCGTGCTTCAGTATCGCTAGTGGACTCTGAGTAACGTTAGTCCTCAGTTAGTCCCTTGAATGTAGATACATGCAGGGAAGCACTTGCCTAAACAAGAAAACAGACTAGTACTCATTAGGCAATGGAATGCGACCCATCGACCCGCAAGGAATGGCAGTTTGGCATCAGAGCTCGGATCTGAAGTGAAGGATTCGCCTAGACGTGATTTTGTTCATTAGTTTATTCAATAGGGAATCCGATCTCGGAAGCTCGTAGATAATCATGAGTGCTATTAATAGGTCAATTATTTTATAGAAGGATAGAACAAGGATTTGGATAGAACACTACGGAGTAGAAAGTGACTGGCTATGGCAGAACAAAGGCCCAATGGACATGTTCAAATCGACCAAAGACTCGACAAGGCAGGACTTCAAAGAATCACTTGAATATTCACTATTTTACCTAAGATTCTTTGATTAATAGCGATTAGAGTAAAATAAGCCATTCTCTTGGCTTCATCTGACTCCACAACGTCTTGGCTTCTTGATACAGCCTAGGTACAACAATTAACTATCTGATATTGAAGCTGCACGATCGCATAATGCGGAATGATAGATAATATCCAGGGAAAAAGATCATGTTTTAGGCCCGATCGACCCAAAATTGTCTAGCTTGATTTGCTTCCGGATGAATCCCACAGGGCCGACGAAGCCAATGTGGGGTGCAGAGGCAGATCATTTAGCTAATTCCTTCATCTAATCACATCAAACGAAGAGCCGGTCTAAGCAACCTCATGAACCAACCACGTTGTGCGAGGTTGAAATCGACCCTGACGCATATTGTCACTAGTCCCGAAACGGCTATTGTCTGGAGAATCGTTTTTTTTTGGTGTGGAGAGGATCAGTCTGTTCGGATCCTCAATTGCGATGCGCACAGAGATTTTTTCCAGCTCGGATCTATTTAAATGCAGGCTGGTTTCTCTGCTTTCTGAAGGCTTGAGCTTGAGGAAATCGCATTGCTACTTGCGACTGCGATCTATATCAATACTTTGAGGCGAAGAATTACATCATATTTTCCAAATTCGGTTCACTCCACATCCCGACACAGGAAAGGACCACAAGCATTTCTGAATTGACCTGCCTTGAAGAGTCGAGTCGAGTCGCGGTTGGATATGGTGTTCGCGCGTGGCGATGTCTCCGGCCATGATGATCCAGTAATAGGTAAACCCAGAATAACAGCAACTGAGATTAAGATTATCAACTGACAGCAACACAGATCATCAAGATCCCAGCAAATATATCACAGTTGTGTCCTGGGATGGGCCACGAGATCCCGGAAATCCATACAACTGGTCTTTATGCGAGAAATGGCTGCTCACTGCCCTCGCTGTATTCGCGACCTTCATGACCATGATCAACGGCACAATATTTACAGTAGCACACGAGACCATGAATGAGCGCTTTCACATTTCAGACGCTAGTTTCCCTCACTCCTATTGGCCTGTCACATCGTGGGCCGTTGGTGGCGGCTGTTTCTCCCTGCTCGTTCTCCCTCTCATGGAGGACTTTGGTGTACGGTATGTCTTCTTGGGCACGTACATAACCTTCCTCTGTTTTGTAGTGCCTCAGGCTGTGGCACAAAAATTTTTACACCTTGGTCATCACGAGATTCTTCGCCGGAGGATGTGTCTCCATCCTCGCTAATACCTCTGGCACGGTCATTGGGAATGTCTGGGACACAGAGCGAAATCGAAACGTGCCTGTCAGTCTTTTCATCGTTGCCTACCTGTCCGGTAGTAGTATTGGACCCGTTATTGGAGCTGCTATCTACCAGGCTCTCACGTGGAGGTGGATTGGCTATATCCAACTTATGTGGTATGGTGCTTTCTTCCCTCTGTACTTCTTCTTGTTCAAGGAGTGTCGTGGAATTGCAATCCTAGGACAGCGTGCAAAGGCTCTGCGACGTGAAGGCAAGAACGCCTATACCCAGCATGAGATTGACACACAAGGCCAGTCGATTCTGAGCATCGTGGGCCACAGCGCGAGCAGGCCTCTTTTCCTGTTCTTCACTGAGTCCGTGGTATTTGTATCGACCCTATGGTCTGCCTTTACCGTTGGTACATTGTATCTGTTCACTCAATCTGTTGAGCAGGTATTCGCAGAGCTGTATGATTGGACACCGTCGCAAGCTGGATACGTCCAAGCAGCAGTCGTGATCGGAGAGCTTCTGGGATGGGTGATTACCTTGTTCTCAGGTAAGCTTTACTTCGACTCGGCATCTCGCAACAAGGAGATTCCCGGCACCCCTATACCTGAGGCCCGGCTGTATCTCGCCATTGTAGGGGGTATATTCGGTATCTCCGGTGGTATGTTCACATACGCGTGGACATCATACCCAAACTTCCCGTGGATCGCACCGGCCATCGGTCTCGCCATGGTAGGGGCTGGAAGCGTCATTGTCGTGACGGGAATCTCTGACTATGTGGTCGATGCGTACAGCAAATACGCGGGCAGCTGTATGGGTATCATTGCCACTGGTGAGAACACCCTGGCGGCCTTCCTGCCCCTAGCTACCATGAGCATGTACTCTCACCTTGGCCTCGAGTGGGCTAGCACAGTACTAGCCTTCATCGCATTGGTTCTGTCTTTTGCGCCAATATTGGTGTTGATTTGGGGTAAAGATATCCGAGCACGCAGTCCATTCATGAAGGAAGCCATGGTGGAGAAGAGGAGGAAGAGCATAGACTCTGTCTGACATGGTTTTCCCTGTACATGAAGCATTATGAAAAACTTATTGCACATATCTAGAGACTTAAGAGCTTATAATCTTCACTCATTTTCTTGCATATAAGTTCGTTGTTCTCCCTAATCCACGTTGGCACATAAACCAAGATCATCCTGTGCTCCGGAGGTTTTCCCCATGACTCCATGGGACTCGAAAGCTATGTTTCAGTTTGTTCTGACCTAAGGATCAAATCTGAGACTATGAACGTCATTCTCACCCCCCAGCAAGCCCCTGTGGTGAACATAAACACGTGCGAAAGTGAATTCCCTATGAACGCCAAGAGCCATGTGGAACTCAATAAGCAGAACATCAATATACATAGTTTGAGTCAGGGGCAATTCAGCGTACTCGAAAACCGGAGATATTCCAGATTGCGGTTTAGAACGCTGAGCCACTAGCCCGAAATGAAGTCACCCCCTTAACCTCCACACCATCTGTCCTGGTACGTTGACTCACTTGTGGAAAATGATTATTGTCGATTAACCTTTTTCTTTGAGATATACTTCCGAGCTATAGATTGATTCGTTTGAAGAAGAGAGAAAAAGCCAAAAAAACACCACCGTGTTGCAAACGGCCGGGGCAGGAATAAAAGCCGAAGCACTCCGTACTCCTACTCCTCCATGAACAGGGGGCTAGACGGGCTAAACCGCATTCCTCTTCCTGGATAAGTCATCGACCGACCTATCTTTCCGGATGAGGTTCCTTGCATGAACAGAGTAATGACATCCCCACGTTTCTTGAAACGGCTCAATGGAATTTCTAGATCGTTTCAGGGTGGACGATCAAACGGCTTGATCTCCGAGGTGCCCTGTGCGATGGTCTGATTATGTTGTACATACGGAGTACATACAGTAGCCTACTGCGTCTGGTCTAGGGTGCCTCCATCGAGGGTGTCTCCTAGCTTTCCAGGGGTCGGGAAACCCTGGTCATAGTTGAAACCTCCAGTCAGAGTCTATATTGATGAGGATTTTACGAGGGTCGTGGACTTGGACATTTCTCGGACCCGATCCGGCAGGGCTCCGATGGGCTAGATCGAGTGGGATTTCCATTCAAAGACAACCGGCAATACGTGCTGGTCTTGGTTCTGTTCGTGTCCGTTTCCTTCTTGGTAGTTGACAGGGGATTATAGGCCGAACTTAAAGTCCAACCCGGATGCTTTTGTTCGAAAATGAGACATCTTGACACATGGATGTGTATCTATGCTGATATGATAATGATGTAGATAGAGATAGCACCATTGTACTCCCGATGGAGTATGTGATTGTATATTATTGGGACACAGGGGCGTGCAACCATGTCAAAGTTGCCAAGCTCTTTAAGGCTATTGACTTCGTTGAAATTTCGGATCAGGAGATAGTCCATATAGTGTACAGAGTGCCAAAGTCCACCGAGTCCACCTGTTATGGGGCCTTATATCCAGCATGGAATTTTGGCCTGGTTCCCACTGGAAAAGGCACGTTACCTGTCAATCCATGTGGTCTGGAACTTCGGCTCATTTTACTTATGGATATGGCTGGCTGGTGAAAAGTGGACCGGGTATGGGGTGCAGGTACACAAATCATATCTGTTTGACTTGGACTTACATAGCAGAAAGTCAGGTACAAGGTTGCGTCGGCAATCAGAAAGGTAGATAATTCTTCATACGTTGTACTTGATGCCTATTCGACAAATTCCGGACGAATGGGCTAAAATAGAATCGGAAATATCGGATAGACGATCCCAAAGCCACAACCGTTTATACAAAGTACACCGGAGAAGTCGGAGAAAATACTAGAGAGAAAAAATCTGGGTTTCAATATGCATGTAAGCGCCCACTGAAATTCTGAAACGAGAAGGCGGGTGCTTCAGGTCCCAGCGCCAGTTTGATGAGCCTTGGCTGGATCCACCTATATTTTCCCGTTGGACTTTACACGGTTTTTTTGTCTAGAAGGATCTCTGAATGTGGCAAGTGATATGTTTATCACTTGGTTATGCAGCCTGGTCACCATGTGGATTGGGCCAATCATCAATTTCGGAGATACATAGCATGCTATACTCCGTACTAAAATATTGTACAAAAGCATCAAGACAGGGGGGAAGTCATTCCCTTTGTGAAGAACAGAGTCTTATTTGATTGATTTGATATCAAACTATGGAAAGTAACAAACTATTGTTAGGTGATATTAAACTAGAAGTCTTATATTCTTAACAAAGATGGAAGTATGAGAGTACCTGAACCTGAATAAACAGAATTCCCGTTCCGCATTGTAAATAACAGATCAATACAGTAAGGAAAACAGACCAATACCAGGATATATTACATAAATAACATCAATAACACCATTAACAGGGGGATAATATGCTCCCATCCCTTATGACTAACAAGAATCCAAAATAACATGACTAGTTTATGACCGGTCAGACATCCCAGGGCGCTTCCCTGTTCTTCGATTATTATTAGACTTGTATCTTCTTTCCCCCCTTCTTCTTCACCAAATACTCGATCCTCACTTTCTTTTCTTCCGCTGCGCGAAAATTCCAAGAGGCTTACCGGCTGGTCCAGTTCCATTCTCTCTCTTTTTCTCTTTGTCTATGAGGCTGGCTCCTCTTCCCTTACCGTTTTCGTGTCTAGAACTTTCCCGATCGGATATCTTGTGACTGGTTGGCGACGTTGATTCTCGCATCTTTGTTGAACCATTCAGGTGAGTTTGATTCGAGGTCTTGCAGCTATGTCTCAACAGAGTCGCAGAGACAATTCTTGTGATTGGACTCAGATCGCCTCTTTGTTTGCGCATGCGTTATCAGGCGGTCTTTTTCCTGGTGCTAATTATCCGTACAGTGCGCTTCCCCAAAAAAATGTATCCTCAATCAGGTGCTTCAATCCCTATGGCACCACCTCAAAAACCAGAAACTTTTATGCTCTCAACCGAAGCACAGCGAAGCCTCCCTCACGACGCGCAAGTTGCTCTTCAGCAAGTAGATAACCGTATGTCTTTGGGTTGGATCTATCCCCGCATCAAAGCAATGAATTGACATGGGCCAGTGAAATATTTCCTTCTGTCAGCTCCCGTTGACTGGCAACCCGATCAACTCATTCGACGCTTTTTGCTTCCCACAGGCGACTATGTCTCTTGTGTTTACTGGTTCGTCTCACTTTAGAAGTGTGTGATGACTTGGGAAGCTGACTGACCTCCGTCTCAAATAGGAGCGGCCTTTTCCACATATCCGGTACCGATATTGTCCGATGTCTCGCATTTCGATTCCAAGCCTTTGGACGTCCAGTAAAGAACTCAAAAAAGTTTGAGGAGGGCATTTTCTCAGATCTCCGAAATCTCAAGGCTGGCGTAGACGCGGTCCTGGAGGATCCCAAGAGTCCGTTCCTGGATTTCTTGTACAAAAACAACTGTATTCGGACCCAAAAGAAGCAAAAGGTGTTCTACTGGTACGGCGTGCCCCACGACCGGCTATTCCTCGATGCACTCGAACGCGACTTGAAGCGCGAAAAGATGAACCAGGAAGCCACCACGGTCGCAGTCAGCGAACCGGCCATGTCTTTTGAGTTCGACTCGTCCCAGTCTCTGTACGAGCAATTGACCAAGTCACAACAAGTGAATCTGAACTCGTTCGCTGCCCACGCAAGTACGACATATGGCCAGCCCAACTCCCCCGTGGTTCGGACCGTTGACGCAATGCCTCCTCCGCAGATGGCTCCCCCAGCGATCCCTCTACTCCAGGACGACTCCGGGCATCCGATGTACAGCCAGCCGCAGATGCCCCTTTCGAACAATCTAGTTCAGAGCATCATTAAGCGCGAGCAGGACTACGGCCCCATCCAGTACGATCGCCACGGAATGCCCATTCCCCGCCCCCATCAGCGCCATTCCTCCATGCCGACCTTCTACGAGTACTCTCCTGCGCCATCCTTCGTGTCTTCGCAATACGAGGATTACAGCAACCGCGGCTTGTCCTTCGAACCAGTCACCCCGCCGCAGCATTCGGTTGGACTCGGAGCGGAACCGGCTTACATCGCCAACGAAGACACCGGACTTTACACAGCGATCCCGGATATCTCAAGTGGACCCGCCTACCACCCTATGATGCAGCTGCCTCCTTCGAATCTGACCAATTCTCACTATCAGCCTGCGCCCCGATCCTTTTCGGCAAACCCGTATCCCGTGATCGAGGGATCCCCGACATACAAGCAGCGCAGACGTAGGTCATCTATCCCGCCTAACACGGGCGCTGTCGCACCCAGTGGCACAACTCATGTCCAATCAACAACCCCAGGAGTTCAGTCAGTTTCGTACGCGGCTCACAGACCAAGTGATCTGCGGCGTTCGGTTTCTAGCTCAGTCGCTCCGGTTGTAGATAGCGATGAAGCCACCCAGGAACTCGCTCGCACTTACCCTAGTGCGATGCTGCCGCAAAAGGATCTTCTTCATGAAATGTCCCGTCATGGCACGCCGCTGCGGGGCCTGGATCACAGTACCGCACAACACTCAGGTTCAATGGCAAACCAATCCGATGATCTGACATCTCTGCCAAGCAGCAGTACTGTCGAGTCGGCGGCACAAAATACTACTGGTCGATCGGAGCGATCGGCGCCTGGTCCTACCCGGAGAGCTAGGAGTGCAACCATGATGGAGTTGGGACCGTATCCAACCAAGGCCCATTCCTGCCCCATCCCGTCATGTGGTAGAACCTTTAAGAGATTGGAACACCTCAAGAGGTAAGCTTACTTCTATTTTTGCACTCACGTTGGTGGGGCTGATATGCACCGTGCGCCGGTGAGATGGTTTCAATAGCCGCCCACTAACCCCTGTTTCTAGACACGTGAGAACACACACACAAGAGCGTCCGTACCCCTGTCCTTACTGCAGCAAAGCTTTCTCGAGGTCTGATAACCTTGCACAGTAAGTGATTAATGTTCTAATTCTTTTGCGACTTACACTAATTATTCGCTAGACATCGTCGGATTCATGAAGCGCAGCAGGATGGTCAGACGATTGTCCCAACCGACGAAGATCTGGAGAATGATGCACATGAATTTGGTTCCCCTAGGGAAGAGATGTCCCCACATGAGCCCGCTCACACAATGATTAGCATGCCCAACATGACGTCGATGGCAGCTCCTTTGAGCATGCCGTCCGCCCTGACTGGCATGCCTTCTTCACACATGATCGCTCCGCAACTTCTCCAACAACACATGTGAGAATACTATTGAGCACGGTGTGTCTACCGCACAATGGTAGGTACATCGCCTCATGCGCTCTTTACCGGGGTTGTTCCGGGCAAACTTTTCATTTCTCCTTTCTCTCCGGGGTCTTCGTGGCGCGTATAGGCGTCCTTTGGTTTGGGGTCTATATCGCCTCTTGTTTAATCGCACATGGTCCAATGCTGGCCTTGCACATACCGCGATATTCGTTCATAGCACGCGTGTTATGTCTTTGCTTGTTTTAGACACAGTCTTCTTTTTCTTTTTACTTTTGGTTTCTTTCCGGGTTTTTGAGCAGTGCGGTTTCAGGAAACACCGTGTATTATTGGTGTCAGGTTATCCTGCACGTGAATTGGGTTGCGCTGGCAGACATTTTTTTCATGCTGCCTGGCGGGCACAGGCACGAGAAAGGTTCCACTATCTCTCTATGGGAAATGGCTTGGGGATGGAAACATTCAGGTTGGCTTCTTGGATCGTCAGGCATTGTCCATGAAGACCGGCTGGGAATAGGAAGGTTATTCTGTACGCCTCAAATCACACTATATAGACAGAGACAAGTAACGACTTTGAATTGGAATTTGAAAAACACTTGAAAACCAAATACTGAATATTCTCCCTTGTACTCTTGCGTCGGTGGCAAAGATATGCTCTAAATAGTATATCACGTGTTGCTGACGTCGATTCCCCCTGTAGTCGTGATAGGGATACCAAGCAGATCGCCCATCTGACACACCGCGCTTTGACTAGGAGGGCTATACCCTGTCAAATTTTACCTTGCTTCAGCCATCTCGTAAATGATGCGTGGATACCACCATCCAGCATAACCCCATCATTCGGACGATAGCTACTTCCCCACACCCCGACAATCCACAGTCCACACTACTTACTACAGACACGCCGGTTGTTGTAAAGTTAATGAAGAGGACATTTTCTCTCAGCAACTACTACCGCAAAAGCAAATCTTAGCTCGGTTGAACCCTGAGCTACAGTCGGCAGTTGGAAATAACAGCAGCCCCCACCATTCCAACACGCATAATCGGGCTCGATGAGCTAATATTGGTCGGTGCCAATTGAAGACATCGAAATCCCACCCTTTAATTCTCCGATGGGGGAACTAGACAAGCCTACTACTGGTTCTATCGACGAGAACTCGCCTCTCATGGTTGCCACTCGCCCTGCAGACAGGCGTGGCGTGCACCCTCATGCGGGTGCCGATGAGTCGTCGAAGAGTGCACTGTACATGTTTCTTTTGACTGTATCGATTGGCGGGTAAGTGGCCTTGCATGTAGTAATTTGATCTGAAGTACTTATGTGTTATTGTCGACTTGTATATTGGGCATTATTTGACACTGGCGTTGCTTGAATAGGCTTCAGATTGTTTGGTCTGTCGAACTTGGCAATGGTTCGGTAAGTACCAGTCACCAAATCTTGCATCTTACATCTTTCGTCACGATGCTGCAAGATGAAATCAAACAACATACTGACCGGATACAGCCATACCTTCTATCCCTCGGGATGAGCAAGTCACTTCTTGCTGTTGTTTGGATAGCCAGTCCCTTGACGGGTGCGCTGGTGCAACCATACATCGGCATTCGAAGTGACAACTGCCGACTCGCGTGGGGTAAGAGGAAACCATTCATGGTCGTTGGAGGTGCAACAACTATCGTTTCATTACTAGCTCTGGCATGGGTGAAAGAGATTGTGGGAGGTGTTGTGTCTATATTCGGCGTGGAACCAACATCTGCAGGAGCCAAGATTACTATCATTATCATGGCAACAATTTTCATGTATTGCCTTGATTTTGCCATCAACACCGGTGCGGATTCCATGTTCACATTGATGGTTGCTTGACTAACCACCATCCTACAGTACAAGCTGCAATCAGAGCATTCATCGTCGACAACTGTCCCACCCATCAGCAGGAGCTGTCTAACGCCTGGGCTAGCCGTATGGTCGGCGTTGGCAACATTTTGGGGTATATCTTTGGCTATATGGACCTGCCGAAGATTGTCCCTTGGCTGGGAAATACCCAGTTCAAGGTTTTGTGTGTACTTGCCTCAGTATTTCTGAGCGTAACCCTTGCCATTAGTTGTTTCTACATCACAGAACGGGATCCCCGAGAAGACGGGCCTGTGACCGATAAGCTTGGCGTGATTTCGTTTTTCAAACAGGTCATCAAGTCGATTCGGAGCTTACCAACGCAGATATCTCGCGTCTGTCAAGTACAGATTGCAGCGTGGGTGGGCTGGTTCCCATTCCTGTACTACGCCACGACTTACGTCGGCCAGCTATACGCCAATCCCATTTTTGCGGATAATTCCAATCTCTCTGAGAGTGAGCTTGACAAGATCTGGGAAGATGCTACTCGCGTCGGGACATTAGCTCTCCTCGTTTATGCTATCATCTCTTTCCTTTCCAATATGCTGCTTCCTCTTTTTGTGGTCCCCCTATATCGACCGGCCCCAGAGAATGTTTCGCGTCAGAATTCTCATTCTTTTGACGGCGATTCAGATGACGATTCGGATCCTGCTGCCAGGAGACTATCATTTTCAAGTATGCCGACAGGCACTGCATCCGAGCCTCTGCTCGATGCAGTTCCAATCGGACTGGAGAACGACGAGGGGAAACCGACTTGGCTTTCACGTCTGCAAATCCCAGGCTTGACCCTCCCACGAGTATGGCTCCTCTCCCACCTTCTTTTTGCACTGTGTATGTTCAGCACTTTCTTTATTTACTCCCACCAAGCCGGGTCGGCGTTTGTGGGTTTTGTCGGTATCTCCTGGGCTGTGGCGTTGTGGGCCCCCTTCGCTCTTATCTCGGCTGAGGTAGCTAGGACCGATCCCTCTAGACGGAACCATCACCACACATCTCAGACCACATATGATGCACATGCAGCTGAGGGCCATGGCGGGGGCGGTGAACATGACAATGTCAGAGCTAGTGATGTTGAGCATGGACACCCGAGGGATTATCAGGGTGGGGATGTTGCACAGGCGGGTATTATTCTTGGATTGCATAATATGGCTGTTTCTCTGCCCCAGATTCTGTCTAGTCTCGTTTGCAGTGCTATCTTTAAGGCATCTCAGAAGCCGAGGGGGCAGCCGTGGGATGATAGTGTGGGCTGGGTGCTACGGTTTGGTGGATGTGCTGCATTGGTGGCTGCGTTCTTGACCAGAAGGGTTTCGGATGGATCAAAATAGTCTTGGACATTTAGATTTTACAATGTATCATTGCATTCTGTATACGGAGTATGTGTGTTGTATCTATCTGATTCCTAGACAAAGATCAACTCCTAACCTTGTTCATAAAATAAAACATCAAAGGATTTTGCAGAGGACATGTACGGAATCTGTGGGTCCTTCCATATAGCCCTAGAGCACTAGAAGGCAATCAAATTATATCATAAATCATGATGTATTGTATCGCACTGAATAACCCCTTGTTCCTGGCTATTTATGTATTTTGCCTGCATCCACCGGTTCCTTGGCAGTTGCGCGGCACTTGAAACTCGACCCACGTGTAATTTTCAAAATACCAATACGTAACAATCTCCCGCTATCGTTGTAATATTTCAGTTTCACTACCAATTTTGCCCCAGCCAGCCCTGCCGTATTATGTATTGTACACATCCGTACCTGACCTCATATCTGTCCCTCTGATGCAACTCAAGCAATCCGTGTCCTATCGCTGCTAACCCAATTTGATCTTGTCGCAACCTTTTTCATCTCTCCGTGGATTATGTGCGCCTGGTCCCGCCATCTCAACTACACGGTGGGAGTGAATTACCCATCCGCACTGGCCCTTGATACCTCCTAAGGCGTGAGCCGCGATGGCTAGCCAATATATGAACGATGGCCTACATGCCCTGCTTCGTATGTCCCACTGATCGGTAGTCTTGAACACCGTGCTGTGATTTCCCCTTTGAGCAGCAAGCTAACATATCTGTTTACACTCTAGGGAGAGCTGCTGAGGACTCCGATCCCGATGGTACGCGTGCCTGAATTCACCCCCTCATCCCTCCCCCTCGTCATTGTCGCAAGACGGGCCCATTCACCTTCGGAGATTTAACTAGTATGGCGAACTATAGATTCCCCCGAGGCGGGCTCCAAGGAGATCACAAGCTCCTGGGCATTGTTTATCATGATCATGTTGTTGATGTTCGCCCTCTTTACGAGCTACATCCTCCAACAAAGGAAGATCCAAGCTGTCCATGAGACGGTTCTATCGATTTTTGCAGGTAGGCAGGCATATCTTCGAGCTATACAGATGCGAAATGGAGATATACAAAGTTTCATTCGGTCTGCGCGAATCGCTGCGGACTTGCTAACGGTTGCTAGGGATGTTCGTTGGACTACTCATCCGTTTCACAGACTCTACCCTCCAAGACAGCGTCGCCTTCGACTACCAATTCTTCTTCAACCTCCTCCTTCCTCCGATTATTCTCGCCTCCGGCTATGAGCTCCACCAGGCAAACTTCTTCCGACATATCGGCACGATTCTCACGTTCGCGTTCGCCGGTACCTTCATCTCCGCCATCGTGCTCGGTCTGGTGCTGTACATATGGACGCGGATCCCGATGAATGGGCTGGATATCTCCTTTGTCGAAGCTATTTCGGTCGGCGCAACTCTCTCCGCTACGGATCCGGTCACCATCCTAGCTATCTTCAACCTCTATAAGGTCGAGCCGAAGCTTTATACTATCATTTTTGGCGAGTCGATCTTGAACGATGCTATTGCCATTGTGCTTTTCGAGACGGCACAGAGGTATCATGAGACCGGCTCGACTGGTTCTTTGACCCTCCTGAATCTATTTGAGGCCGTGGGGCTCTTTTTCCTCGTCTTCTTTGGAAGTATGGTTGTTGGAATGCTGGTTGGAATTGCTACCGCGCTTGGCCTCAAATACACTCTCGTGCGGCGCTTGCCCAAGATCGAGAGTTGCTTGATCATTCTGATTGCATACGCCAGCTACTTCTTCTCCAATGGCGTACACCTATCCGGCATTGTCTCGCTCTTGTTCTGTGGTATCACCCTCAAGCACTATGCTTACTATAACATGTCGCGTCGCACGCAGTTGACCACCAAATATCTGTTCCAGGTGATGGCTCAACTTTCAGAGAACTTCATCTTTATTTACCTCGGCCTTGACCTCTTCGTGGAGCCTAATCTCCAGTTTAATCCCTTGTTCATCATGGTGGCAGTAGTTGGTATCTGCCTTGCCCGCTACCTCGCGGTGTTCCCGCTTTCCAAGGCTATCAATTGGTACTTCCGGTATCGAGCACGCCGCCGTGGTGTGGAGGTCGCCGATGAGCTGCCATTCGCATACCAGGCGATGCTTTTCTGGGCTGGATTGCGTGGTGCCGTCGGTGTTGCACTAGCAGCTGGTCTTTCAGGAGTCAATGCCCCCGCACTTCGTGCAACAGTACTTGTTGTCGTTGTGCTGACTGTCATCATCTTCGGCGGAACCACAGCACGCATGTTGGAGATTCTAGGCATTCGAACGGGTGTGGTCGAAGAGCTAGATTCGGACGATGAATTCGACACCGAGGTGACCCATGGCGGCACCTACTACAAGCGCTCCGGCACGAGTCTGGGATACATCCCACGACGTTCCGAATCGGTGATTCCTTTGGATGGGGTCACCCCCTCACCGCCCACTGGACTCGGGGAGCGAACACACAGCTACTCCAGCGGCAACAGTCGCCGCCCAAGCCCACCCTATACCCACACCAGAATGTATTCCGCCGCGTACAGCAACAAAGACCAGTCCTGGCGTGACCGCCAGTCCACCGCGACGTTGCTCAACGGTGCAGCTGGGCCGAGCGCCGGCGAAGGCAGTGACGACGAGTTTGGACTGCCATCCTCGGGTCCTGGCTCTGGCGACCCCACCCATCCAGACGAGTTCGACCTCGATGTCGAGGGCATCTCCGATGATGACCTCCCGCCCGCTGCAAGTGGATCCTCGCGTCTCCGCCGATCCGCCTCCCAACCCCCTCATCCGGTGGTCGCCCCACCCACTAATGCATCGACGAGCGTCTCGCCTACTCACCAAGGTATGTCTGCACGAGATGCTGTGCGGGGTCTGTTTTCGGGCGGTGCTACGGGTGACCATGCGGCTTGGTTCCGTCAACTCGATGAGGATTATATTAAACCCACGCTTTTGTTGGACCAGTCGAACCATAAGGGACCTGGGCCTGGTGCCGTTTGAGATGATACCTTGCAAATGACTTTCATTTTTTTTTGTCTTTGATTTGGATGTATATTTAGCCTTCTTTGTTTGGGTCCTGCATTCTCTTTACATGTTCTGCTCTTTTTTTTGCATGGCTTTCCAAGGCCTTAGCTGTAAACAAACGTTTCAATAGCATAGAAGGGCTTCGTTCATGTAGAAGTAATGAAGTTATCCTGTTACCCCACACTCTAGTTCTCTCCATTTAAATCCCAAGATAAGCAAAGGCTTACGTTCCTATCTCTCCCCTTATCGACCACTCGGATCAATGACAGCTATCTGTATATTCGAATTATGTACATGTTTCTTTGGGTCCCTTTGGGTCCCTTTGGGAAATACTTACGCTTATGCCGTGTGCTCGTCATTTGCCCCCTGGCTTGCGTGTATCTCTTCCTTCGCTGGTTTGCCGCCGCTTTAAGAAGGGTTGACAGGTCAACATGGGCTTACGTTGTACGGAGTACGGAACTCGGGGACAATGATGATCTACAAACTGCCTATAATGCTTGGTACCTGCGTAGGGACTGCTGCAAGTGACAGATATCATAGTAGGAGTAAATCAATTTGAATTACTCTTTGGCATTGGAAAACAAGGTATCTCGGAGCGCATTATAATGTAGCACTTAGCTTGAGAATCATCCAGACATCGTATATTGCAGACCGTGTAAACAAAGCCACCTCTCAGTATGTTACAATTGTAATCTAGCACCTCCTTCATCACGATCAATTTCGAGATGCTTACATTACCTGAAATTGAATATGAACATCTTAAACTCTCCTGATGAGTTCTTACGCACCATCTTGTGATACCTTGCCAGCTTTCTCTAGATTCTCTCAAATGAACCTCAGTCAGATAAACCCGTTGTTGTACTTCGCACTAGATAAAGATCCCTTAGATATTGGCATATTGATGGCTGGCCCCGCTGTAGGATAGAATAATGTCAGACACGGAAGTAGTTCACGAATGGATTTTCCTTGCATATCCCTCTTCATATCAGATGTAATAGATGTTATGATCATTGGTGTATAGCGTTTGGATAAAATCCGATCTACCGCACGAAAGGATGACTTGATGGTCCCCTGCTCGGTATCGTCTCGGAGTTGTTATGAACCGCCGGTCGAATACATTCAATATGATATGTTCAATTCTTAGTGGTTTATCAAACAGCTCCAGGCTTTCAGGGGCGTTAGGGGCGTCAGGGGGGCGGACTTATGCCCGACCAAAAGGCAGCAAGGGATGAATTCCTAGAAGGGAAATGCATATACATACGTTGCTATGCTTCCCCGCTCTCAGTCGATCTTGAATAGATGAGATATGAAGGATTGTGTCATGTCTACCTCGGTATTTGCCATCTGGCTCTTTGTATCTCGGAATCGGAATTCAAAGGCTTATATCTAACCTGGAAAAGATCCGTGCTCGATGCACGTCCTATCTCTTGAGGGCTTATAGTACTCGCCTACATCGGAACCTTTGAAAACCAACCCTCTTCCTCCCCGAGATATCCATCCCATCAAATATCGGTCGCGCGTTCGATCGCGTTCACTATTTATTTTCTTATTCATTGCCCACTTTCTCTAACAATTACACAACGGCCTAGCCATGGACGATACAATGGAGAAAGTGACATCCAAGACGGGCAAGAGGCGTCAGTCGACAGCGACTCTTAGTTCAATGCCCCAGGCTGGAGATAGTGAGCTGTTAGGTGTGTATATCTTGTGCTTTTTGATGGACTTGGTGTTGCCATGAGATTATCGCTAATTGAACAAATAGCGACCCTCGGGTACAAGCAGGAATTGCGGCGCCATTATTCGACACTTCAGATATTTGCTGTCGCGTTTAGTATTATGGGGCTTTTACCTTCCATTGCGACGACGTTGGCATTTTCAATGCCTGCTGGTCCTGTGGGAATGGTTTGGGTATATACTCCTCAAACTGGACCTTATTGGCGTTGTGACTGACATGATGGTTATGGCTAGGGTATGCCACTATCTTTTCAAGAATTATAATTCTGGCAATAGTTAACAGATAACTTGCACAGGATGGTTGGTTGCAAGTTGTTTCATCTTCATTGTGAGCTTGGCAATGGTATGAACTACTCAATCTACAACCCTGGAAACTACCGAACTAATCCCTAGCCATTAGGCCGATCTGGCATCCGCAATGCCCACAGCAGGTGGGCTCTACTTCTGGACGCATTACTTCGCATCCGAGAAGTGGAAGAACCCGCTCAGTTTCCTCGTCGGATATAGCAATACCCTCGGCTTGATTGGAGGCATCTGCTCCATTGATTGTAAGTCAAGCCATGCGAAATCCTAAGCAAGAATCCCAAAACTAACACTGCCCAGATGGTTTTGCCAACATGCTCCTATCAGTCATCTCCCTCGCCCGCGATGGAAATTGGTCCGCAACACGACCTATCATCTACGGCACATACGTAGCAACAGTTGTCTCGCACGGCTTCATCGCAATCTTCTTCGCCCGCATCATGCCAAAAATCCAATCCGCCTGTATCTTCCTCAACATCGCCCTCGTGCTAGCAACAGTCATCGCCTTACCCATCGGAAAATCAAATAACAGCCCCCCAGTCAACCCAGGCTCGTATGTCTTCGGCGAAATCCAGAACTCCACTGCATGGCCAACCGGCTGGGCATTCATTATGGCGTGGCTCTCGCCAATCTGGACGATTGGCGCGTTCGATTCTTGCGTACATATGAGCGAGGAAGCGACGCATGCTGCGCGTGCTGTGCCGTTGGGGATCATCTCTTCTGCTGGATTGTGTGGTCTCCTCGGGTTTGTTTCGTTGGCGGTTATTGCAGCTTCAATGGATAGGAATATTGAGGGGATCCTGGGCTCCAAGTTCGGTCAGCCTATGACACAGGTTTGTTTTGTCTTGCGTTTGCTATTCGTGCTGGGACGGACTTTCTAACCTGGACTCTCTAAAGATCTACTACGATGCCCTCGGTAAAAGCGGTGCCCTCGGTTTCATGTCTGTGGTAATGATCGTGCAATTCTTTATGGGACTGAGCATTGTAAGTCCCAGCTTCATCATATACCAAAGCCCATTCACTAACTTTCCACAGGTCCTAGCCGCCTCCCGCCAAAGTTGGGCTTTCTCTCGTGACAACGCCCTACCGCTATCCTCCTTCTTCTGCAAAGTAAGCCAGCGCAAATTCATGCGCTACCAGCCCGTCCGCATGGTGTGTGGTGTGGTCGTCGCATCGGCACTCATCGGTCTCCTCTGTCTAATCGACGAAGCCGCCGCCAACGCCCTCTTTTCGCTCGCCGTAGCCGGAAACGATCTTGCATGGTTAACGCCCATCCTGGCGCGTCTGGTCTGGGGCGGTGATCGCTTCATCCCCGGTGAATTCTATACCGGCAAGTATCTCAGTAAGCCTATTGGCTGGGTGGCGGTCATCTATATGATGTTCGTTATTGTTCTTAGTATGATTCCTTCCGAGGGGCCGAATCCGTCGGGTGAGTTGCACTATACTATACTGTACTGTACTATTTGGGGTGATTTTGCTAACTTGGTGTCTGAAGCGCAAACTATGAACTATACGATTGTCATTAATGGGAGTCTATGGGTTGGGGCGTTGATTTATTATTATGTTCATGCGAGGAAGACGTTCAAAGGGCCTATGACTAATATTAGTCCCGAGGATGAGGGAATGGCTTTGGAGAAGGATTCTAAGAGATAGATTATGTGGCTTTGGGGGAATTTTAATCAGACATGCTCTATGTGAACCTGTGTTATGCATGTCGGTATATCCAGCTCATATCCAATAGCTAACAAATGAACATCTTCTACTCTATCACTATTCGATTGAAGATTTCAACTTTCAAATTTTCGAATTCGTTTCAATTATCGCTAATCACCCTTTCACCGGGGCTAAAAATCGCCGCTATGGACATCAATTCTTGTTCTCGTTTCTCGGAGTCTATCTGTCGAGACTCAATGCATAGGTAGAGATGCATCTATTCAGGGATTTCAAGGACGTAGCGACCGGCAATCTTGCCTTCCTCTGTATTGCACATATTAGCGTATGATCGATATCAAGTAACCGGAACATGTGAAACGTACGCATGAGCTTGAACACCTCAGGCAAGTCCTTGAGATGAGCAGTCTTGAAAGGAGCCTTGATCAAGCCACGCGCGAAGAAGCCGACGGCCTCAACGCCATCCTGGCGATTACCGACATAGCTGCCCTTGATGCTGATCATTCTCACAACGGTGTCGAAAACGGGAGCCTTGAGGTACGCATGGGCCGGAAGACCAATGGCAACGATAGTACCACGAGAGCGGGCATATGCGACAGCCTGCTGGAAAGGCTTCTCGGAGACAGCAACCAAGAGCACGGCGTGGGCACCAAGACCGTCGGGGGTAGCAGCCTTGACATCAGCAACGAGATCGCTGCTCTTGGTGAAGTCGATGTAGGCCTGGGTACTCTTATTAGCACGAGACTCCAAAAGTTTAAGAGTCAGAGGAGGCTTACCTCTGCACCAAGCTTCTCACACATAGCCTTCTTCTCATCACCACCGTCGATAGCAACAACACGCAAGCCCATAGCCTTAGCATACTGCTGGGCAAGCGAGCCAAGACCACCACCAGCACCAACAATAGCAACAGTTTGACCAGGACGGGCACCGGACTCCTTCAGGCCCTTGTAGACGGTGATACCAGCACACAGAATAGGTGCAACAGCATCAAGTGGGACCTCTTTGGGGAGCTTGGAAACGTGTGCTGCTTTGCCAATCGCGTACTGCTGGAAGGTACCGTCAACCGTGTATCCAGATAGCAGAGCATCGGGACACAAAGACTCATCCGCGGTCTTGCAGAACTCGCATGAGAGACAAGAGCCGTTGAGCCATTTGATTCCTGCGTGGTCGCCGATCTCAATTCCCTGTGCAAGAGAGCCCTTGGCGACGACAACACCGGCGCCCTCATGGCCGCCGACTAGGTTATCCTTCTCGGGGAGAGGCCAGTCACCGTTCATGGCGTGGAGATCGGTGTGGCAGACGCCGGTGTATCGCAGCTTCACCAGGACTTCATCGGGACCGGGTTCGGGCACGGGGATTTCCTTGTAGACGGGAAGTTCGCCTTTCTTCTCGAGAACTTGGGCCCATTGGGTCTTGGGGATGGTGGGGGACATTTTGAGGATGGGTAAGAATTAAGAATTAAGAGAGGATATGTGAGGATAAAAGTATGAAAGGTATTATGTAGGATAGATATGAGACAATGTATCACAAGAAAACAGCAGTTTCTGTCTTCTTATAGTCCGACGACATTGCCTGATCTATTTTTTTTTCGACTTATTGTGAAAATCAGGATCATTCGACTCTATCGGGTTCGCCGGTAAGCTTTTAAATTGTTCATGTCATTCTTGTATAATACCCTGGGAATAAAACTGGATTTCATCCACATCTTGCCGTTTGCGGCATAGGTTCTTAAACATATAGGCTGTCATACAATGTAGATTGTCCCAACATCGAAAGGGTGAATGTCTATCTTCATCCCAGGTATCTCAGGATATCAGGATATCATAGCCCTTCCATATTAGGTTATGTGCATCTATACAAAGTATGAATTGACTCAACTCCCTCATTTGGACAAAAGAGTATTACAATTGGGAAGTGACATGGAACAAGAAGATCATAGAAGCTATGATCCTTTCTCAAGGTATGCTAAGGTCTACAGAAGTGGAGGACGTCATCACCATCAGGCAATGTGGGGATGAGGTTCCAGTATGATCTACGGAGTTCAATAGTGTCTATTAATTCATATAAAGGCACAATTCCACCCCAAGGGAGTGGAAATGTATCTTCCTCCAGAGTTGATTGAGTTACTATTGTCATATTTGATTACATGTATGCCATATTTGCAATATGCAATGGTCTCTATATTTCTGGGAGTGACAAGCTGTCATCTACGGGATTATGCCCTGAATCTGAGACATATATATATTATCGGTGCGTAGTCCAAGCTCCAACTCTTAACTGCCAACTTCCCAAATCAAAAAGCACATGAATTTATTATAAAATCCAATTCAAGTCTTCACCGACCAAGGTCGTACAATAAATGTACAGAGACATTGTCGAGTAAAATAGACAAGCCAGTTGAGATATTTTCCCGTAAACTCGTTTGAACGCCAAATATACTGAAAACGTTCAACCTCAAGTGAGATTGGGACACCACCTTTGATAGAATTGGAAATAAGAACATGAAATTGAGAAGAAGATGAAATACCTAGGTCTAAAGTAGAAGAAGTAAAAAAAAGAAGTCAACTATTTGACACCCATCAACATAAACATCGGATCTAACCCCCGGGATGCCGGAGTGGAAATACCCCAGAGAATGAAGAAGAGGAAGATTCACGAGAAAGACGAAATCTCAACATTTCCCCTTTTTACTGGACATCCGTTTTCCTCATCTGAACTTCTACTTTTCCCCCTTCAACTATTCCCCCATCCCTCCCCCTTCTCATCTGCCATCGCCCCTGCATCAGCTCTCTCGCCTAGACCCGCGCATTCTCTTTCTTGGGCTCCACGGAAACTTCCCTTCTTTCCTGCATCTTCCCACCACAAACGAATCCATCCCTCCATCAGGTATTTATGTCTTTCTCCCTTTTATTTCTTTCATCCCACTTCATTTCGAAATCATACCTGAAACCAACAACTGACGCCGCGTCATTAGGTCACCAGAACCCCCTTGACAGGTGTCTCTGAGCAGGGGTCTTTCGACTCTACGTCAATTAACACCCGCGACTCTAGCTCGACCCTGACCCAACCTTCGACGCGCTCAACCCGTAACCGGGGACCGCGGCCATCATGACGGGCCCTCCGCCATACAACGCCCAGTCCCCGACTCAGCAGCAGCGGTATCCGGCCTACACCTCGCCGAATAAGAACCATCCGTATTACCCGAATGAACAACCGCCCCAGCAATATCACCAGCATCCCCCACAAACCCCACCCGCGTTTGGCCCATCTTCCGTCGCGCGAAGTCCGCATTTTTCGCACGCGTCCCCGATGCCCTCTACGTTGCCGCCGCCCTTGAACGGGACTGCGCCACCTCACCCGTCTCACCCGGAGTCCTCGCAATACCAAGGACATTCGGCAGGCTCTCAGCTACCACTTCCGCGCCCTTACTCTAACTCCGTGATGGCGGGCAACGGTGCCTCGCCGTACGGCTCTGCGACACCGCATGGCCATCCGCCTAGCCGCCCAGAAGGCCATTCGCAATCTCCTACCAGAGAGTCCGAATCTCCATTTCGCATGCGAGGCAATGGTGCTGGATATGGACCTCCGATGATGCGGGAGCCGAGACCGGTCTCGCCGCAGGAAGCCGTACGCATTACCCGGATCCCCCCAATATCTTACGATTCACTAACCAATCCGTGCCTCGTAGAAGCCCGCCCGAGCTGCAGACCCAATGTCTTTCGCTAGCATTCTTTCAGGCCCGTCGGATGAACAGCCTACAAGAAAGCCATCACCTCCCCCGGCCCCCATCTCCATCCACACGCCGCATGCTCCCCCTGTCTTTACACATCGACACCTGGATCACAACTCCACACCTGGAGCTATTCCTCACAAACAAGAGCACCGATTGGACTTTGAGAGACGCATCGATGGTTCGAGACCACCACTGGCCACAAATGGGTTTGCTAAGCCTGATATGGAATACGCTCCGCCGATTCCTCGTGCACCGCTTCGAAGACCCTTTCCGCCCGGTGTGGACCTGGAGCAGGTCAACCGAGCTGCAGCCGAAATCGATCACGCCGAGAAGAGCGATGTTGAAGATCCTGCTTTCGACGCGGAAAAAGAGCGGTACCAGGAGAAAAGCCACAAACGGTCGGTGGAAAGCAGCCGCGCAGAGGAAGTACGACGAAAGGTAGGTTTTCTGAAATTTGTTTTATATCCACCGAATTACTCATACTAATCTGCGCTCAGCGTCGCCGCAACGAGTTCCTCATCGATCTAGGTAGATCCTTCGAAAGACAAGCAGTTCTTGGCACCGAACGATTCCGAGTCCTCAACGAAGGTGCGGTCATGGCCGAAGTTCAACAAAAGGAGATTCAGGATGAAAAGGAACGGAAGAAGGATATGCAGCGCAAGCGACGTCGGGAGAACACTGTGCGTCAAGAAATGCAAAAGAAACTGGAGGCTGAGCGCAAGGCCAGCAAGGCCCAGGAACCTGGCGAAAGGGCCAAGTTCTTGCGCGAAGCCGAGCGGGCTCAGAAAAAAATTCGCACTACCAAGCGTGCCCTGGAGGGCGGCGATGGCCAGGAGGAGCTCGGTGAAGTCACCCCGCTTGCTCCCAACCTCGAAGGCGGGACCACAAGTCAATTCCATATCGGCCGTTCCTCGCCCAGCCGACGCAGATCAGGCCGCGCGGGTCCCGTCACCCGTCCTAAGAAGTCCAAGGAGCAGAAACAGGCCGAGAAGGATCTCGCCGAGGCAGCTTGGAATGCTGGGCTGGACGACGACCTGTATCTCACCCCAAGTGGAAGAAAGGATGCTCGAAATTCTAAGGAGGGTACTCCCATGTCGCAGCTACACTACGACAGCAAGGGCTACAACCAGATCTACGAGCAGATCTGGCGCGATATCGCGCGCAAGGATATTCCAAAGGTCTACCGCATCAAAACCACCTCGCTCTCAACCCGCCAAGAGAATCTGCGCAAAACAGCTCAGCTTGCCAG